TTTCTGAAGTGAGGGTCTTGATCTTCTGGTCGAGGGAAGACTTGGCCTCCCCGGCCTTCTTCAGCTCGGTTTCCAGTTCCTTGTTCCGAGAAGTAGAGGTGGTGAGCTGCGTAGTCTTCTCCTTGACCGTCGCGGCTGCCTCGCTCTTGGCTTTTTCGGCCTGCGCCTCGAGATCCTTCAGCTTCGTTTGTGCCTTATCGAGGCGTTCGGTCAGTGTCGAGATTTCCATGTTCCTGGCCTCTAATTGTGTTTCGACAGAGGCCTTTACTGCGACGGCGTCTTTCGCTTCGCTTAATTCCCTGGCTGTATTCTCAAGGCTCTCGACAAGACCAGCGCTGTTTTCCTTGGCGAGAGAAAGTTCATCCGTCAAAGTTTTGACTTCGGCCTGGAGCTGTTCCGCCTCTTCCGACTTTTTGCGGATCTCGGCCTGCAGTTGAGGAATCTCGTCGTCATACGAAAAGAAGTTCTCCCCGTTTTTGCCTTCCGCCCCTGCACCTGTTGGCGATTTATCCTCCGTCTTGGTGGATCCCGTCTCGGTCGCATTTGCGGTATCGCCCGACTTTGACGCCAGGGCCGTCTCCGGTTGAGCGGTCTTCAGGGCAGCAACTTCCTCCTTCAAGACCCCCAGCGCTAGATTGAACTCCTCCGCCTTTTTCTTGTAGTCATCCTTTTCAGCGGTGACGCGCTTGAGCTCTCCCATCACCATGTCGCCTTTTAAGTTGATCTGATTCAAGTACTCGACCAGGGCTTCGGGGTCCTTGATAGAGGTGAGCGGGGTGTTCTCCTTGAGGGCCTTCTCGAACGGTTCTATGGATGTCGCCCGACTGTGCGCGATACGGTATGATCGAAGGAGTTCTAAAGAGAATCAGCACTAGAAAAATGCGTCGCAAAGTCAACGGCATGCAAACCTGGATAAGTCTTCTCCAGCTTTTCCAGCTTCCGCAGCCGGGCTCGCACATCCGGCGGCAACTCGGATGGCACATAGGCACCGGCTGGGCCGACCGCAGTTGCGGGTTCCACGCTGGCCTTGTTGGCTTCCCCATTGTCGCCAGTTGCTAATGGGTCAGCTGCCCCATTGAGAGGAGCGCCAGCACCAGGCTGCGGAGTAGCTCTCCTGGAAATACCAGCCCCTGTTTCATTGTCCGCCGAGGATGGTGTCGCTACTCTCGAGGGAACGGTCGAGTCGTCCATATCGTCAATGACAAAGGCGGCCTCGAATACAGCGGGATCAGGATTGGTTCCTTCGCCGTTCGTATCTCTCGACGTGATGTCTTGACTAGCTTTCTTTGTCGGCCGAGGGCGCCGGGCGGGGGATTGAGTCCCCGCGGTGCTCGACGATCGGGATCGACGTGGGGCACTTCCTGGAGTTGACGCAGGCCCGGTAGCTTCGAGACCTGCTCTTTGCCTTGCTTGCTCCTCGGCGATGGTGCGATCGATTGCGCCCTTGAGTCGCTGTCACGGCCATTGTCAATTTTCCTCGCCCAGACTCCACCCATTAATATTGCGAGTTTGTACGAACCTGGAACATGGTTATAAATTATAACAAACCAGCGACAACCTGGAATAGTTGGCGCCCTCTTGAGATGAGCGCGCGGCTTCGGTTGCTGCTGTGGCGCGGGTGGACACCAACCAAAAACACCAAGCACCTCTCTCCCCTTGAATGGCAAAAGAGAGAATCACCACTGTCCCGAGCAGTAAAATAGCCTGAGGAACCTCCGAAAAAAGAAAATAAAAGACTTTGAGTGACACACAAAGGTTCAAGTTCCACTCCCTTTTCGGATCAGCATCGCCATCCTTCTGCTCAATCTCGAGTGGATAGCTGTCGTTTCGGCTCTCTGCGCCGCACTTCGCGTGTGCGACAGCAGCCTTGCACAACCCCAGAATACGTACCCCTGGCCCGGGCTGTGATACTGCCGCCGGCAACAGCCATGTGCGGACAGGGGTATGGGGCAAAAAACCCCGATTAATTGTCACAGAGCCGACTCGATACATACATACATTTTAACCTACACAGAATAAGCCCGGCCTTGGTTGAGGCGGAATGCCTAGGTAGATATCTATTGAAATACTCTGAAGATATAAACTTGCCTTCCATACTTACTTGGGTTTAATTGACATTGCGGTGTGAACTACTCAGCTGCTCCGACTGGACGGAAAAGTGGCACCCATTTATGCACTGAGCAAAGAGAGAGCGAGGATTAACGAGTTAGTTATAAGATTATCGTTATAGGCAGCCATGAGGTCACCGTACACAAGCCTCTGGGCTTCCTTGTCCTCTTTGATGCTGTTCACACCTCTCGTGGCTGGGGAAGGCCGGAGGCAAGCTGCAACACAACACAAGCTCTCATCCCAAAACAACTGAAACCTCTGCCGGCCAGTTGTTTCTGGCAAGGCAAGCAAATTCTTCTTTTTTTCTTCTTCTGACACTCATTGCCTTCCGCAGGCGACACCTTTTTTGGCTTCTACAACAATGGTTTCTTTTTGGCCGTGGGGGGTGAGTACTCAAGAATCACAGATTTAACACCCAATAGCCCCTCTAACCATGCTCATCTTGTACAGAAAGATGACTCCTCCCCGGCATCGTTCGAGAAGGCACTTTCCGCTCTCTCCGCCAAGATTACAACCACCCAAACGCGGCTCGACCAGGACCGGGCGAAATCGAGACGGATCAAACTCCTTTGCTCGCTCTACCTCGGCTTCGCATACTTAGTCTATGGCATCGTTTTGGTATTGGTCGTGGGATGGAGATATATGGGAGCTTGGGAATGGACGGGCATCGCGGGCGGTCCGGTTCTCATTACCCTTGTTCGCGCTGCCGTCACAACCTTCTTCGACTACCGCATTCAGAGGCGGAGCGTGCGACTCAAGGAATATCAGACGGAGCGCGCCAAGACTATTCAAAAATTGAAGGACGCGACAAAGTACGATTCGACTCTGGAGCTGCTAGAGAAGTACGGCGAGACAGAGAACAAACAGAAAAGGGGGAAGAAGACAACCGACGGAAGTGACCCTGCGGAGCAAAACAACGAGGGACAATCGAAGGCGAAGGACTCGGGGATGCCCCAGCGCACGAACATGCCACCCCCGCCCACGGCCAACATTCAACGGCCTCACATCCCCCGTCCCGGTACTCCCCAATCCAGGCCGCACAGCAGGCTCGGTACCCCGTCTCAACATCAGACCAGGCAATCCGACATGGATGCATCAGCCGAATTTGCGCCCAATGCATTTGACGGAAGACCGGCCCCTGCATTCATGCAATACCCGCCCGCCGCAATGGCTCCCCCTGCCGAATCGCACTGGTACGACCGCATATTGGATACTCTCTTGGGCGAGGACGAGACGGCTGCCAAAAATAGAATTGTCCTGATGTGTTCTAGCTGCCGCTTGGTCAACGGCCAGGCACCGCCTGGAACAAAGTCATTATCCGAGCTGGGCATGTGGAAGTGCATGGCCTGCGGGGCTTCTAACGGGGAATTGGACGAGGGAAAGCGGCTGGTACAGGAAGCTCTAGGACGGCGAAACCTCCCCGACCTCAAAGTTGAGAGCATTGACGATAGCGCCAGCAGAAGTTCGAGCGACCTTGTCGAAGTGGAGAAGGATATTTCCGATGTTGAGGCCGAGGGGAAAGGAGTGGTCACTGACGGACCACGGAAACGGAGAGGAAAAGGAACTCGCTAACTCGGGCCAGACGCTCACTCTTTTTTTCTTTTTGTTTCCTAGATCTTTTTTTTCTTTTCTTTTGGTTCCGTAGAATACAAGGGTCATGTATTTTTCTTTGTCCCCAGTCATCGGCTTTATACCCACCGAACAATCCGGCTTAGGCATACCAAAATCACATTGTTCCGCCGTTTCCATCTCACTCCCATTGCACGGACTCGAAGCGATTCGTCGTATTTAAGCTCGCTCTGCATGTTCAACTTAAGTTTGTGGGACTATGGAGAATCGATCGCTTCAACATCCTCGGACAAGATGACATACAACCCTTACAGGCAACCTCCCCACGACGCCCTCTACGGTAGCCAGTATAGGAGCTGGAGTCGAGACCGTGGTCGGGACCACTATAGGCCTCGTGAGGCGGACCCTAGGGTCGGTACACCTCGCGCTAGTCGAAACACGCGCCGTGGTAGTCCTCCAAGGGGCGCTGACTATCCCGGGGCGAGTCGTATTGACGACGACGACGGGTACTACGAACGGCTGGGCCGTCGCCTGGGCAGGGATAGGTATGCCGGTGTGGGTGGCCCAACTTATGGCGAATTCGACGATAGGTTCAGGCAAGCTGGGGCTGAGCTAAATCGCGAGAGGAGAGAAGCGGCCGTTAACTATCACTACGATCTGCCCCGAGCCATGCCACCTCCACGTGGAGGAGGAGGGTTTGATGGTTACGTGCCAGGCTACGACTATCCGCCAGACCCTCAGACAATGCCACGCGCGGGTAATCCGCCACCGACCCAACCGTATCATCCACATCCTCCGCGGGATCGGTCCCGCTCGGTTCCTCGGCGTGGCGGTGAGCGGCTGCGGAAAACTAGATCGAAGCCCAAGTTGTCTTTCTGGTACGTGTATGTGGGCACGACGGACCCGGACGGCAAGGTCATTGACGGCTACGAGGGTTATGAGAGTGAACCGTGACAATGATTCAACACTACCTAATTTCAGGGCACGGCAGGTTTGAACAATAAATTTCTTTTGCCATTTCGGTCGTGAAACAAGGCAAAAAGAGTGCTTCAAGCTTGGGGGGATTCACCCAGGGAATGTGTTGCATCTTTCGGCTTCGGGCCGCAACCGCCGTTGGGCCGCAGGTGAGCAAAGTAAGTTCAGAAAATTCCTTTTTTTTTTGCCCTAAATAAGAACATGACAGATCATTCGCCGATTAGCTCCTCTCATGTAATTTGTCGTCTGCAGCGCGGAAGCACGGAAGCGCGGGAGTCTCAGCGTGAAGGCAACATCAGGCCGATCCACGTCAAGATGCAGTCACTGCAGTGTCTCGAAACCATTGCCATCTGGCATCATTCGGGTCCAGACCCGAACCTGAGTTGGGTGATGGCAAACCCACAGCGAATCATTCCTGCCTTACTGTCCTGACCTATGAGAAACGCAAGCGCTTTCCTGCCCGAGGTGCCTGATTTGGCTCACCACGTGGTTGCCCGAGAGATTCGGAGAGAATGAGGCAAGCACACCATTCAAACAGAACCCGCAAATCGGGTCACTCCAAGCTCACCCTCCCTCTTCACGGCTAGCCCTGGAGTTTCTTTGCCCTGCGGCCCAAACCGAACCGAAGCCACGAAATAGCTTTTTGCATCTGCCACGAAGGCCAGATTGATTAAGTTGTGCCTTAGCCAAACCGATGCAGCCCATACGCACAAAGCCACAAATGCTCTTCTCTCTTATTTGGCAAGTTTCCCACCCCATTCTCGACCATTGTTTTTGTATCTTTGCCACTTGGGTCAGGTTCCACACAAATGTTCCAAGAGATGCCCTTCCTAGCGTATTTTACCTGTCTCCTCTCCTCGTGGGGGTTTTATTTTCTCCCCCTCCTGTCAGACGGACTGCCCCCCATGACGGTATTCGAGGCTCTTCTCGCAATCACCTCTCTCCCGATGTTTGAAAATCTCCTCGTCATCCCCCAAGGCGTAGCAGCTGCGCTGCAAGAGAAGATCAGACAACATGGACACCCACGACGACCCGAGTGCTACCACCACCACCACCGACTACGATTCAGGTGATAGTGTGATCATTGCCTACGTCTACGAAGGACAGAAGGCCACCGAGAGGAGGAGCACAAAGGGGAGAAGCCCCAGAAGAAAGAGGTCGCCCAAGCCCAAGCAACGCGGACTCGCCAAGTGCACGTGTGGAGCAGGTCGAGCGGAGGATGAAGACGAAATCACCGTGTTTGAAGAGGACACCGACACCGAGGATGAACGAGCACGGCGGAAGCGCTCAACAAAACCACGGCCGTCTGGGGCCGGGGTTGCCTCGGGATGTGACGCCAAAGACCACCACAAGGTTGACAAGAAGAAGGCCACCGAGAGCAAAACCCGGCGTGTGCAGACCCCTTATATTGAAGACTACCCAGACGATGCTCCGAGACCAACGATCATCCTGAGAGAACACAGGCTCCTACGGAGGTCATCGACCTCCGACGCGAGGCGTGTGCGAGACTCGGAGGATTGTTCGCCCTCGGGCTCCCGGGATAGATCCTCGTTAGGGAAACGACTACCACAGCGACCGCCTCGCCATTCTTCCAAAGAGTCACCCAAGCATCCCAAATCTCACAGACGCCACCACCACCACCACCACCACCACCACCATCACACACACGAAACACATGAGAGTAAGCCTATCCCCGAGATCAACCACAACTTGCTTCGAGTGACAAACTGACACTGAGCGGCAGATAAATCTTCCGGGTCCGAGGTCAAAGGCTTCCAATCCGACTCTGGGGAGTCGGGCTTGAATCCGCACCGTCCGCGCTACGACCCCGGTTCAGAGCCGGCATCCACGGTTGCTCGCAGTTCAGCATGGAACGACAACTCCCAGCCAGAGTACTCGTCTTCGTGGCCACGGCATGGCGAATCGCACGTTCCCCAGCGACAACTCGGATACGATGACCGTGATCACGACAGCGAGGAGGGAAGTGACGAGCACTCCCTGAACTATAACAGCAACTACGACTCTCACCGCCGTCTTCTGCTGAGAGGGGCTCCGTCATTCCAAGAACAGGCCCCTGAAAAGCAACTGGAACGTCATCGCGAGCTACTGCAGCAGGCGACGCCACCGCCGGAACACGATCGTGGAAACGAGCGCGAAAGGCCAGGTCCCTCGCCGCGCCGCCCAAGGACCGTCGTCAGCAGCACTAGCATGGCAACCACGGAACAGGGCTATCGTTCTGTTGCCACCTCTGTCTGTGAGGTGTGGCGTGGCAAAGCCGAGGATTGGGAATCTCCGTACGTCTCGGCCAGCGATGGGGATTATGAGTCAGACGCCGAGGAGCCTATTCAGCTTCTTCGGATGGAGGATTTACCGCCGCGCAAGTCTTCTCCTCGGCTCCTTCCGCCCCGAGGCGAGCGAAGGGAATTTGGGTTCCGACCAACCCCACCACCGCCCCCTCCGTACCCGCGACATCATCCAGCCTACATGGAAGAAGATTCATTCCACCCTGACCAGACTTGGCCTTCATCTAAGCGGGATGGGCTTCTTCTCCTGGAAGGTCCGCTAGCCTTGACAATGGAACCGGATGCGATGACGGATGGCGAAGATGATGTACACGGGCAGCACGGCATGCAGCTTCAATCCCGACAATCTAGTTGGTCGAGGCCCGGGCCTCCCAAAGGTTGGACATACCCCCTCTCCCCGCGGTCCCGCGCCGTCTCGCCCGTCTTTTCGGCAAGGAGAACGCGAGAGTTTCTTTCGCCCACGCCGACGAGGGCGGCACGGTTTGATTTCGACGCGTGGGGGTGCGGCCGTTCGTCGAGGAGCTCGCTGGCTCTTGCATTACGGTAGAGCCAAGGCAATCACCCTCCCTAGAGGAATCGATTGCTTGGTCCGGCCTTCGGGTCTCACGGACCGTGAGAGGCGTTGGGTAGAGCAAAAGGGTGACGGTTCGCGCCGCCTGGTGAGATACTTCGGGACTGGGGGTGTTTTCAGACCGGGCTTGGCTTCGCTTTCCCATGCATCAACCCGGCGTTATGGAGTTCAAGAAGGCGACCGACGCTGGTGGGGCTACCTACCTCAGGGGGTAACCACTGGTCATGTACCTAGTGAAGATTCACTTTTGGTTTATGGATCTGGTTCTAATGAGTAGGGGTATTGGAGACTGTTTCATCATGGCATGGCTTGGTTAGACAAAATGGGGGTTCATCGGACGCGTTTGCTCATATAGACTGGCGGCTTAATATCTTGGAAAGGTTAGACTTTGGGTACCTAATTAATGTACAAGGTTTCTGGAAACCTAAGTTGTTTGATAGACCACAATCATGCTCATCCCTAGCCCTCTCCTAGCGTATTTTGACTTTGGATTTCCTTCTTTGCAACGCCGTCATAACAACATAGTTACATTAGTTAGCTGTGTTTTCCTTGGGACTCTTGATCTAGATTTGTGCCAATTCGTAGCCTGGAGGCTGGCTGTAACTCTGAAGTATTATGATACTAACTGCCCTTCATAATGAGCAATACTTCGTAGTCTGACTGAACCCTCACTCTGGCAAGTTTCTTGTTGTGGGGTCTTTATTGACCTGCAGTTTGTACGTTGCTTTGTAACCTGTCTGATGGATAGTAACTCAAGGAAAGCCTTGGCAAAGACTTTAGAGCCTTGCTCTACACTACGTTTTGATTCCCTAACTCAGACACACACACACACACACGAATGAACATGGCTTTGGAGCTTCTTCCATCGAGCGCACACACTTCACAATGCTAGTTTCTCAGAGAACACTCTGGTGGAGATTTCACCATCATGTTCAAAGAACCCTCGCCAACACCAAGGAACAGCGTACCCGCCTGTAAGTCGCCAACATCCCCCAAGTGCCTGGCATTAACTATGGGGTTGGGCGACAGTGTAGAGACGACAGTGTGTATAAGTATCCTCCACAGCGCGACCAGCACCTTTTAAAATCCCAGAATTTTCGCATCAAGTCGAGCCCAGTCGCCCACAACCTTTCTCTTCAGCAAACCACAAAACCTACTCGTTCATCTCGAAACAATGGGCGATCCCGCTCGGCTCTGGGAGCGCCAAAATGGCGTTCGCGTTACCCTCGCCCACGATGTCCTCCAACGCGCACTTGGCACGAGCCTCACAGTGCCCACCGCGACGCCGATTTTGGGGTCCCCCTCCAACGACGTCAGCCCAGCGGCAGGCGGACACACCCCGACCCCCTCCTCCACTCTCGGCTCCCCGTTCGCCTACAGAGGCACGTATGGCAGAACCACCCCTTCCAGCACGCTTCCGCGGTATGAGCACCGCACCACCACTGCCTCCCCCCGCCCCTCGACGCTGGGCGGCTCCTCCGCCCCTGCCTCTACCATTCAGCGCTACCCAACCCGCCGCCCGTCCCCAAGCGGTTGGTACTCCCGGCCCCCGGGGGCGAACGACCATTCGACTGAACCCTCGCCGGCGGCACCCCGCCCCGCGCGCATCGCCACTACGCACCACAGCCCCTCTCCATCTCGGACCTTCCGGCTGCGCCCTTCTCCGGTGTTGGCCGCCCGACACCTCCGCACTCCGCCCCCTTTCCGCCCGCGTCCGGTCCCGGCTCTGCCGTCCCAACACGGCAGCCCGACCTCAGACCCCTTCCGCCTGCGCCCGTCCCCCACCCTTCCGCGCGCCTTCGTCTTCACGACCTCCAACACGACCGCCTACGAGTCCGACTCTGACCGGGCCTTCGCCCGTTCGCAGCTGCGTAGCCGTTTGCCGCCCCGCAGGGTACCGCATACGCCCCAGCGTCAGATCACGGGGGCTGCCCAGCGTGGTTGGTCGTCGGGGTATACTGGTTATGGGCATGGGCATGGGTATGGGGGGCCGACTTACTCGTACGGAGGTGGTGATGGTGGGTTTTGGGACTCTGTTCCTGTGACGAGGCTTGGGTCGCCTGGGTTTGGGACTGGGGATGGGGATGGAGATGCGGATGCGGACAAGGATGGAGAGTAGTGGGATGATCCGGGGTTTTGAGGGTGGTGGGCTGGTGATTCGGGACTTAAGAGTTGTTTAACTATGAATTCAGAATTGGGGAATTTGGCAGCTAACTACCGGTTTTAACTTTTACTGCCGGCTCTCTGAATTACTCACAGCAGAAACCCCCCACATTACCCCTCCTCCATATTGCATTACCAACTGTTAAGTGTTAACACCTGAGCTTGTACCTGGCTTTAACATCACTCGCAACTCTGACTCAACCAGGATCTATAATACATTTCGGCCCTCATCAGTGCTCTCTCACCGGGCACCTTGGCAGAGATATGGCCTCTTCACCCAGCCAAGTACCACCACCCCAGCTTTGGCCTGACTTTTCCCTCAGTTGGCTCAACAACCAAATCAGACCTAGAAAGTCGGAAATTCGTCGCTTCACCGAGTATGTCGCGGCTATCGGAATGGTACAGGTGAATGAGCAAAGAAGGAGCCAACAGCTGCCTATCTTTGAATTTGCGACCATCTTGTAAGCAGTCCAAGATTGCAGATCTCAAGTTTGTTCTTTGGAATATGCCTAAACTGATCTTTAAACCATAGAATTGGCATCCACGACAGCGATTCCGACGATTACCGGCATTTGAGTATCGCCGTAGCTACCAAGGCGATGAAAGAGATGGGCCAACATATCGTGGTCCACTCCCGTGTGAACGCCGACGAGACCGAGTTTATCGGGAGTGAGGCGTACGAGGAGTATATTCGTCTCGATAACGAGCTGTTGCGAGCATCGTACAAGAAGCCCGTTCCTGCCAGGACGCCGCTTATCTTAGGCGACGATGAGACTGTTCTAGTCGTATAAAAGAGCGGGGGCAGCAGGAAAATGAAGAACGCATCGTCCTGGATGCAGGCTGCAGCTCATTTCTTCTTTTCTTTCTTTTTTTTCTTTTTTTTTTTTTTTTTTTTTTTTTTTTTCGATTTGGGGTTAATGGTAATAGTAGTACGCCCCCTTTCCCCCCTTTCTCTTCCATAACTCGTGCATAGTCCTAATGTATTGATCTCCAACCCCTTCTTATACAACTAGAAATGTCCTCAATCTCCCCTATGGATCATATGGCCTATGGCCTAGAGGCTAGCAACCGCCGCCTCCGCCGCCACCGCAACCACCTCCACCTCCCGAGCCTCCACCACTCCCACAGCCTCCACCACCTGTTATCATCAATCATCCGCAAATCAATGAGAGAAAAAGGAGCAACTTACCGCCGCCACTGCTGCCTCCATCCACTCCTCCCCCCGTCCCCGAACTACCACATCCCCCTGACGCAACGGTCCCTCCACACGTCCCGGCCGCACAAGCCCCGCTCGCCCCCTCTTCACAACCGGCCATCTGGCCGGGGGAATCCTCATCATACACCCCGGGGTGTACCAGACTGGGGATATGTAGGGGCCGTAGTACGCATATGGGAATCCCCAGTGGGTGTAATACTCACCCTTGGGGGGGATCGTCCTCCCCTTCAACTCTGCGCGTTTCCGGGCCTTCTCGTACGCCTCATCGATCCGCCTCCGATGCCGCTCGGCAATCCTACGCTCCACGACCTCCCTACGTGGTTTGGCAATAGTCAGGTCCGGGGCCGTCTTGACTGCGTTGTGTGACGAGATGTGAGCCGATTTGTCAGGAGGATGGAGACGGGCTTGTCCAGAAGCATGGAAATTCTCCGCGACTAAAAAGTCACCAGGTGGGTTAGCCCATGTCAGCGAGACGAACGGAAAAGGGAGCAAGTAGTTACCCTGTTCCTGGGTCGAAATACCAAGCAGCCTGCCGATCGGATTGATCACGGCTGTCCGGACTGCCTCGCAATACCAGCATGTGCACTCGCTGTACACCTCCCCGTACATGTCTTGATACGCCTTACTCGTCCAGGCAAAATGCGCACCGAGGGCATCCTCGTCGATCTTGTCGTCATGGTCAATGAACTTGTCCGTCTTGGCCACCGAATACCGATAATACGCCCCCGGGCTGAGCTGGTGCGTATGCCACGCCAGGTCCACGTCCAGTGTAGGGACTGCGACGCTGTGCGGGTATTTGGCCATGACATCAAAAAAGCGGTGATATTTCGCTACCAGCCGCTCCATGGTGGCCCTCGCCGCGGGACTATGCAGCCAGTCGATCTTGTGCATCTTCTCCACAAACACCCCCTGCCTCATGATGGCCGAGCACAGATCCAGCGCAAAGGGGCTGTGATTATCCCAGTACCGGGCCATCATTTTGCGAACATAGACTCCCGAGCCAGCCCCCGAGCCGTTCCGCCGGACCATCTTCTCGACTTTCTCTCGCACGTCGTTCATGGTGGGCTGCACGCCACTCACAATCAGTCCGGTGACTTGCATTTTGGGGTTATCGTTGCGTTTCTTGAGCAACCGGTTGGGGAACGTGGCTGGCGGGCTGGCGCCCCACGATGAGGCCGAGGGTGACAACGGGGGTTTCCCGTTGCGCAAGTCGAGGAGCGTTCCGGGCATGGGGCGGTTGATTGCAGGGTTGAGGAGGCAATTGACGTCGTTGGTGAATTTGGCCACGCATAAAAGTGGTTTGTTGATTGTGGTTTGGCAACTGTCGCAGTGGTGTTGCAGATTTCCGTCGCCGTAGCCGGTGCCTGTAAGGTCCGGGATGCCGTCGAAGGGGTAGCCGGGTGGGTTGGAGCAGGTTGTCCAGGGAATCTGGAGGTTGGTGGTGCATCGGGGGCAGGGGAGGGTAATGGTCTGGGGGTCGTCAACGTTTGACCAAGCCAAACCGGTGAGAGCCGTCCAAGACGTCTTGCAGGCAGGAGTAACGGTGTAGGCAAAGGAGGTGGTGATGGCAGCATTGATGAGGCGCCATGGCATGCCGGTTGACCAAAAGCCGCGTAGGCCGGCTAGCATGCAGTCTTCGAGAAAGGCCCGGGGGTTGAGCATGTGTGTGTGCCAGACCATCAAGACATCTATGCAGGTCAGCGGCACACCTTCACATTATTGCATGTATTGAGGGCGGTACAGACCAAGTGGCGGCAACATTTCCTCTCTCCACTCGATTCCCTCGGAGCCTGCAGAGCCTGGGAACTCCACGTAGGCGGTTGAATTCCGTGCCATCATGTCATCTTCGCGAAGCGGCCTTCCCCCAAGCAGTCTCCACCATGCTCTATATCTCTCCACCGCTCTTGAAACAAATAAAGCCCAGCGCTTCTCTCGAAGCTGGCTGAGAATTTGGAGTTGCTGGTCCTGCATTTTATCCTCCACACCCTGCACCGACTGATCAAGGGGCCCAGCACGGCTATCCCATAGGCCCCACAGGCCATCCATATATCCCACATCCTCTTTCATCCCCTGGATCGCAAATAGCAATTTTAGGTGGGCAAGGCATGTTTCAGGTGATGGATCCGATGGGCTGTTGGATAGGGAAAGTTTCTCAAAGGCGGAGGGGATGTTTGTGTCAACCTCGACATATGCCGGGGGAGCTGGGAGGACCGCGCCGGAGGACGACATGGCGCATCTCAGGATGGTTCTAGGGTTATGGCTTTTTGCGTGGAATGTCCAGAGGAAGCCGGGAACGCTTAATGCATGGACATTTGGTCACTTTAACAGTACCAAGGTGGGGATGATCGGCCTTGTTGGCGGTGCTGTGGCGCAGGGTTTGGGAGTGTCCAATCTGACATTTCAACCTGACGAATCACTGTAGTTGGTGTGGAATGCGAGTGAGTGGTGGCGGCTGGTGGGATTCGACGATCCGAGTGTATAGCCACGTATAGCCACGCTCGGTGTCTCTGTCACGTACGTGGTACAAAGGAAGGATCTAGGGGAGGCTTTGCATTCATGTTTTCCTTTTGACACATGACCGAATTAAACACCGAGATGTCTGACTTGTCGTTTCTGCTCCCGACCTTGCTTACAGATGTGTATCATGTGGCGGGCAACCCTCGTGGATTCGACCTTCTAAGAAGTAGAATGTATCTGAGATGATGAGACGGGTTCGGTTTACCTCTTTACCCCGAGTGCATGGTGAGCATGGTGAGTATAGATAACTAATAACTACTATAACTATAAATTAGTGAATGTACAAGTAGGCGGCGTGGTCTCCCCTGATGCATCGCACCGTAAGCACTAACCATGTATCTTTTTTTTGTCCTGACGTCGACAGGGTCCTACTAAGAGCATCTCAAGCCGGTCGGTTTTATTCCTGTTGGTTGAAGCCGGCGACTAAGTGGACCGTCCCGGCGTCGACCTGCCCATTTCGGCAACTGGGTCCGGAAAGCCCACTTAACTCGGAGCCGCTCGGAGCCGGACTCGGCTTTTGCGCTGGCGTGACGCAGGCGAGCATAGCTACCAAGTATATAACTCGCACTTATAGGAAAATCCCATGGTCTGCCTCTTTTCATGTGAAGACTCGGTCTGTGTTCTTGGCTCCGAAGAAATCACATTTACCACCCTAACTATCCAAGCCCAATCATCAATCAACATGGCTTCCGCTGCGGCCCCTGACGCGGCTCCGGCTCCGCTTCTCCCGGTGGCGGCTCTCCCGGACGGCTACACCATCCACTCCGGCTACCCGCCAATCCCAGTTTACATCCACCTCCGTGCTGCATCAGGCTTGCACCCGAAGACACCCGCCCAGGCCGCCCCCATTGCCCGTAACAGCTGGTACGGTTGTTATATCACCTTCTCTCCCACCGGCGCCGGCACCACCAGCAGCACCAACGATAGCACCAACAACACCAGCACTGAAAATGAAGAGATTATTGTTGCTATGGGCCGCATCATAGGGGATGGTGGTTGGTATTTCCACATCGCCGACATGGCGGTCCTGCCAGAACACCAGCGCAAGGGGTTGGGGGACGCCGTGCTGAAGCATCTGATGGAATACATCAAAACGCATGCGCCGCAGGACGGGACAGGAACCTATGTCACACTTTTTGCCGATGCTCCCGGGCGGAGGCTGTATGCGAAGAATGGGTTCGTCGAGACCATGCCTGGGCAGATGGGGATGGCCATGCCGTTGGGGTGGGAGAGGAGTTGAAGACGGTGGGACTTGTCGCGTGTCATCAGATGTAAGGGGAATCAATGTGGCAATTGAGACACCAGTTTTGCTGCTAAATGCGTGCTGAAGGACTAATTGATTTGGAGCGTGGTGGGCCAGAAAATGCAAGTTGGTTTCAGATCGATGACTTGGAGTATGATGTGGAAACAATCATGGAAGCTGGGCGGCCTTTCACTTTGGTCAAAGGTACTCTGAAGGCAGTTTGTCAGTTTTGAAGCCATTGCACAGGTGTGCAGTTGTGAATGCCTGGTGATAAAGCATTTAGGAGTCGCCATTTGATAGACGCGTTTGTGGCATTGTTGCCGCGAATTCTCAACAACTGCGAGAGACTCCAAGCACAGAGGGCAGTTTCACCCTTGTGAGATCACTCCGATATGCCGGTTGCATGGAAGTGGCCTTTCCTATGGGAGTGGCCTTTCCCGTTTGAATGATGTTGATTCTCAGGGGTAAGGGGGGTGCATGACTGACTTTTTCGGATGTCTCACCTGAATCTGGCGTTGCTCCAAGTTCACTGCATCTGATGTTGGATCTTGCAGTGACTCAGGCCTGAGATAAAAGGCGGTTACACGTGATAATGACGTGGTTGTGTGCCCCAGGAACACACTCAGAGGCAGGAAGGCACTGCTGCTTGATAGTTTTGACAGTCACGATCTTCTCTGATTTTTCCCAGCCATGTTAACTGAATTGCGTTATCTATTCTCCGGTTTTCCGGGTGATTCAGAGGCCCAAGTACCGATCTGGCTCATCTGTTAGGCCAGCCCATGACTTTGTATGTAAAAATCATCCGCTCTACTCTCTACTACCCCTTTTAACATCTTCTTCCATGAGGGTACATCAAGAGCTGCTCCTTAGAGCTGGCGATGGATGGGTAGAGTCTCTTCTCACTCCTGAGCCTGTCTGGCTACCTATGATGGCCTTGTACTTGGTCACTCGTGGTTGGGTTCTGGAGTTCCACGATACTCAACCACAACCCCAAATCGCTTCCTCAACAGCCGAGCCCCTCCATTACCTCACCTCAATCTCTTCCTCTTCTTGCCCATCAAGACTTTTCTTCTCGCCTGTTGTTGCACATCACCTGCTGCACACTACAGCAACCTCGAGCAGCGACACGAACCTTTCTCCCCTCTGACAAGATGTTGCCAATGCATCCGCCACCGACCATTTCTTTACAAGCAGTCCAGTGGCAGAGTAGAATTGGCTTTTATCTCTATTGCCTTCCATGGTCATGGTCATCGCAGTCATGGCAACCCTAGCTTTGCGCGACAATCTCACCAGGAACAGTTCCCTTGTTTCACTTTTCATCTCCTGTCAACCCTTCATCAACGATGCACGCTTCCAGAAAGCGCTTGCAACTATGGCCATCAGCCACATGCTCCTGTCTTGTCAAGTGACCTTACTACGGGTGCATGTTCTAGGTTGCTGGCATGCTGCCGAGCAGTGCATCGCCTGCCAGCTCAGTCTCGGGTCCCCGCCGATATCCCAAGGGTCCTTCCTGAACTTGTCCCCATAATCAGTGCAATGCAGACGTGGCTTGAACTGGTAGCTTCGAGGCTTAAAGTACCTGGGGAAGGGAAGGAGTCAACTCACCGGCATGACACCAGTTACCTTCCATGTCAAACACACAAGACTCCAGGGAAGCAACTTTCGAGTGGTATGGAGCTCTCCTGCATATTTCTCTGTCTAAACCTGACCACCTTTTCCGACTCAGCCAATCTGGAAAGAGCTTTTCATACTACCACCGGCTGAGGGCCTTCCTCGAACTGCCATGTCCGCTCACCGGGCCACCGCACACGCTGTTCAAGGCAAGAGGGACAAAAGGTCTCTCCCGTTGCACTGCTCACATGACCACCCGATCACGCCTTGAAGCCATTGGCAGAACCTGCCTTGGGCCAGTTTACATCCGCAGTTTCTTTGGCCACGGTTTGCAAAGAAGATTTACCAGCGCAGATGAAACATGGCAGTCCACTAGTTCTTCCATCTTGAGATGTGCCACCAACCACCTGACCGAACATGGCACGCACGAGCAGATGGAAAGTGACACCCACTCACTTTGACTTACCTGCTCCGGCTTGTGGGAACAACCCGGTGTTGACTTTGCCTGCTTACCTGCTTGCTTGGAGAAGCAAATGGTGTCTCCTCTTTCCCCGTCCCTTCTAGAAAACATGTCGGATCACTCACATCAAAACCCACCTGCTTTAATGCACTGCACGAGTGGCAGGTTGCGAGTCAGGACCCTGTCGGACGAGCCGGGCTCTTGCCTTTTGTTTTCCCAAGACCACGACCGGTGGGCTCTGAGTAAGAATCGGAAAGAATACGACTAAACGAGTCTAAACGAAACCCACAACAAAACCCACCTGAGCGAGGGGTCCCTTGCACGGCACATGGGAGCTCCGCCACATACCTCCGCCGTTAAAATTGTGTCTCTTGCGTTATTGACGAGGCGCACGGCTCGGTGCAATGCAAATCGTCAACACACACCCGCTGTGGAGTTTCATAGTGTACTTCATCCCTTACTCACTCCTCGGAGAGTCGGCACCTTCCGCACACCCTGCCCCTGAACATCTTGAGACAACTACTGTGTAATTATTGCTCGCTCCAAGCTCCTCGTCCGGCAACTTCCGCAATACACGGACATTACACGGGTAGTACAGCCATGTGTCCGCAAGGATGACCCCGAACAACAACATGGCCGGTTCTAGCTCGGTTCTGTACGTATAGCTTGGCCCGGTGCGATGACTGAAACCGTTGGTCCATCGCTTGAGTCGGCTTGACCGTGGCATGGTTGATTTACATGAAGTCTGCCTTGGAATGACGTGGATGATACTGGATTATGGATCTGCACCCCCGGGAGACTTCAAATCTCCATATCTCTTTGACTTGGCGATAGGAGATGCCGAGGACACCCGTGATCCAAACTGTTGATACGCCGACCTACTTAAACACCCCTCGCCTAGCTTCGTAACGTCTGTGATGGCACCCGTCGTTCATCCTCAGCTTCGAGATTTCCATTGCAACAACTTCTCCCCGTCCTATCCCACCCGTGCTTTTACTGCGGAATCAACCAGGACACGATATGATCGGGTTGATCTCGCTGGGCCTAGCAGCCATTGCAGGCGCCGCGGTTACCCCAAGACATCTGCACCCACTTCGAACGGACTCTCGGTTGATCACGGCACAAGATGGACCGATCGTCCTATCTTCCAGTACGACAGAGGGCAGCGTCCGTGTTCTCGATTACGGGGCCAACGTAGAGGGTATCCCGTCGTTCGAAGTTGTGAGCGCCACGGGCCAGGCGCTCGTTCTCGAGATCACTTACTCGGAAACCAAGGCCGGGTTGGATTCGTACTTGGTACGCCATGTCCCCTATTACCATCTCCTCACACGTGCCTCCCGAGCAGAGAGCTAATTGTTGATCACTCACGCCATCAGGGTGACGGTCCAATCCCGCTAGCGGCAGCCATGGATACGTACCGCATCAACCGTTACTACATCGATGCTCCGGGCCAGTTTACCCATCGCCATGTCCAGGGGGGCTTCCGATACCAGAAGCTAAATTTCTCGTCGCCCGGCGAGCTGACGCTGCGGAAGGTTGGCGTGATCCCAACCACTCACACGACTCCTATCGACAAGCTGCCCGGGTCGTTCAAGAGCTCCGACAGTTCCTTGACGGATATCTGGGCGGTCGGTGCTAGAACCATCCAGCTGACCGAGATCCCCCAACATTCTTCCCCTGAGTTTTGGGAGATCACCAGCGAGGGTGCCGTAATCGACAGTCTTGCACCCCAGGCCAACTCAGGGCTGGTTGCCGTCACCAGCACGGCCTACAGCCTCGAATTCAAGGTCAAGCCGCTAATCGGAGGCTTCGGCTTCAGCGTGCTGTCTGACACTCTCAACTCAGCGATCTACATCTCCGTTGATGTCGGAGCAAGGACTGTCGCGGCCTACCTCGGGTCGACTGCCGAGGACACCGAGCTCACTAGGGCTACGGTGCCGTCGAACGTGACCCTTGCTCTGGACAGTTGGCACTCGGTACACGTCGAGGTTGCAATGACCGATATTGCCATCAGCATCAACAGCGGACTGGTGCTCAACTTTACCCAGTACTCCAAGTTCTACGGCTCTTACGGCCTTGGTGCTTCCTTTGGTCACAAGGCCGTCTTTAAAGACCTCGTCGCCACCGACCCCACGCGCTCTGTCACTTACCAGCACCCCCTGACCGACAAGAGCTGCTTCGACGATTTCCTGCTGGGTACCAACCCCCTCCCTGTCTCTGTCGACGGCTCGCGCCGGGACCGTATCGCATACGCTGGCGACCTTGACGTTGCCGGTTCTGCTGCCTTGGTTTCCACTCATGGGCTAGAGTTTGTCGAAGGTGCCCTTGACCTGTTTGCATCCGTCCAGGCCGCGCCCGGCTTTTTCACGCCCACTGTCAAGATCCAGCAGAAGCCGCTTTCGACTCCTTTGGATGTCAACATTACAGGTCTAATCGGATACTCGTGGAACCTGCTCACGGCTGTCTCTCAGACGTACATGCACACGGGAGATCTCGCCTTGGCCTCGGAATGGGCACCTAGGATCGTAAGGATGCTTGACTGGTCGCACTCGCAAACCTTGCCCAGCGGTCTGTTCAACCTCAGCGACGCCAGCTTCGGTGGAGATTGGAATTACTACGACCCGGCTCAGTCCGGAGTCGTCACCAAGTTCAACGTCCTCTACGCCTACGCGCTCCAAGAGACGGTCGGGCTTTTGGCCGACTCCGGTGTTGACGTCTCTGTGTATCAGGACCGCCTCACTGCGCTGCGAGCAGCCATTGATGAGCACCTCTGGAGTGATGAGCTGGGGGCGTATGTCTACTCAGAAGACATCAGGGACGGGTTCGGCCAGGACTCCAACGCCATCGCCCTTCTTGCTCACGTCAACGTGGACCCGTCACACTCGTCCCACACCATCTTGTCGACCCTCTCGAGAGAACTTGCCACGTCCAAGGGCCCCCTAGCCTTCTCCTCTGGCGTCATCGAGCACGGTTTCCAGCGGTACATCAGCCCCTACGCCTCGGCATACCATCTCCGTGCGGCGCTGGCCTCGCAGGACGCCAGAGCCGCCCGGGAGCTGCTCGACTCGCTGTGGGCGCCCATGGCCGACGTTAACCATGCCAACTACACGGGCTGCTTCTGGGAGACGCTGGACGCGTCCGGCCGCCCCGCGTTTGGAGCCCACACCAGTCTGTGCCACGCATGGGCCGCGGGCCCGACGGCCGAGTTGAGCCGTTTCGTGCTCGGTGCCCAACCCACCAAGCCCGGCTGGGGTGAGTGGGCGGTTGCCCCGCAGACTCTTGGTCTCAGCTCTGCTCAGGGCGAGGTTCCCACGCCTCTCGGTGCTGTCCGTGTAAACTGGAAGTTCTGTGGAACCCTCCTCACCATGTCTGTCGAAGCTCCTGCTGGCACCACGGGGACAGTCACTCTTCCATCGCCGTTGTTGGTTCCGGCGGCCCAGTCCAAATTCACCATGAATGGTTCTGTTGTCAACGGCACAACTGTGACTGTGAAGGGGGGTTCCAAGATCACCATTGTGCAGTCGAGAAAGTGAGGAGGTAGTGGCGAGTGAACACACTCCGGCCACAGAGGGGAGAGATGAGAAGTAAGGAGGAACTTCGTTTGGGAAAAGATACATACGTTCAGAGTAATGCAGTGTAATTAATATATAGAGCCACTGGAGACAGTAATAATACAGCCATGAATGGTGTCTCCTTGCCAAGACCTCCAACCCCTATTCTTCACTTCAACGCCGTCTCACAATCGTCCTGTGGCTGACGGCGGCACCCATCCGATCTCCTCCACGGCCCAGTGAATCCACAACCGGCCCTCGTCGTCTAACAAGTTGTACGCGTGGGCTATGAGATGTCCGCCCCAGCCTTGCATCCACCAATGACCCTCTAACTTCTTCAACAACACACAGAAAAACGCAAAGATGGACACCGCTTCCCGCGTCGGCGTTCGCAACAGCGGCAGGAAGTCTTCCGCCATAAGAAACACCCAGACGAAAGCATCCGCCATCTCATATCTTCCCGCACACGCCTCGGCCTGGCCAAAGGATTTCTTCAGCTCAGCGATGGCCAGCAGATAGACCCCCCTCAACGCTTCGTCCTCCAGCGGCCGCTGCGCCATGATCTCCTCCAACTCGGCCAACGCGGCGTGCCCGGACGAGTCGGCCGCCTCGGGCCCCTCGCGCACCATGAAGCGGGCGACCGAGTGCGCAAACAGCGGCGCCAGCGGGCCTGAGGTCGGCACCCCCGCCAGCTCGATGAAGCCCTTGGTGCCGCGGAGCAGGTACACCCAGTCTGGGAAGCCCGCGTTTTCTTGGAGAAAGAGGGTGTCCTCGGACTTGCGCGGCCAGCCTAGGGCTATGGATGGGGGGCCACATGGTTGTTGTGTTAGTTTGGACATTCCACTTTGCAATACTAGATCATGTTACCGGAATGGCGCACCGTAGTAAGTTGTCAAGACGGAAAAGAGGAACAGCATCTGCGCGTTCTCGGGCGTTGCATCCAGCACGAGGGGAATGGCGGCCTGTGATGCGGTTTGGTGGTGGCGGATGGCGGCGGCGAGGTAGTGGTCGCGCGTAGGCTGGCGGTGGTGAGCGAGGTGAAGACCCGACAGAGCCAACACACCCCGCATAATGTAGTCGCAGTCGAATCCCACTTGCACCACCGTATTTCGGTAGAATTCTCGGATGACCTGTTTGAGTGAGATAGGGGTTCAGTAAGTAAGTTGTCAGCTCCAGAGCGCCGTCTCCCAATCACTCGCACTATTATCCAACCAACGTTGAGGCTGAAATGGCAGGCAAGAGCCAAGACAAAAAGAAAAACAAAAAACAGACGTACTGGGCTTTCTGAGAGAGTAAGATATGTGGTGGTGGTGTAATTATGGAGTAGTTCCAGATCCGTGATATTCAGGCCGGTGGGAGACACACCCGGCTGTGGTGTTCCGACCACGCAGAAGTCGCAGTCGACCTGGCGCCGGGTGCAGTTTGAACATGATGGCTTTTTCTCGTCGCACTACACCGAGACAGCCACCGATTCCGAACATCAGTCAGTGCCGGTCCGTCTCGCCGTCTCCGGCATGATGCATCAAACACGGCCCGGAGGCTCGCTCACCTTGATTTTCCGAGCCTTGCAGTTCTTACAGCCTAGAATCAATATCAACTGGTTAACAAATGTAGGAAGCTGTTTGTATGAGCCATTGTAGGTTTCTCTTGCCACAATTGATCCCACTGCGCCGTGAAGAATTACGTTACGTAAGAATGCCGGTGACCAGGAACCGGGAAACGTCAGGACAAAAAGTCTTACCCATGCGGCTTTTGTTATGTGCCCTGCGTTTGCTGTTGGCCATGTGCGGTCACGTTACTCCAGCCCAGAAAGTGATTTCCGTAGGATGAGTACATGTAGATTAGGGGGAGAAGAAAGGGGGTTGGTTGAAGGCTCGGGTTTGTCCGAACAAAATGCGGCGGATACGGGCCCATTGAATGTAATGATACATGATACATACTTCGTATGTGCACGGATTCAACTCCTTTTGCTTGGGACTGGAGACAGTGGAGAGAGTCAGGGCCCAAGGAGCATCGCCTCGATCTTGGAGCTGCAGATCAATCTTCCTCTTTTTTTTTTTCGCTCCATCTTTTTTAGCCTTTCCAAACCCTCCATTGGCCAGTTCCCAAAGACGGCTCCGGTAGTATCCGGGCCCCTGGAATGAGGGTGGGGCGAGAGATGGTCCATGGGGTGGCTTGCGTAGCTCGTTTAGATACGAGAGTTGGACGTATATCTCGGATACCGTGGTTAGCATGGCTCGCCCCAGCAGGCCGCAAGCATGCTGCATGGAAACCAGGGAGAAGGAACCCAGCTTCGCAAGCGCGGGCTGAGTCCAGCCCTGCCTCTCTATTTCATGTCCCGAGTGAGCCAAATATTTGTCTCCTACTTTTATATTTTACTGAAAACCTCCTTCGTTCCGACGACCGGAGTCGTTCGTGTCCCATTCTTCTATTCTTCAGTGCTTCACTCCCTCGGTTGCTCCTTTTTCTGCACTTTGGCTTCCAGTCTGGCAGCTCTTGGCCTCTGTCTCAGTTAAAGACACGCTTATTCTCACCACGACACCTCCCTCTTCGTTGGCCATCAAAGAGTATTGTCTCGACAATAACCCCTAAGCCGTGGTCACTCTTTAGCAACCCAGACCTTCACCTTGTCCCCTTCACAATTTTCCGAGCACCAACCAACATGGCAGACCCGACGGCATCAGGAGCCGAACTCCTCGACTTTGCCTTGTACCGATATGAACTGTCCTTACCCGCCGCCATCGTTGCCGCCGCCGTCTTTTTGGTCCTCACGTTGCTTCACGTCTGGCTTATATACCGCCACCGCTCCTTCTACTTTACGGCGTTCACCGTGGGTGGTTGCTGTATGTACACCCAGCACACCTCGGCCGTGTCTCTGGAGATCGCTAATTGTACGTGTCTGTGTCTGGTTTAGTTCAAGTTGTCGGTTATTGTGGTCGAATCTGGTCCCATTTCGACAACATGGCCATCGGCGGTTTCGTAATGCAAGCCATTCTCATTCTCATTGCACCGGCCCTGTACGCGGCCTCCATCTACATGATCCTCGGCCGGCTGATCCGCGCTTTGCATGCCGAGTCGGTGTCTATCATCCCTGTCAAGTGGATGACCAAGATCTTCGTTATTGGTGACGTCTTGTCGTTCCTCATGCAAGCTGGTGGTGGCGGCATTCAGGCGGCCGGCACTCTGGAGCTCTACGACATCGGAGAGAAGATTATCATCGTCGGTCTCTTTGTTCAGATCTTCATGTTCGGCTTCTTTCTCGCTACCACCGTTGTGTTCCACTCCCGATTCCGCCGATTCGACAGCTCCGTCAGGCAACAGCCGTTGGTCCGCTGGAAACGCCATCTAACCGTCCTGTACGTTGCGAGCGCCATCATCTTGGTGCGGAGCATATTTCGTGTTGTCGAATACCTTCAGGGGAATAGGGGCTATCTCATTTCGCATGAGATCTTTCTCTACATCTTCGATGCTGTGCTCATGGCTGCCGTCATGGCCATCTTTTGCGTCTTCTACGTCGACGATCTTGAGACATCCGAAAGTGGGAAACGAGGCAGCGCCATGGAGATGCTGTCGAGCCGAGACAGCGAGGAGCCAGGCATGGTACCACGGCCTTATGGGGTTTGAACCAACCTGGGCGGGACTGGTAACCATAATTAGGCCTCAAAGAGCCACCACTTCTTATTAATAGATCCAAATATCTCATTTTTATATTGCTTGTCATTTACTCACGGTCAGATGTAAAACATGCAAATCTTGTAAATTGCCACGGCCTGCCTCTGTTTTCCACGGGATGCTACCGACGAGTCCCTGCTCGACGAGAACCCAAGTCTACCAACAGATCGTGAGTTCTGCGCCTGGTTTCCGTGCAATCTACCGTGGCTTCTTCACCACCACACTGCACATACGAGGGCGCGAATGCGTCATCCAGCAGGTCGATAATATCGTTTTCTTCCAACCTCTGGGGAAGGACTACTTTATGCCTCTTGCGGTTCGTGTTCTCTTCTTTTTCGTTGCTCTTGATCCAGCGGGCAAGATATTTTATCTTCAAATGCTCGACCATGTCGCAGATGTGGTCTGTTATGTCGCGTAGATTTATGTACTGCTGCTTCCGGGCGTAGTCATGGGGCTGCATCCCTGTGGTGCGGTAAATCGCTTTAATCACAGAGCGGGCCAGCGCCATGGTTCCAGTGGTCGCCGCATTAGAAGCAGCTCGGGCTGCCCGGACTGCAAGTGTGCCGGCTTTCCGGAAGAGGTTTGTTCGTATGTGGTCAACCGGAGGCTCAATTGCCTGTTGATCTGGGTTGAAGGGGGTTGTGTTCTCTGCCATTTTGGTGCGCGAAGAGAATTAATAGCAAAAGATCCAAGGCTCGTTGATTCCAGTATCGCAGCTGTAGGTATTGAAGAGTGGACTGTGGGCGGCGATGAACGTAAAATGCGTAAGTATATGTAGGTAGATAAGTTCTGGTCACGGTGACCTAACTTGACCTGCCAGGTAGCCGCATGTACTCATGGCTAGTTGTGGATATGGTATCACGATGCAGTGAATGGTGCATACACAACCTGTTGCCGCCATCTCATATCAGATGGATCAACAGGACCGTTCACGGAGTGAAATACAAGGCTGGGTTCTCGACACAGCTTACTGCTTTCACCCCACCCGGTATTCTCTAACCGCTTGGTTCTCCATGTTCTGTCGGGGACATAGAAGTGTTTGAGCTGGGTCACATTGTCCCAGTCTATGGGAACAACTGAGTTCCTATCAAACATGAGACCCGGGCAGTCAACACCTTGCCTTCCAAAACAAGGACCTCTCGCAGAGTTGACCAACGGCCATGTGCACTTTTCTCAGTTGGGTACCTGTGCATCTATTGACTGTGTATTTGCCCTTGCTCTTCGGGAATCGGGAATTATTTGTAGAGGTAGTGAAGCTTTCTCCATATGTAACACCTTAACACCTAGGTAGAGTTTCACCAGGGGTCACAATCCGGACGGCGATGGACTTAGGCCACTTGGCACTTTCATACCACCACAGTATGCGAGAACCATGGAGAGCCCTGGTGCCATGCAACCGGGACTCGCCCGGTCGCACCAGGCTTCCAGCCAGCCGGGCATTTCCGCCGTTTCCGAGCGGGAGGACCTGGCCTTGACCAGCCCTACCAGCGGGGCCTTGGTACAAGGTTACTGTGTAGGTACCAATGGGAGCATGAACAGTCAACAAACAGTCTGCACTGTTCTTTTCTTGCGCAGGGGCAGGCGGCCCACCTCGGACCCCGAGTCCCATTTCCAAGAGATTGCTCCCTGGCTGGCGCATGGCAGCGCGGGAGCAGGGCCAGCCCGGTGGCATTCTGTGATTTGACGGTTTGGCACGCGTCTCTCGTTGTTCAAGCTCACTCTCTTGAATCATAATACCCGATCCAGCAGGCGAGAAAGGTTAGCTTGTGAGCTTGTCAGGTAAATCAGCCTCCTGGTCCTTGACGCAGTGGAGATCTCTCAGCTCCCCCCCTGTTATCTCAGCCCCTTATTCGCTTGTTCGCAACGGTCAGCCGGGAATTATTGCTGAAATGATGCACAAGTCCGAGGTAGGATTGCCCCCCCCCCCTTGTCGGCTCCCCCAAAATACCCACTCTTGAGCCGCCTGGCCCTATCTGCGGCGCAGATCTGCGAATGGTAAGCACCTCGCGTCCCAGCGCGAACTGGGGTGTGCTGATGAGTCGGGACTTCTTCCGTCTTCTCCTCTACACAACAAGCCTTCTCACCACCGTCCCTCCAACTCGAACGCGACGAGGGCGCTTCGGCTGACGAACCGACAACACGCGAGCACGCCTCTCTTGGAAAAAATCAAGACCCAGAAGCGATTATGGTGTGCTACTACTAGTTACCGAATCAAGGACCGCAACGGTGTTCCCGGTCACGATGCGCTCCCACCGTACGACACCGAGCTTGATTGCCCTCCTGGGAGCACTCGGCTTTGCTCTCGGGTCGGATCCGACGGATACTCCCACAGTCAGCAACTTTCTCCGCAGAAGCGCCACCTCAGGTAGGTTGCGCCATGTCTCAACGAGCGAGAGGAACAAAGCGGCGTTCTAACGGCAAGAAGTGACCATCATTGGCGACTATCTCTACATGGATGGCGGCGAGCTCTCACAATTGGTGGATGGAAAGTCGATGAGGGTAAACCGGGGGTCGGATCCAGGTAAGACTGCCACGAAAATATCCATCTGGGCATCTCTTCGATCGATTGGGTTCCATGTCACATCCTCGATTTTGGTCCTCTTCCGTCCTCACGGGAGCCAAAGGTTCGTACGTGCCGTATACATGTACTAACAGTGCCCAACCCGCCCTAGTGAACTCGACGATTTCCATCAACCTGGCCAAGTCATGGAGCTCTTCCCAGATTACAATGCGTACAATCGACAGGCCGTGGGCAAGCAAGGCCAACCAAATAATATGGACAGACAAGGAAGCAGGGGCATTTTACGTCTGGGGTGGCAAGTGGATAGGGGGTACGAACATGACGCCAAACGAATTATGGAAGTTCACCGCCGACGGCAACGGCGGGGGGACTTGGGCCGTCGAGCCCCCCGCAAACCCAACTCTCTTCGATAGTCTCGAGCAGTACGAGTATGGAGCGTATACCAACACGGGCACGACAGGGTTTAGTGTCGGGGGGTTGGCATCGGGCTGGACGAAGAAGTACCGCGGCCACAACCAGGTGGTGCCGGGCATGGTGGCCTTCAACATGAATACGAAGATCTGGCAGAACGGAACCACGGCGTTCAGTCCCACCGACACCATCGTCGCTGCTTCGGCTGAGTATATCCCGACCTTTGGCCCCAACGGCTTGATCATGCTGTTCGGTGGATTATCTTTCCCGCACGATACCGAGGGTAGCTCGGCCGACTGGCAAAACGCAGCGTCGTACAATCTCCGGAACCTCACCTTCTTCGACCCACAGACGAAGGACACATATTGGCAGATTGCGACGGGGAGCGTCCCCGCGAACCCACGGTCCCGATTCTGCGTTGCCGGTTTTGAGACCTCTGACGGCGGCTATGATATGTGAGTTTCCACGCTTTGCAAATCCCGAGCTTGGTACGCCTAGCTTCTCTGGTGCTAATACCTCTCCAGTTTCTTATCTGGAGGATACAACGAACGTGACAAATTCACCTATGACGACGCTTACATCCTGAGTTTGCCGGGATTCGTATGGACGAAGCTCCCAGACCCCCAGACTGGCGGGCGCAGCTCCCATAGCTGTGTGGCCGTCGGCAAGCGCCAAGTGTTGAGCATAGGCGGTACCAACAGCGACGGTTGGTCGGACCCAGATCCAGCTCCGCAAGGGTTGTTGCTGTTTGACATGGCGGAGCTGAAATGGAAGGACTCATACGATGCCACCGCAGCAGCGTATGAAAGGGCTAATGATATCGACAGCTTCTATACCAACGGGTATGTACCGCTCACTACTCACTAATCACCCCCAACTGTTACTGGGTTTATCGGATTCTGTTCCTAACAAACACAGCTCTTTGGATGCAGTCGAGTGGTCGTCGAACGTAGTGCGGGATATGTTTGTAGCAACCAAGTCAACGACAGGTATGTGATGAAGCGGTTCGGTCCTTACGCTTCTTCCTTTCTGGTATATGTAGGTAGCTAACGGCGTTTGCATCACAAGACCCAGGATCAACTACATCATCGACCTCCAACCCAGGCGGTACCGGCACGGGATCTGACCCAGAGCAGGAGCAGGAACACTCAACTATTTCGGCCGGCGTGATTGCAGGCATAGTTGTCGGGGCCGTGGTCGGGGTGGCCGTCATTGTTGGAAGCATCTGGCTGATCATCCGACACGCGAGGAAGCCCGACTCGACCCCCAACAACGACTATGCCGCCGGCCCGGGCCAGGATCCGGACCCCGGGAGCGGAGGTGCGTATTACGATGACGCACACTACGCCCCTGAAGTTGTCAAATATGGTAGCCCGACGGAGACAACACAGCCTGTGCAGTACAAGACGGAACCGCAGGAGCTTAATGCTCATCGCCCTTACGCCGAGCTTCCTGTACAATATGATCACACCCATACAGGTGTCGATGGCGCCACCCTCACAGACCCATCCCCTAGATACTATTCGGTCGCCCATGAGATGGATGCTACGCCCTCAAGATAGGATGCCGCGCGCTCGTTTTCTGCGGAAAAAGCAAGAGGAATAGGACTGGCCTTTACACCGTCTTTATTCAGGTTTAGATTCACCGTACCATAAATAATAACAAGGGGCTAAGAGCTCTAATTATAGTACTTGTCTAAGGAGAAATAAATAAAGGAAGGACTACCTAGGTGCAGAGGGGTGTGAAGCACAAATCCTGCCCATCCGATATTGTCTTCTCATTCTTTGTAGGTTGACGCTAGAGATCAAATTCTGGTGGTTCAAGTTACAGCCCGCGTGCCCACCACCTTGCTCTCCGGGACCGCTGCTCAACTGCGAGTATATACACCCCCCTTAACTATCATTCCCCGAACACTACACATCTAACACTCCGTGACCCCTTTCCAAATCAAGACGTCAACCTCGCCACAGTGGTCTCAAAGTTGGGGTTTGCCGCCTGAGCAAAGTCGTGTGACCAGTAGCCGTGGACATCGTGAATCGGAATGCTGGAGGAGGGGCTGTTGACGCTAGACGGCTTGCCGGGCGAGTAGGCAAAGGCGAGCCGGTTGCCGCCGCTCGGGCTCAGGTACCTCGTCGATGACCCGGACTCCCACGCCGTGCACCCCTTGCAGAGCGCTGTAAACTGCCAATGCGTGCTGTTGGACTTGGTCCCGGCCTTGAAGAGGGTGTACTCGGCGCCCGTGTAGGGCGTCGGCATGACGTGTCCGCTAAACGCAGAAATGGTTACTCTCTGGTAGGGGGGGGTTGGGGGGCTTGAGAGCCCACGCTTTTCAGGGGCAGAGCGGGACAGTAATGGCTTACGTGGCCCAGCGAGAAGACAGGATGACATTGTTGCTGGAGCCCCTCCAGGCTACCAGCAGTGGGCTCCGCGGCATGGAGCCGCCCCAGGAGAGGCCGGCCCAGCCCACGTCGTTGGGGACGACCATCTGGATGACGGAATCATACGACGTGTAACTCTCGGCGGTGTCCGGAATTGCTACGCGGAAGGTGATGCCGCGCCCGTCGGCCTTGTAGAGCTGGAAGTTGGACGAGAAGATCAAGCCGGTGTCAGGATCTTGATATACGGCGTTGGCGGCGGCACCGGCGGCGGCTGCTACGTCCTCCAGTCAGCATTGCTAGAATCGTTGCCGTCTAGCAGCCAAGGAATCGGTGTACTTGCCAGTCCGCAGCAGGGCTGCCACAAGCCCGAGGAATAGTGTCCACAGCATGATAAAGTTGGTGATCACTTGCTGGTTGCCGGTCAGCCAAGAATCCCTGAACTCTTGTCCACGCAATCACCGTCGCCGAGAGGAAATGAACGGGGGTCAACGTACGCGGCGCTACTGACAGAAACCGGCGGGTGAGCTTGGCGGCAGGAGGATGTGCGACAGGAAGACACGGAGCGGCAGGACGAGCCTTTTAGTCGTCGGCCACGGGACAGCAGAGCTGGGCCAAGACGGCCGAGATACGGGGAACGGGTGTATCCCACCATGAATAAATATAGAGGGCAGCTTGGCACGTTGCTGTCGGCATCTCGAATCCCTGGACTGTGTTGACCCAGGGCGGAGCCGGTCCGGGGTCGACTGCTGGACGCCGCTACACGACCAACTTCCAAGACTAATCACTAGACGCCCGTTGGATGGCTGCAATCGCGTGACGACATCAAGTTGGCCTTTGTTAATCTAAATCATGCCGGAGAATCTTCCTCCTGGGGCGCGGCGCTTCCCTTGAAGGCGTGCAGGGACGGGGGCCTGGTTACGACGGGAGAAGGTTGTAGTGTGCAAGGGACGGCATATGGATATGCTAGGGACTGGAGACTGGTAGTGCGGGGCGGCCGGCGAATAACGTTTTCCTCCTCCAAAGATCATCCTCCCTTTTACCCGAGGATATTAGGCCAGGGAACCGTCCAGGTTCCTCAGCGGCCAGCCTCCGGGGGTTAAATGGTCAGCATATATTAAAAGCAGTTGCGTTATACCTTCCCAGAGCCGCAAAACCGAACTGGGAACGGGAGTAGTGTGGGCGAGTTGTGACGCGAGGATGCTGATATGAAAAGGGGTTGCGCGCAATTCAAGCCGTTGCGACCTTGTTGTTCCATTTCTCTCCAAAGTCCAAATGCAAACCTTCCAGAACTTTTTAGCATGGTTTTTGCACCGACGAATCGGGGTACTTACCACAAGTTACCGGGCTCTGGGCAACTCGCAATACAAATGCCTCCAAGCTCACTGGCTGGAGGCAAACCGGCGTGCCATCAGACTCGAGACCCAGGTCCTGGATACCACAACATGACCTCTTCGTCATATTGTCTAGCCCCTCAAGCTAGCTTTTTAATATCTTCCTCATCTATTTCCCAGGTCCCAGCCCCAGCAGATTCGATAACACGCGCGTGGTGTATACGAGAGAAACCTTCCAGAAGCCCCGTCTGCCGAGCATTTCACTAACCATTTTCTTCTTCAAATCCATCTTCCGGGTTTACATCCTTGGTGTGTTAATTTAGAAAGCCAACGCCATGTGGTGGTGATGAAGCTACCTACCCTCCTCTTCAAGAGTCCCAGCATGTGTCCCTTTGTGTCTACACGGCTCGCGTTTCTGGGGCTTGAAGGGGGCCAATAGTTGCTGCGAGTTCGTTGGTTTGTGGCTTCATGAAACTCGGTCACACATTTAACCCCGAGGAAGGGATCGGAGCCAAGTTTCCGTAGTTACCCGGTTCACACTTCGCTTGTCATACACAACCAGCTCTTCTAAATACAGTCAACATACGTTGCCAGCACCATAAGCGTAATTGGAATTTAACGCATGTCAGCTTGCCAGGCAACATGGTGGTTGAAGCCTGAAGTTATGCGAAACGGCACCAGATGGGTCTCAAACCATCATTTTGTTTCTCACATATCATCCCTATTCAGCAACTACAAGCTCAATCATGTTCTTGAGATGGACCCGATCATGAAGCCCATCCACAAGACTTCACAGCAATATCGTCAGAAAGTGTGAACCGCCAGAAGCCGGTTCTCAGCCTAGCGCTTGAGGGTGCTGCAAGGTTCCTACACTAGAATAACTACTCCTTTCCTTTATAGGATCGGGAATAGCAGTACATTCATCTGAGAGTCTATGAACATTGTCGATTGCCGGGAGCTATATTCTTTTCGTAACTTGAGTCTCAACGTGGTCAGCATCGGAGCCTGCAGCTCAAGTTCCTTCAACCTGGGTAATTATCTATAGTCCTCTCTCCTATTGCAGGCGTATCTTTTGCACTGTTAACCATCACTTCCCTACCAAGCACGTGCCAAGGTAGGTAGGTTAACGTATCAGTTCCGACACCCTGGGATGACCAACATCAACCAAGTTGCCGGATCGGCCCCGGGTCCTGGAAAACTGAATCCCAATCCCGCGGCCACGTCTAACAAGCGATTTGAGCCCAGAGGGCTTACAATCACTTCTAAAGGGCCTTGGAAACACTGGTAAGATACCGGCAGAGAGAGATTTCAGGAAGCCGAAACCCGGTTTCTGACTCAGGAGTGTTGGAGGAGCGGGGCCATGTGGCCCACGTCATACATTGTAGACATACATCATAGACATACATCATAGACATACATCATAGACATACATCATGACGTCCTCGAACTCGTCGTATACCTTACCTTACCTCGGTACCTACCTTATGTAACCAACTCGCTCTTGTTTCTATGTCTTGAACTTCGTGCCTCTTTCCGATAGATCATCGAGGCCAAAGTGGAATACACGCGGCGGTTACCTTGACGTTGATCGGCAGGATCGGGACCGGGGGACCGGGGGACCGATCGGGCGGGAGTGGGTCCGGAATTCGGGGTGGGGCGCCGTATTTCCTGGAACTCGGCAGAAACAGTTTGACTCATCGCCAGAAGGGGCACTTAGTAAACTTTGTCTAGAAAGTAATCACTGCCAAAAATGTCGGCCGATTAAGTGCCAACGTCAGCGACAACTGGTTCGTTTTGGGGGACTTTGAGGGGAATCATCTGGTCATGAGCACGAACTTGCTCCGCAAAATTACCGTTGGGAAAACTCAAACCCACAACTTACCCGGGGTATCCCGCGCACTCGACGGGGTTCCCCATATCAGCCCATTCTGCCAAATTCGGATGATTCAATGACGTTGAGAACCACCAGGATGCTGCCACCGGCTCCCATTCTTTCCTGCCTTACGAAACAATGTTTTTCCGCTACCCCCACGAGGCCGGGCATTGAGGTGGGCTCTCTATTTACCTTGGATTTCTTTTTTCGTTCAACGTCAGAAATATTATTCTAGGTTGTGATTGCTTGTCGGAACTCCATCGATATTGTCGTCGTCAACGAACGGCTGTTGGAATCAGAATTACCCGAAATTTGCGAGGGGCGTCGAGATCTCTATCTTTCCAGCGTTTTTTATCAAGGTGCATGTGATTACATGTGAATCTCGGCTTGGAGTCCCGCGATCTCGGGAAGCGGGGCGCCTTAAAGAGCCGAGGCCCTCACTCTCTTCGGCGGGCGGCTCCGAGGCCCCTCTTGCCTGCAGGCAGGAAGGAGGGGCACTCATCGAGTGGCGTGGGCCCCCTGTTCAGAGAGTCTCGACCTCAAAACTAACCCAGATGCATTTCTCGTACGAGTGAAAAATAAATCGTCTGTTTGCAGCCCATTCGCGGGTCTCGAGACGCTGTAGTGCCGCTATTGACCATGCCGCCGAGTTGCGATTCCAAGTTGGGTGTCGACGGGAGCCGACCGAGATGGCGTTTCCAACGGCATTCAGACGCCTTTACATAAATCCTGAGCTCGCTCCCGTTAGCTTTCTTGCCCAGCATTACTAGCACCATCATCATCATATCACCAGTGACGCTCAGCAAGCAAATGACAACGTCATCATTCAATCCTACAGCCCTACAACCCCACACTCAACCATAGTCATCGACATCACCGACTCTATTGCCAGCATAGTTTTACACCACTTCTTCGCTCCCTTCTCATCTCACTTCTTGCAACTTCAATCAAGCTATCGTTAATCGTTAGGCAACCGAGATGTTTGACACGCGTGATGACTCGTCGCCGATGACATTCGACCCATATACAGCAACGTTCTTTGACGCCCCCCAAAATGTTCGTTACCTACTCTTGTCCCCTTTTCCTTCTGTCAGACCTGGTGCCTGGCGCATGGTGGGGGGCAAGGCCGGTCTCCCGTCTTGCAGTACTCGGGGCTGAGTCCAGCTACCCCCCCCCCCCCAGTTTTTACCTGTTGACTGCCCCCGACACGCACAACTTTAGGCCCTCTCTACGATCAATAGCTGACCATGTCAAAGCAATCACATCCCGATGTTCCTCCATTAACCTTCTTCGACACCCAAGATTTCGGGATAGACTTCCCATGTGACTCGGCGGCTTCCTCGTTGTCGTCGTTCTCGCCTATCTCCTCGGCCGGTAGCTCATTCGGCCCCCCCACGACAGACGCATGGGCTGCTCGAGATTCGCTACAGCACTCCCAGCCCGAGAAGCTTTTCGAGCCCCCAATGTTTGATTTGTGCCCACCGCCGAATGCCAACCCCAGCTCGGTGATCAACCCCTTCGGCCTCACTGTCCCGCCCTCCTTGAAGCCCCCCCAAGTGATGTTGGCCACCATCCCCGGCCAGCAACAACCTACCACAACCGCGCCCTCTACATCTCCCATACGGCCCACAACATGCCCCTCGGCTAGCATGGCCGCCACTAGGCGCTACCCATTCCGCAGGCTCAAGCGCAAGTCCACCAACGACCCATGTGACTCGGAGCCCCCTCCCAAGTCAGCCGCAATACCACCCCCGCTCAACACATCAACAAGAACCCGCCAATCCTCCACCACGAGTGTGACCCCCAGATACAAACCCGTCACCCCGGTCACCCCGGTCACCCCTGGCACCCCTGACACCCCTGGCACTCCCGACCTTAAAAGGACAGCCCACAACGCGATCGAAAAGCGTTACCGCACCAACATGAACGACAGAATCGCCCAGCTGCGCAATGCCGTGCCCGAACTGCGCCGGCTGGCCCAGCAGCGGTCGACGGTGGCAAAAGGCACCGAGGGGGACGAGGGGGACGACAGGAGAGCGGGGCTAACCGGGAAGTTGAACAAGGGCATTGTCCTGACCAAGGCGACTCAGTATATTTTGCAGTTGGAACGGAAGATTCAGAGGTTGGAGGCCGACAATAGGGCATTGAGGGGGCGGACCGAGTGGTTGGAAGCCAGCAATGGGGCGTTGAAAGCGCAGAAGGAGGGGCTGCAGATGGCGTTGATGGGTGGGGCGGCGGCTGTGGGAGATGTTGGTGTGGGTGTTGGTGGTGTTGTTAGTGTTATGGAGGAGGGGTGGATGCAGGTTTTGGAGGGTTGCAATTAAAGGGGGGAGGGGTTGGCTGGTTTGGGATTGTTTTTTCTTTATCTGTTTTTGCTGGTCGGGTTCAGGTTGATTTACAGTGGCGTTGGAAATGGGTTGGCATTGTGTCAACGCCCGGATTGTGCTTCATTTCCATGATACCTCGGAAATTGGCTGCATTGTGGGAGTTATGGGATCCAAAAAGGAAATGGGTCAAAACTACGCTGCGGGTTCCGAGGGTTCCCATCAAACATTCCTAATTTTGGGCAAGGGCTTGAATACCTAGGTACCTAACTGGCAACACCTCACCTCTTTGTCACCAATATTGCCTAATCTAGTCCGGTCATCCTCCGCTATTACGACATGAATATGGAGTGTTAATTGTTAGAGATAGTTCTGTTATGAATTTCGATTTCTTCCGCAACTTGTATTGCAAGAGATTGTCCTTCTTGATTGTGTGTGGCTAGCTACCTTCGTGACTGTTGTGTCTGTCCTTGAGTAATTACAATCTGTAGTGTCTCAAGTTGTTTCGGTTGCTACCTGGTCATTTGCAAAATCTCACCATGAGACCATGGCCTTGGCCGTAAACCTGGAAGCCCGAATTTGGATAATGACTGAAGGTCTTTGTGCTAACCTCTGTAACGGTCCCAGGAGTATAATTATTGCAACTATCTGGTGACGACTCTACGAGTACAGTAAGCTTGAAGAAGAAAAGGAAAGATGAGAGAGTCTGGCAGCTCGTGGGGCTGCTTTATGATCGTGAGTGCGGTGGCCCGAGCGCATTGCTAGAATGCTCGGTGCGCTGTGGGGCAACTGGGAATAGCTTCATCCAGGGGTTCGGTGGACCGTGCTTGTACGTGAGCTGGCCGAGGGTTACCGAGGCCCACCTCGGGCACAGCTCGTTACAACCTCCGGCACTACCACGAACTAGCATCCCTAATGTTGGTTCTCTTACTATGAAACTGTCAGACGATAGAGATATACACCTCCCACACATCATCTCCGTATAATTGGCTTGAGGTTGAGAGTAATGCTCCCACCTGGTAGCTCATGACTGGAACTCCGGTACTCCACCGATTCCGAGGCGGAGCCGGGCCAAATTTCTACCCGTGTAGTGCCACTAGAGCCGTTTTGCGGCTCTTCATCGGAATAATACAGGTAATCCTCGTCCATGTAGCGGCTGGTACGATACGACATTTGCGAATAGTCTTCCCATTCGTAACTGGAGTGGCTAGCAGGGTACGAGTGGTCCTCCTCACTTTGGCGGTGTCTGGTACTGCGTGCGTGCTGGTAACCCTGGCTACTCCGACGACTACTACTGTTGGTTCTATGAGAGTACATGTATCTTTCCGGGGAAGAGGCATAGCTCTGCTCTGCGTAGAACGGGTTGGATGAGTGAGATACACTTTCCACGTCGTAGGCGTAATAATAATCCCTAGAACGGGGCCGGTAACGACGCCGACGATTGGATGGGGCCCCGGTATCAACAGCCGGTGCTTCAATAACGAGGGTCGAATCCGAAGCGACACTCGGGGTTGCCCTGATGGTCGGGTCTTGGTAAGGAACCATGCCCCATTCAGACGAACGTCTGGCTGTGTCGCTTTCGGAAAATTCGCCATCACCGTCTCTCGACACGTCTCGGCCATAATCGTTTTGGTCCTCTGAACAGGGCCCATAGGCCTCGCCTCCGGGATAGTAACCGTCACGATTGGTTCTAGATCGTGCATTACCTTCATGCTGCGGGTTTCGAGAGTCTCGGTGGGTATATCCCGACCTTTGAGTCTCGGAATCTTCATGTTCGTTTCGATAAGAGTGGCGGTCTCGTCTGGACCGGTTGGTCCAGTCGCGAGGCATTGTCGTATTTATCCCGCTTGTCTTGTCGGTATGAATTCGTTTAAAGCTCAAATTGAATGAAGCGCGAGTGGTTAGGCTGGTGAGTCTAATACATCATTCGGGTCTCGATTGCCTAGCTGAGTGCCGTCATGATGGGGTTTTATACTTGAACCACTGTACTCTATTCTGAATGATACCTGGGTTCTCGTGACCGAGGTCAAACATAAGGGATTTAGCAACCAGAACGTCGGTGCCACAATGAAACTACTCGGTTGACGCGGCTTTTAAAACCAGCTCACAAAGAATGGGTGGCACCAGGCGGGCTGGCGTGCTTTTGAATCTCAGTGCCCCATGCAGGGCCGTCTCATGACCATGAGTTGCGCGATACTTCGGTCGGGTGGGAATTCCAGCTCTTTCACGGCATTCTAAATGTCATTTTGTCACCGGGTGTGCACGCCGTGTGGATGCCCATGTGGGATTCGACATTACCGGAGAAAAGGAGGCGGAGGTCAAGGGCCGTCGTTACTAAGTTGACGAGTCACCATGCATGTCAAGGTTTATGATGGAGTCTGATGAGCTTTGGAACCAAACACTTTATTCATATACTATATGGGAGTTATGACCTAACTACTAACTGATCTCTCAGAACAGATTTCTGCCCTCCGCGGCTGCGGCGCTTTGAACGTCTTGAAAACTAGACGCCGCGCTTTCCATCCAATGCGCTGCCGTGCCCGTGACATTTTTGAGAAGATTAAGGGAACATTAACAGCTTGGGAGCCTTCTCGCTGGGCAACTACCAAGTCTCGAAGGCTTTGGTTCCGGAACCTTTGGCTTTCCTTTGTTGCACCCGTAGGGCCAATGTTATCAATTACCCAGGGTTTCCCCAGGCGGACGGTGGTAGCGTCGTAAGGGTTATCTTGCAATGGGCACTGGCTTGAAGTTGCCATGCACCCCGGTTCATCGATTACAGTGGACGTACGGAGGAGATAGGCTTGCTTCCATTGCTCGACGCTCACCCAAGGTCCGGCGAATGGGCCCAAAATAGGCGAAGAGCTGAAATTATCCCCCTCAGCGCATCTACCTTCTTCTCCACAATCTTCGCTACGTTCTATGGGGCCCATTTTTGGCTCTAGATTGCGTGGCTTGAGGTTGGTTGAAGACCTGTACCATTGGCTTGCAGGCGGGCCATGTAGGTACGCTTTATTATAACTGTTGGTACTTATGGTTAGTCGGGCTTCTGCAGCCTGCTTTGTTAACTTGACAGTTCAAACCCTCACAATGACTGATGGTTGCATATCAAGCAAAGACATTAGTTTGGTTCACACTTGACCATTTTTGGATGAGCGGCACGGCCGTTGTGTGTAGTTACCCGTTGTTTAATACGGAACAGCGGGACTCAGGCCGGGGGGAACAAACCCTTGCTGCCAGGGCGAGTGAAAACATGTCGCCACAGAGTCTTAACGGGCGGTGCTGTCAAGCATGTCTGATTACGCTCCCTCGTTGACGTGAACCGGGCCCGGAGTGACGTGGGTATGGCGCCACGCCCTAATTCCCGGAACCCTTTTACCCAGATTACTTTCTGCGAACGTCCCCCTATTCTCCGGGTCGATATCTTACCGGGGCCGCTTCGCCTGTCGGACTCCCCCAATATCATCTAAGGAACGCCACGTATATGTTGTGGAATATGGGGAAAGTGTGCTCGAGCCGACACAAACACCCGGATTTCAATTGCTCCTCCCTGGCTGGTTCTCGTGCTGTTCCGTTCCCGCCGTAGGCCTCTCCGGGGAGAATCAGCTAGTCGCACCAGAAGTGAACCGACATTGGAGAACATAAAACCTAGGAATGGTCCTTTCCTTTTGGTGTTCCCCGGAATTGACGTCCCAAATACAGGCCCCTCATATCAACGATCCGCAACCATGATCCTGAAGTCACTCGTGTTGTTGGCCTTTGGCGGTACCCATACATGGGCGGCTTCCATTGGCGGCTCTGGGCCAGGCAAGAGGCAGAGCACAACGGCCAAGTACTGCCCTGGGGGAACGCAGATCTGCTTCTCGGAGTTTAGAGAACCGGCCAGCGGTATTTACTACCGCATCGCTATCCCGGAAGTCTCGGCTGCCCCCTTCGATGTTCTACTGCAGATCGTGGCACCGGTCGATAAGGCAGGGTGGGCTGGCGTTGCTTGGGGTGGGAAGATGAACGGCAACCCCCTTACCGTGGGTTGGCCGAACGGTGATGGCGCAGTCGTTTCGTCACGATGGAGCACGTAAGTGATTCCGGTGCCCTCAAAGTCACCCCCCAGCGCTGATGGCAAGTTCTAAGGGGACGAGTTGTGCCCGGCGCATATTCAGGGGCCACTTACGCCGTTTTGCCGACAACCAACACCAACGCAACCCACTGGCAGCTCGATGTTCTCTGTACCGGATGCAGCCAGTGGGAGGGCGGATCCCTCGACCCGAACGGCGTAAACAGTCTCGCTTGGGCCAAGAACACCCGAGTGGTCAGCTCGGCCAGCAGCAACACCAGTTCCTTCGCATACCACGACGGAAGGGGTGTTTTTGACCACGATCTTAGCGTTGCCAAGGTTCCCCAAGGAGTTTTCGACGCGATAGTCTATGCGCTTAACAATCCGACACCACCGGCGACTGACACAGCTAGCGCCGTGTCCACAGCTGTCACTACAGTTGCTAAGCCCACCACTACCTCGTCAAGGAGGACAACTCCCACTCGGCTCACTGAACTTCCCGGGCCCTCGTCGGCCCCCGTCAAGACCGCCTCCGCTGTGGTGACCACCGGTGTGACTCAGCTCCCTAAACCGACATCCACGTCGATTCGAGGGAAGCCGCCCATCCCACACACAAGCAACTCGGCAACGAGGAAGCCGACTACGCCGAGTGTCGTGACAATCACAGTTACGGCCCGGCCGCCGATGACAACTCAGAATGATGACGATGATGATAATGATGGTGATGATGACGATGGCTGGGGTGAGTGGCCTCCTTGGACGAGCGGTGGTGGCCCGCCATGGGGAGGAGGTAAGGGAAAAGGAAAGGGTGGCGGCGGTGGTGGTGGGGGTGGTTGGGGTAGGGGAGGATGGCGACGGGGGAAACGGGGCCGGCTTATTGCGCCGCCGGGTGAGTATTAGGAAGAAGTTGCAAGTTGTGTAACGGTAGAAGGTGGCCCATTGAGTAAGGCAATTGATAGCAGGGAACAATGTATGACAGCACATCTTGAATAACAACCAGAGGCTTGATTATTCCACTCCAACCCTATATTCTGCAAGGGACGGCTGTTCTTAGGGTGCCGACCAACCGGGAGGACTCCCTTTATGCAGCATTGCAGCCGTCATCACGAGTGCGGAGGCGTTGTCTACCGGCATTGCAGCAGTAGTTCCAAAGAAGGCTATTGAGTACCTTTCTTCGGCATTCACAAGACTACCTATCTTATTATTGGCCGTAGTTATCAGTATCTCTGCCGGTCAAGACGGTGACCGCGTGTTTCATAAAACGCCCTCGATGAGCACGTGATCACGACGGCAGCATTGTTCCTCTGAATCAACCTTGTAAACAGTAACCAGTACCGCCTGGCTTTCTAGGATCGAATACCTCGAGAGGCCAATATCTAAGATGAAGTCACAATCACTTTTACTGGCGGGCGTGATTCTGGTGACCTCCGTCTCAGCGGAATGTAGCCGGTCTTTTGTCGTCGGCGCCACGACCCAATACATAGCAGCGCAGACAGAGGGCAATCCGGCCAAGCTGACAGCCATCACTGCCGACAACCTGAAGTACACCGAGAGTGACAAGACGATCGACATTACGACCGGCGTCCTCGCACAAGCCATGAAAATCGACCACAACCGCAGCATCTACGACACCACCCTGTGTGCTACCTTTACCGAACTAATAGTTTCCGACGCGGCCAAGCCCTATGTCATTGGCACCCGCATGGTCTTCACAGACGACAAGGTCAGCTTGATCGAGACCATTGCGACCAAGCCCGGCGACTGGGCTTTCAACGCCACAGGGTATTTGCACTGGTACGTTTAATCATTGAAGGGATACGGGATACGACGGGAGATACCACCATTTTGATGGAGAACAAATCAACTAATAAAACAAAAGGAATTCACTCGAGACCTGGGACCCTATCCCCGCCTCGGATCGCGACAGCCGAGAAGTGATACAGGCCGCGGGGGACGCCTATTTCAACCGCTTGAACAACGTGAACATCAGCGTCCCCTTCGTCACCCCCTGTGCGCGGCTCGAGGGCGGCGCCTACACAGACCCCCGGGCATCGGGCAACGACACCTGCGCGCTCGGACTGCCGTCCACCATCAAGGTGACTAACAGGCGGTACGTGGTGGACGAGGAGATGGGGGCCGTTGCCATCTACGTGGGCTTCCCCGGCCTGGACAGGTCCGTCGCAGAAAAGCCAATGCCGGACAGCCACTTCTTCCGGGTTGAGGCCGGCGAGATTCGGTACATCCACACCGTCACGACGTGCGAGCACGCGGGGTGCGGAATGAACGGAACAGGGATCCCGCCGCCCGCTTGAGACTGACCTTGACGGGTCTGGTGCTATTATTGTTGGACCCGAGCTGTTTGATCGGCCCCGTTTCAAGTTTCGAACAGTCGACGTCTGGCTTTAGTCGTGCACAACGTATGAGCAAGAGTACCAAGTACAGGTTTGAGGCGATCCGGGAACGGGAGAGCCTTGATCGCTTTGATGAACGCGAGGGGGTTAAGGATAATTTCGTCACGATTGAATTTGTTCGGTCAATGCTCTCAACCCCTGGGCGTTCCCAAGATCCCAAAATACCAAAGATCCTCTTGTTTGGTTCCACAGCTGCAGGTCCTGGTGGCCAGGGTCTTGTTAGGCCTGATGATCACCACGATTTAGCACCAGTTTAGTCCAAGACGCGAAAAGAATGCGGGGGAAAGCTTCCATTTGTCCACGGTCAGTCCAACCAATGTTTCCTTTTCATGCCATGGAGGCCATCCCGAAAGACGGTTAGATCACCCGCGGTCGGACAATGGGACGTGTGCCCAAGTTGGCTGCTTATTTTCCCCCTTCTTCGCTACCTAATTAAGCAGCTTCTCCGCCAATTCTCCGGGGCGCTTGCGGCAGCTGGACGGATACCCAGACCGGAAGTGCGGCCGCGAGGCACAGCTCATCCTTCCCAAACCTTCTTGGGTTAGCATGATATAAAACTCGCCACCCTGGAGCTGCTGGTGCTTGGGCTGCAAAGTGAACTGCCAGGGGCACCTCCAGGCCTGCTTTTCACCTAGAGTTAAACTACACTAGTGTATTTTTTGGCTTGCATGCATGCGTTCATTATGGGTTCGCCAAATCCGAGCAGGGGGGGAGGGAGGGTGCGAAGGAACCCCAAATCTCGACAAGCACCAGAAGAGACAAGGGATGGGTAAAAGCCAAGATTGAGAGTCGCCCAGGGTGATGACCAGCATTCTCCAGGCCACGATCCAGCATCGAGGATCTTATATCTGATGGTTGGACCCTGCACACCCCCCTCATCCCACCGCCGATCTACGATCTCGACATCTCCACTCGTGTTGTTCTTCTGGTGTTCTTTGCCCACGACCCTTCGACTTCGAGAGAGGCCTTTCTTTTCTTCCTTCGACCGGGCCGTGCCCAGCAATAATGGCGTCTGCACCAGGTCCCCCCAGGGCCCGACGAGTCCAAGGCCTCCATTATCGTCGGTGTCGTCGGCACTCTTCACTTGATTTCCTATGTACTTTATGGTACCCGCATCTACTCTCGAATAAAACCCACCGTTCGCCTTTCCCTCGACGATTTTCTCATAACGGCCGCGGTGGTAAGAATGAAAAATATGCAAGAGTTATGCATGGGGGGGCCTCGACGCTGACGGTTATAACTCCAGATTTTCGATGCCGTCTCGTTCGGCATGCTGTTGGTTGCCATCCACTATGGCGTAGGGAGACACAACTACTACGTACCTGACGACCAGGAAGTGCTAGCAGAGAAGTGGCTCTTTCTCTGCCAGCCGCCTTTCCCCTGGGCTCTCGCCCTCTCAAAGATGAGCATCGCCTGGATGCTCCTCCGGATCCAACGCGACCGGGTCTGGTGGACGTGGAGCATGTACTTCCTCATGTTCGTGTCGTTTGGCGTCGCCGTCGTCTCCAACGTCTTCCAACTATCGGCATGTAAACCGTTATGGGCGGTTTGGGACCACAGCAACCCGGACGCTGTGTGTGCAGATCCGAAAACAAGTCAGACCTCCATCTACGTGACGGCAGTTTTCACCATCATCACCGATGTCGCGCTCAGTCTTGCGGTATGTGCCCCTCCCCCGATGGCTCCCTACATGTACATACCCGGTGGGCGAGGGCTACAAGAATCATGAATGCTGACATTTGGCCAGCCCATCTCATTCATCGTCAGCATCCAACGTCCCCTTCGCGAGAAGATTGCGCTCGGTTTTGTCATGGGTCTCGGTATCTTTGCCAGCAGCGCCTCCATTGCGAAGACTTTTATGATCGGGAGCTACGGGAAGACAGGTGACACGTTGATGGATACGGTTGGACTTACGACGTGGAGTATGGTGGAGGCACAACTTGCGTAAGGGCCCCTTCCCCCCTGCATGTATGAACCAACACAAGACCATTCCATTCTAACCAAGTTGCTCGCAGTATCATCGCCGCCTGCATCCCGACGCTCAAGCGCCTCTTTGAACAAGTCCTCCGCCGGTGCGGCCTCATCTCTAGCCAGAACTCGGCGACTCGCTCCCGAACAGGCTACTATAAGCACGACGAGAACTCGCGCTCGCGCGGCTACAGCCAACATCAACCCGAGAACCACAAGCTCTCGACAATGCGGTCGCAGCGCGAGGCCAAGCACAGCGCAGCCACGACCAACGCCGAGACGAGCAGTGTCGACAGCGGGGAGATGCCCATCATGAAGCCCAGCCATAAGGGTTCCATTGGCGACTTTGAGTCCGTCACATCGCCGACGCCGAACAGCGACAACGGGGTTTACTTTAGGACAGCCATCAAGGCCGGGGACAGGGACATGAGCGGGATGGACCAGAACGGGATTCAGATGGAGACGACGGTGTCGGTGCGCACAGAACCCAAACAGCGGAGAAGGGAGGCAGACCTTGTTTAAAGTTGGTTAGGCTGTTTTTTTTTCCTTTGTTTTTTTTTTTTTTTCTCAGGGCGTTCAGGGGTTCGTTCGCTTGCACCCAAGACGGCGGATCTGGGTTGGGGGGGTTGGGTGGGAGCAATGCACAGGACAGGTCATGATGTTCATGTTCAGAGACACAAGCAAACCGGCTGATTGTCGATCACTATGCAAATATGTCCACCTTTGCAACGTAACTGTCGCCAAGGTCCTTGGGTCCTTGGTGTTAACATTGCCCCCCCCCCCCCCCACGATAACCTTTTCTGCTCTCAACAGCAATTCGGTCACCAATGGGTATATTTGTGCCCCTGAGTTCTGACGCACTAAGCTCGGACGTGTATTGAATAAAGCATGCAGATGTGTGGCGCACACTTTGCCCTTCCCCGGTTTCCAAAAACAAGGATGTTCGGAGTGTACACGACATGGATAGTTACATCCACCCGGCCCCCAAACAGGAGATGGGAGAAGAAGGGCTTCGTGGCTGGGCCGGTTCCGGGAGTTTGTCCCGCGGCGTACCAAAGGATTTAGTTGGTATGGAAGACATAAAGCACCCCTGCCATTAATTCGCAGCCGGTTGGGGGTTTCGTGTGTCAGCTCGGCTTTCAGTCAAGCCCTCCAAAAAAAAGTCTTCTCAGTGGCTGTGGCTCGCTGGTTGAAAACCAGGCATCGGGAAAAACGAACGTGGTAGCCCTGCTTCTGCTTGCCTTGGCAGATCTCTGGATCTTTCAAAAAAGCAAGTGAGTTGTGGAAAGGGAGCTGGGAGGAAAGGATCCGCGCACATCGGTCGTCGGGTGGCGTCCAAGGATCTCCAACAAACCTTCGAGAACTTTGGCTCCAAACCCACCGAGACAAGCGAGAGAGAGCCAGGGCTGTTGAGCGTGTCTCACCGGTAGCAACAAGACTTCGCACAGACCGTCCGCTTGACCTTCCCGTTGCAGTGACTGGCCGGCCACACTGCAGCTCTCGGCCCGTTCATCACAAAAGTACCGGCGTCCTGCCATCCTCAGCTGCCGACCGGGGCTCTTGACCTGGCTACCAGTCTGCCGGCCTGCCGTCTTTCCCCCTCCCGCCAAACACTGAACGGAAAATTTCCCTCTTGGCTTCGCTTGCTTGCCGTGAAACGTGTTGGAAGCTCTGCCGAGGCAACCACACGACGCAACACACGCCACACCCCCGGGAAAATGAGCGAGGCGGCCCGGCCAATGTGCCGGCAATGCGACTGCAGGAACACCAGCCGGTATCCGAGAGGACAGCCAAAACAGAACCGGCAATGGCTCGTCTCTGGTCTTGCCATCTTGCCAACCCCCCCTTTCCAAAGAGGCTTGGCCGCCACCCCGCGTTCAATAAACACCTCGTTGCCTGGAAAGGGATTATGCATGTCTCAGAAGTGACCATCGAGTTTCTGCATGTGATTTGACCCCGCGCGCGGACCTTGGGAGTCCAACTCGGACAGTGCCCGGTCAAGGAAACAGACCCTCGTGTGCTTGGTAGACTAGCTCGGCTGGGAACTCTCTCCTTCCGCACCATCGGGACCGTTGAGTTAGTGCCAGTCAGAGCGCTCGGAAGCCCAACTAAAAGTGGCAACAATCGGCCATCCTTCTGGATCTTCTGTCAAAACATCTTTGGCCAAACGGCACTCAGTTCCCCCGATTGGATGAGGACACCAAGACAGCACCCGCGTTACATCGTCCGCCCGTCAAGGCCAGATGATGCTGGACAGAGCGGACCCAAGAAACAGCAGAGCGGTGGAGGATTCCATAAACAGCACGGCCATTGGCTCCACGTCCGATCCCCGCGGCACGCAATTTCAACCATCCCAGGGGTTGACCCCGGGACCCCGGTTCAGCAACGGGCTTGCCGTCTGCAGGCGGCTCGGATTGGCGGCGGACAGAGGCCCGTTCGCTTGCTTGGCTTCGCTTCCTTGGGCCAAACAGGCCCCAACATGTAAGCAGGGGGATGGAAAACAACAGCTTCAACTCGCACCCGAGGTTGTCCAGGTTGCCGAAGTACTTCGTAGATGTCTTCACGTTTGAGAGCAGAACAATAATACATACTTCTCTTGTATCAGGACCACATCAGTCGAATTAAGGTTATCCAAGTGTGCAGATCTGCGGGTTCCTTAAAACTCCGCAGTCCACACCAACTGACCAACGGGGCGGGCCGTTGGCGTCGACGACGACCCACGGGAGCAACACCTTGCTCCACCGGTCCACCGGAATCGGGGCTAGACAGGAGCGGGCTCGAGCACAGTCACCACGCCCAGGTCTCGGCCCATTCACCGGCGCTCTTAAACGCCCCAGGCCTGGTCCTCTAATATCAGACAAACGGGGCAACGGGGCAACTTGGGCGACAGCCGGTGGCACGAGACGTTAGACAAGATTTACAATTGGGGGGCAGTCTTCGAAAGGGGAAAACAGCGGCTCATGCTTTTCATATCCAGGGGCAGCGCCAATTATTCGTATACTGTCGCCTTTCACACCAGATATTAAAGGACCAATGCAAATAACGGCCCGGCGTCGCGTCCGCACTTTCTGAGGCTACTCTCGCTTGGTCTCAAGAGCCAAAGCACCGGTATCTAATTGCTGTGTAATAATGAAGTTAGCTGAGGTCCTGGGGCCTTCATGAGGGGCTCCCGGGGCTTAGGAATGGTTTTGTCGAGGGGCGCGTCCAGAACCATCTCTCATGTAAATCTTCGTAAGCCAGGGTCAGCCACAAGTCCTTGCTTGAAGAGACCAGAATCCCAAGCCCTCGGTCACCGACTCCGCGAGGTTGTCACTGGCAGAGTACGGCCATCGGAACACGCACGGGTGCCCTACATCGCTTCACCGATTGGCAGCATGCATGCATGATGCATTCGAACAGGTGTGACCTCAGGGGCGCGGGAGTTCAGGCAAACAAGCTACCTACGTGATGTTTCCCGGGACGGAGGAGCTTTGCTTCATCGATGGGAGCTGAGGTGAACCAAGGTCATGATATACTAGTAAACTGTTGCCCGGTGAGGTAGGTAGCTAAAACCACGCCGTTGAGTGAGGTGCCCGGAGTATTAACCGCTTGCTGCTACGCGATACTACCGAAGCCTGGTTAGACTCGGCTTTTCAAAAACATCGTTACCTGTACCCAGAGGCCAGCTTTCCGGTTACCCGATATGGTGGGACGAAGTCGTCGCAGTGTCTTAGTGACAACTGGCCAGTCACTTCATTCAGCATATTGACAACACCATGGTCAAGTGCCTGTTTGCCCTACACGTTCGGCAAAGGCGGTGACCGAGAAACATACGTGGAGCAGCTGATGTGTTAACAACAACAGAGCAGCATTGAGATCAAAAGTCACAAACACCCAAAGAACAAAATTTGGTCAGGCAGGCAGACAGGCAGGTAGGTACATGTACCTAACCAGCTCGCATTTGAGCTCACCAACGGGTAGGTATAAATAACCGCCCACCTCTCCTGTCAAGAAAAAACTTTATCACCGTTTAACAATCATCTCCAACCTTCTTCCTTCAAGCTACAAATGTGAGATATCTTAAACTAGGTACCTACCTACTCCGTAACAACACCCACACCTGGCTCTGCTCGTGGACATCAATCCGTCTCCGCCATGGCCAACAACACCACCTTTTCGACTCCGTTGATCGCGACCCAAGTCTCAGTCCTGGACTTCTTTGTACCTGGATCTAGTAGCATCCTTGCCGCCATCGAGCTTGTTCTGGGCACAAACAGCTACATTCGCCCCCTCATGCTCTGCATGTTTCTGGCGTTCCTGGGCAGACGTGTGTTTCGCTTCGTCTGGGACGTGGCAGAGACCTACTTTGGTTCGTCCCCTTGCCGGCTTGAAGACAATAATAGACATTCTCTGATGGTTGGCAGTTTCGACTGTCCACGTCCAATATGGCAGTGAAGTGTACGACATGGTTAACCTCTGGGCAACCTCTCAACCATTCGCTCGCAGGGCTCGGTCGTCTATGGCCAGAGTCGGCTGGAAAAGTCCATCCTATTCAGATTTTGAAGAGGATCGTCATCGAGGGCGAAGGCGGAAGAAACTCCTCTACTACCTTCCATGGAATGGAACGTTTTACTTTAGCTACAACGAGCATCTCTTCTGGTTTCGCTCTAGGGAAAAAGAAAATGATGGCTACCTTCAGCAGGTGGTTACGGTCTCGTGCTTTGGATCCCCAACAGTCCTGAGGCAGCTTTTCGATGACTGCCGCGACGGGTACCTGAAGCTGACCAATAACAAGACGGCTGTATTCGAGTATCTGCGTCATGGCAATTGGCAAAGGACGAGTTTGAAAAGCATCAGGCCAATCTCCACTGTTGTCATGGACGAGGAGGACAAGGAGGGACTTCTACGGGATATCGAAAGCTTCCTGGACCCGGGAGCTCTCACATGGCACGCCAACCGCGGCATACCTTACCGGAGAGGCTACCTACTATATGGCCCTCCCGGGACCGGAAAATCGAGTTTGTGCTTGTCTTTGGCAGGGCATTTTGGCTTGGACATGTATATCCTCAACCTCTCTGGCACTCACGGCGTGCCCTTGGGTAGTCTCCTCGCCGAACTGCCGTCCCGCTGTATCCTCCTGCTGGAAGACGTGGACGCCGCCGGCATAACGCAACCTCGACAAGGCGAAACGGACATCGCCAGCCAAGACAAGAAAGAAGACCCCGAATCCCGATTAAAATCGTCCTTGTCGGACCTCCTCAACGCTCTCGATGGGGTAGCGGCACAGGAAGGTCAGATACTCGTGATGACGACGAACCACATGACCATCTAGACCAGGCACTTATACGGGCTGGCCGTGTGGACAGGAAATTGGAGCTTCCGAATGCCGACGAAGACGCGGCGTTTCGGCTCTTCTGCATGGTCTTCAAAGGTGCGAAAGGCGACATCCCCGACCCGAAGCGAAAGGCCGAAGACGATGATGACACGGTGGAAAATTATGGTCGTCAATTTGTAAGGAAGATACCGGATGGGGAGTTCTCTCCGGCCGAGATACAATCCTATCTAGTGGAACACAGAGGCTCGGCTCGTATGGCGTTGGGGAAGGTACAGGAATGGATGGACAGAACTCGAACAGAACGGGCGAAGATGGCGAGGGCCAATGCTCCCACTGCGGCCTCGCCCTCGACTATGTGATTCCGGTCGCTCGGGGGGGTCGGGACTTTTAGACTGCAATTCATTGTTCAGCAAGGTCAAGAGAAAACGATGCGTTCAGATTAAGAACTCTAAGAACAACTTAACCATGGAACATATGATTTCCTGCCTAGACTTAGTCCCAAAACAATTGATTTAAAGATTTGAGCAGGCATCCGCTCGAGCAGAACACTTAGGCAAGCAGTATTCGCCCTACGAGTGACGTGGATGTTGAGAATTGCCAAATGCGGCTGCGCGGCTGTGTTGTTTGGCGGGAGTTCAAAGCGAGCTTGGTGCCTGGGCTGGGGTGCGGGGTGCCGACAGGATGGTTGTTGGTGGAAGAGTACCTTGAAAAAAGGAAAAAAAAAAAGAAAAAAAAGAAAGAAACGAGTTTTGGTTCTACCCGTCACTGCTCCTCACAGAATCATCGCGACCGAGGATTCGGAGCGAGCGCCTGGACTTACTGGAGGCCCGCCCGAGGAGGTGGTGGGGCCCAAGGCCGGCTCCATTTTTCCCGTCATTACCTTACATAATCCGGGGGTAACTATTCGCCGATTGGTTGTCGGTCACCTGCGGAGTGAGATTGGTCCCAGCCTCCTCGAAACCACGCATCTGCCTGGTGTTGGCGATTTACCCTCAGCATCCTCTTTGCTTCTCCACACCAGGTCGCGCGCCACGCTTTTGAAGGACCAGTACCTCGCGCTCAGTGTCAATCTACTGTTTCTACCCATGGGTCGTGGTCGCATTGAGACACCACTCTTGGAAGACCAGGACACTGAGAATTGGAATCTCCTCGGTTCTCGCTCGTTTTCGAGGAGAAGGAGCGAGATTGCCATTCGCTGACCCTGACACCTTGAAGGCGTGGCTGGCGACTGGCGACCGTTCTGTGCTGAGTGCTTGAAATTTTTACTTATCTTGCAAAGCAGTAAGTTGTTGATTCTTGCTACGTGCGCTGATCGGACTAGGTCGACGACACCGAACTCTGCGAGCGCCAAGTATGTCATCGTCAACACCCAATGACCCTGCCTCGCAATCGCTCAGCACTCATACTGTCCTAGAGTGGGACGAGACAAGTCCGAACGGCGAAGAGCGACACTACCTCACGGCTCCCGACCCCTCCGATGCAAAGATTCTTTTCAAGTCCGACATTACTGCGACACCAAATGACGGCGGGACTGGATCGGCGGTCGGTGTCTTCATGCGGCTGCACATTCCCGTGAAGTTGAAGAATGTCCCGCCCCGTAATATCCATATTCATATTCGGCCATCTCGTGTTCAATCATGCACCTTCGCCGTTGCCGCCGATGCTCCGGAAGCTATCAGGGTGGTGTCTCGGGGCCAGCTGGCCAGTCTGTCGATGAGGCTCAGCGGACCTGTCCAGATCGTCGTTCCCTGCGCCATGGCATCATCGCCGCGGCCAGCGAAGAACCGCGCATCAGGCCAAGTGATCGACTCTATCCGATCCCTTAGCCGAGCCACACAGCTCATCATGTACATGCCGGCGAACCTGGCTCCCCGGGCGCATCTACAACGTCTGTCGGCACTGCTCACGGGTGGTCGCTTGCAAGAGCTGCCGCCGTATACCGAGTTGTTTAAGTTGTTTGGGGGGTCGGGAGGACGGATATGGGATGTCGAACCTTTGTATTCCACGACATCACCACCATTCGATGGTGGCGGGGAAGGAGACGGGGAAGGCGACGGGGAAGGAGATTGTGATATCCCACCACCGTACCATGAAGCCTGTCCAGGGCCGTCAGTGGCCCCCGCTTCGAGATCGCGTAAGCAATCCCCTGTTCATCTCTTTAGTTATCCTTTTCTTTAGCTTTTCTCTTCTTCGTCTTTATTACTCTGGCCATCTTTCTTTTCACTCTTCTTCTCTTTGTTTTTGCCTGTCGTTCTCCATTCCATTCTAGTCATTAACACGCTCATCCAGATTTGCGGCCAAAGCCTGAAACCCGGGACGGAAAGCGACGGCGTAGTAGCAGCGACTCTGTGACTATTGCAACGTCCAGCGAGGTTGTCAGGGCAAAAAGGCCTGACCTACGCGCTTCCCCTCCAAGGCCATGTCTCCCCGAAAAGGGACAGATTCCGGAGCCCTCCGTCTTGCAGCGTCTAGCGCTTCTAGAGGCACTCGTCCATGCTCAAGCTGTGCAGATTAGTGATCTGTCGACCGAGAACCAAACGCAGCGGAAGCGAATCGATGAGTATGAGACGGAGCTTGCGGCGTTGCGGTTGGAGATGGGCCGCGTGGATCGTGAGGTAGATAGGTTGGATGTGGACGTCTCGGAGCAGCGGGAGGATATTATGCGTTTGGAGGGCAATGTCCAGTACTGTCTCGAACGAGAGGACGAGATGGTGGAGGCCATCATAGATACGGTGACGGAGCAAATTTCCGAGAGGGGGCTTAGCGCGGCTAATATACACTTCACCTTAGGTGGAGGTTGACTCTCCGTCTTCATGCGCGCCCTGTTTTTGTTGCTATTCGCGTTCGAGTATCTCTGTTCGGTATGCCGCCCATTTTTGGCTGTCCACATACGTACTAATCAGACGTGCTGCTCCGATCTGGTGGAGGTAACCGCCGAGTGTCACCGTGTCTGTTTTGCGCTGAGCAAACACGCCAGCCCCTTTCTTGGCAATGAGGGAAGGTTGGTACTAGGTTGGTGTTGACGTGTTCTTTCTGGTCCAAATATCTATGAGCAAGGTACCCAAGTACCAGGCAGCCGTACATAGTCCCAAAAAGCCCTTGCACTTTAGACGGACAACAGCGTTCAGATCACCATGAACTTGTCCATCCCAAAATATGGTGTCCATCCTTAATCCCCACCCCGATCTCCTCCATCCAATGCCATGTTCTTGGCCTTCCATCTCATTACACTCCCTTGGTCCTTGCGGTCGCGGCGGGGTACCACCCTTGGGCCCTTACAGGTCGCAGGGATCGTTTTCGAACTGAACGCGAACCCCGCGTGACTGGAAGAACGGATCTTCCCTGAGGTTCCTCCAAGCCCACTGGGCCTGGCACCGATATGACCCGAAGCGCCATTCGAGAATGTTGATGGAATGCCCCATCACCAGCGGGATGATCTCGTCGACCTCAAACACAAAATCCCTGGAGAAGTGTGCCATGAGAAACGGGATCGTCACAATGTCCACGGGTCCGGCGATCGAGATACACCGGGTGTGGTCCGCAGGCTCCGGTGCCTCCGCCACGCGGTTTCGGTCCGGCCGCACCGTCACCGGGACGCCGCCCTCTGGCCAGTCTATAATTACCGCGGTAGTTTGCGGAAACCCCGGCCGCCATGCGCCGGGCGATGACTTCCCGGGTTGGATTCTCCCTCTCGGCCCTCGACTGGGGGTTGGCCATGTAGCTCGGCCTAAATGGTGGCCTCGGTCCTTGGGTTACGCCACCCCCCCTGGCTGTGCCCTCGGCTGGCTGGGCGTTCCCCGCCGTGGCCTGGCGCCCGGTGTTTGTGTTGGTCGGGGCAGTAGTCGATTCAACGGGAGGGAAATCACGGCCGGGGGCACCTTGCGCCGGGGGAAATGAACCGGTGGCGGGGGCGGAAGGAATCTACGAGAGAAGCGCGGTTAGCTCGGTACCTCGGGGCTGTAAAAGTTGGGTGAAGACTTACTAAAGTCCTCTGGCTGGGGCCACCGGCCTGGTGACGGTAACCAAACTGCCAGGGGTTACACGGTGTAATATTGTTAGGGGGAGCTGCCGTGAAAATTATGGGCGCAGCGGTCTCCCGGCGAGGGTAAATGGCGGGCGTGGTAGCGTTACGCCTGGGGCCTTGAGGAATGGTGTACTCCCACGGCTGTTGCTGTGGCATTGTGACGCGGGGGCCAGTTCCAGGAAGGGGTGGATAGTATCCTTCCTGTCGGCCTTGGGGCGCCTCGTCCTGCCAAGGGTCCGCCATGGTGAGAACTGGGTTGGCTTTCAAGTAGTATTGGATTGTTGAAGAAAAGGTAAGAAGAACTCTATTTCAGTGTGTCGGTGTTGCTTTTGTTTCGGTATATATATAAGAAATAAGAAGAAGTTGTCTCAGAAACTCTTGTCTCTTGAGTAGCACTCAAGATATTTTGCTAACTTGAGTGAAGACAATTGATGTTGTGTGTGCTTAACGTGAAGAAAGAAAAGAGAGCGGAGGAAGAGGGTCGGTGAAGGTTAAATAGGTGTAGCACTGCCATTAATTCCGCCAGCAAGTTGTAGTTGTGTGAAGACAACACCAGACGAAAGCTAGGGGGTGAGGGCACGATGCTATTCACTACATCCGGCGGCACTTATTATCCGACACGCCTTTCTCCTGGCCACAGGGTGCTTATTCACTGTGCGCCTATTCACCGATTGCGAATTTGGCAGCCCACGGCAGCAACTGCCTCAAGCAAACCACGGGCTGAGTCTCTCTGGTGGTCTTCAACCGTAAATCATTTGTGATGTGCTTTCTTTCATGGGGAACAAGCAGGTGTCAATGGGCAGATTCACAAGGAACTACCAGCTACTATTCTTAACGTACCTAATCAGTGACAGGGTTAGCCATCAAGCCTCCTAATAGCATATCGGTTATCGTAAGGAACAGGGCACACCCATATCTCTTACACTGTTACACGTGTTTAAATAATAACACTTGGCAATGGCTAGCCTTAGTACCATTAAAAACCGTTGAGGCCTAAAGGATGTTGTGGCTTGAAAAGAGGGTTGTATTTGAGTCGCTACGAGGTTTTAAGAGCACTCCTTGCCTGCAGGCCCGTAGCAGCAGAACATGATGTTGTTAGTGATTGGTGACTCCTTGGTTCAGTCATACCGCTGAGTCTATAGTTGTTGGGAACTCCCGAGCCGGTTTGACAAACAGCCATCTCTTTTTCTGACTCGCTCTGCTCTGTTTTTGTCAAATTATGTGGTTGCCAGTGACGTCTAAGAAGGCCCGTGAAGCAGTTGGCCAAACAAGGAGTAATGAGTCATGAGCTCGACAAATGCGCCACCAAAGACCCGACAAATCCCAAGAATTTTGGAATACCTGGAGTGAGGAACAACTACCTAAAACTGTGAAAGTTGAAAGTAGCAGTCATGAGACAATGTGACAAGCGGTTGGGGACACCTAATGACAGCGAGACGGGTTATTTTGGCTCAGAATACTGTGTGGTAAATTCACTGGAATATATTTCAAGTTTGTCGATAACATGATTAGGAATACATCCTTCCCTTGCAGCATTATCATGAAGGTATTGTTTGTTTTGTTGTTGGTGTTGTTTTGCACCCCTGAACCAACCCTAACCCTGTCGTGCCTGGATACACTGCCCCTGGGCCTGGGCCTTGTATCACACACACTGTGGACAGCGCAACTCGGTAAACGCCGAGGCAACAGCAGATTCCCGTGCAATTTCCGATAGAATTGCGAACGTCCAAGAATCTCCCAAGAAAACCAAGACAAGCTCCCGCCCAACAATTGACGTTTCACATCGAATGATAGGCTCGGTTCGCGAGGGCCGCAGCCAGCCACGTCAACGCCCAGAGGCACACCTTTCCGCGGCGCTTGGCTGGCCTCTCGATCATCGTGGTGCGAGAGTTTAGGTGCCGAGTTAGACGGCGGTGAAGGAGCGCAAGGAAGACCGCCGGGCTGTCGGGTATTAATAAAAAAACGGACAACTAAATCGAGCATCGAGAAACCCAAAAGAAAACCCGTCGCGGTCGGCAGACGTGAGTCGGTGGTAGGCAGTAGCAAAAAAAAAAAAAAAAAAGTCAATCCTCATTCCCCGGTGTAATCCCGTAACACCGCCCCGTCCTTTCCCTCCCGCTCCAGATGTCCGCCGTCCTCCCCGATAGTTGTCAGTCCGCCTACCCTTCCGAAACCGCCAAGCTCAGATCCCCTGCTCACAGACCATTGTCGGTTTGTCGGCTCGGACGGGCGCATTAAAGCAGGATTCATGTGTCGTTAGGCTGCATGGGTTGATTTGCTCTTTTAGCAGCAGCAGTCCAAACACTCCAGGCAGCACTCGCAGGTCTCGCCGCAGAGCCAGCAGCAGCACATGGCGGCGATACTAGAGGTGCACAGGCGCGGTTAGCCAGCGTCCTGGAATAGTAGAGAATTGGTGTTGCCAATACTTACCAAGTGTAGAGGCAGCCGTGGCTCTTCTCCTCCTTGGCCGGGGGCGCCTCATGATATTGCATGGGCTGGGGCGGCGGATAACCTTGGGGAGGATAGCCCTGGGGCGGGTAGGGCTGAGGCGCATAGCCCTGGGGGGGCGGGTAACCCTGGGGAGGGTAGCCACTGTGGAAGAAAAGAGGAAGCGGTCAGTCACTCAGTTCCATCATGATTTCTTTTGTTGTTGTTTTTCTTGTCGTGCGATAAAACAGACCACGGGCAAGAACGGGGTGCAAAATGCAATTGCGAATGAGGCACGACTTACCCTTGGGGAGGATACTGCGACATGATTTCTGTGGTTGGGGGGGTTTTGTTGGTTTTGTGTATGTTGGAGGAAGACGAGAGAGAGAGAGGAATAAAATTTAAGAACAATTGAAGAAAAGAAGTCGGAGGGAGGATAACTGCTGTTAAGGTATGGAGATCGTTAGTCAGTTGCTGCGCCTTCCCTTGCTGCAAAAACGGCTGTCACGGCGCGGCTCGCGGCCAACGGTGGGGTGTTTATCTCCGGGTGCTGGGTTATCAGGTCCACTCTGCCAATGCTTGGAAAATGGCTGTCGGTGCCGATCCATCCGACAGCCGCCTTTCCTGCAAACCTGGCGGTGCAGCTTTGTCAATGCTCCAAAATGAAGGAAAAACGAAAAAACATTGTTATGTTCGAATGAGGAAGGTGTGGAAGTGGAACCCGCCTTCGCAACATCGCTGAGGCTCTCAGGTAGGTAGGTACTTCATTCGTTCAACGGCGCGTTGCCTTGCACGGGCCGAGCCCGTTGTTTACATCGGACGGAGCCCGTTCCGGTCCCATGTGGGGCCAACGGCACGGTAATCTCGGCGCCGATCCTCCACTGAAATTCGGCCCTAACTTTTTCTGATGATTCGGAAGCCCAAAATTTACGAGTTGGCGACAAAAACTGTAGTTGTATCCTCCATGCAACATTTGAAGAAGAGCTAGTGCCATTCATTGTCCTCAAACACTACAGGGTAGGTAGGTACCCAGATACATGTATGTAGGTACACACATGTAAACAGTCCAAAGGTGCTCATGGGTCACAACATCGGAGCCCCAACCTTCTTCTTGAGATCGGGATCGGCATTGGTTAGGTTACTTAGTAACCACCCGCACGTCTAGACAGCGTAATAAATGCTCTTGCAGCTGTGTCCGTCGCTGTCGGTGTACATGTGGTGCTGGTCGTCCTTGTAGATGGTGTAATCACGGAAGCCGTTGCCGCCAGTGCTTAGGTAGGTAAGTAGCAGAATTAGCAACCACTTCAGACATTTAGGTCCACGGCGAGGGACATGGCAGCTACTAACCCAACTTTACTGTAATTAGCCTTTGTTTGTGCATCCGACTGGATGTTCCAAGAGAAGTACACGCCGGTGGAGAAACCACACGACTGGCCACCGCCCTCCCAGGCCATGACACCGCTAGTGGGGTAGCACGCGTTGCTCGAGGAAGGCCGGAAGTTGCAGTTGCTATCGTTGGCGCAGTACTGGTTAAGTTTGGTGTTAGTGAGCGTTTTGTTATGGGGTGCACTCAGCGCCACATTGGTCACTCACCACCACTACAGAGTAGATATTCGTAGCTCCGTCCTTGCAGTTGACCAAGTGGATTCCCTCAGCACGCTTGACGATGTCGTTGAACTCAGCCTCCGAGACCGGTGAGGGAGCCGTAACGGGCCCAGCAATGGCGCCCGCGACAAGCGAGCCAAGGGCAAAAACCTTGGGGGCGATCATTGTGGTGGTTTATGGCGTGGTTGGGAAATGTTCAAGTGGTGCTGAGAAGGTTCTCTAGGAATTCCGAAAGAGATGTCGATGGAGGAGGAGAGGTCCGTATTTAAACCCAAAACAAAGAAGGTTGTTCGTACGCTCATAATCCTTCTTTGAGGTTGCACGTGGAGTTCGCGTCTCGTGGTCGAGGTTTGTTCATCGCTTGGGCTGTAGCTGCACAGCATCAGTAATCGCCTCAGACCACCGTCAGCCGAGCGTAACATCAGGGGTGGGACGCTGGTGGTTATAATCCATCAGGGACCTGAATTTGATACGAACTTCCTTGTCGGCTCTACTGATCCGTTATATTATACAGCACCCGAGACCCTCACGAAATACTAGGAGCTGAGGGCTACGGGAACTACATTTACATGTAGCGTTGCGAAGAATGGCCTCGGGATAGCAAAGCCAGCGCAATTGTCCAACGCATCAAACAATCTACCAACTTCAAACTTGACAAATCCAGTACCATTGGACTTGCTGGTGGGAATAAGGGCACTGGGGGGGCTCCACGGCAACTCCTTCAAAGCCATGCAATGGGAGCGAGCTGGTCTAGGCCTCGCATAAGACCAATAGTTACCTGCCCACCAAGTAGACGGCTGTGGCCAACCGCCCAGGAAGTTGGAGGAAACATTGAGAAATCTACAAGTATCTTAAGTAAATAGTGCTCTCAGAGGTCTCACAAAATATCCCCCATTAGGTACGTAGTGTTGTTGGAGAGAGAGAGGCGTCACAATGGTCCTCTTACTCAGCGACATGCACCACTAGATCTTGGCGTGGGGACAAAGGCTTTTTCTCTCCTTGTTTCTTAGATAACAGCTCGTTCCGTCTTTAGAATCCGAATATTACGCTCAGAGGATGGTGCCCAGGCAAGTGCCAGCGGATCATGGATGAAGACGAGGCGAGGCGTGACATGGAGCTAATGAAGGACTCGGTTGCCCAACCTCACGATTCAGTACATGTAACAAGGGACTCAACGGCGGTTGATAGGTTGGCTAGTCCTACAACCATCATGTAACATGCAGTTGTGCTATCTAGGTAAGCTGCCAGTACGAAGTGCGAAAAGGCGCTGAGCCAAAGCGGAGAGGTGGCTGTGACCGCAACTACCAAAGCTAAGAGATGAAATAACCCAATGTTAGGGCCTCACGGATGATTAATCATAGGTAGGTACAAGTACACCGGACTCTACCAAAGGCCAACCATTACTTGTATAGAACTACCTGTTTTGCCTCTTCCCACTGCGAGTCTCGTAGCCTCGCAACAACCAAGCTTTTTATACCAGATTATCTCGAAGAAAATGGTCATACTTTTGTAAAGTAGGCGATTTGATCCCGGCCCAGTTCTCCTTCACTCCTACTTGCCTCCAACTGACTCTGACTCTGATTATGCGAATGCCAAAGGAAAAATCACCCGAAAAGATGGAAGCCGCTCGTCAAATATATCCCCGGAAACCCGCGATGGCTTTCAAGAAAACTTTGTATGGTCGCTGTCGGGCCGTCGACCCTCCCTTTTGGAAAGCAGGGTTGGGTACCCTATGATGCCGAGCTCGAGCCGCCGTGGAAAGGTTCGATCATAACTCGGATGATTGCCAACATGTAGGCGGTAGGCAAGCTTGCTTTATCCTTCCGTTGGAAGCGGACCGCAGAACATGACAACGTCATAGCCCCCCCCGTTTCTTGGTGCGCGATAGGACATAAATCAACAGCCGGTTCGTTGGCAGTCGCTGCACAACTCCCCATCTTTGCCCACCAAGGTGGTGCAGCCGTGGGTAGCGAAATGGGCGCAAGGTTTGTCGGCCATGGCGATCAAGGATTGGATCGGGTGCTGATTTTGACAAGATAAATGAGTAATATTGAAGCCGAGGCCGACGACAGTGTGAGCGGGCGAGGCTAGGGATATTTAGACTTGGCGGATGTTAACGACTGGAAGCAGAGTCGCAGACTGGAGAGCCAGGAAGTGTGATGTTTTGCCTGAGTGCCTCAATGTTGAAATGTCGGCTCAACAGCTTTATCTAAGGGCGCACGAGTGAAAGAGCGAAGGGCAGGTCCCCCGAACCGCACAGCACAGCTCGAGTCACTTTTCCGTGATCCGGCAGTCCCAGGCCCAATGCCATCTTTTCACTCGGGCCCCATCGGAATTGCATCCGGTGCATATGCATGGGTTGGGGGTCGCGGACGTGGTGCCTCTCGTTGCTATCACGGAACGGTGCCAATGGGATGGGTTAGAATGTTCCTGATTACCTCTCCAGCCAGACTAGCCTTGATACTATGCCAATTTGGTCTTATTGTTCTTCTTGGTATGGTGTGCTGGTCGGTTGATCGTTGCATGATTCACCTGCAAGCTGGCACCGAAAAGATGTCCACTCAAGGGTCTCAGGAAGCAATGCAGTATCTTGCAGCTTCCCGATCATGCGAGCGACATACCTGAACTCGGTGCCAATACGTAGGCGAGAGCTGATTCGGCAAAGCGTCGAGACGTGATGAGCAATGCGTACATATGCAAGACGCCGACCCAATCACACCCAAACGTTGGTGGACGACTCGCCCTTGTCAGCATCAAAGCGTGCGATTCGACAAACCTGTGTGTAAAGGTGTAAAGTTGGTGTTGGGCATCGTGGTGGGATAGGTAGGCCACCGAAACTACCTCCAGTGAGGGAGAGATTCCGGAGTCGGCCTGCTTGTGGGTGCTCCTCATCCCACGGAGGTTGGTGTTGGATCGCGGCGGGGGTTCTCTCGTTTGGGGGAGCATCGCCTATTCGTGCCAGGTCCAATCAGGTACGGCTCGATAAACAGTAGATAACTATGTCATCTATTTATTTTATTTCAACCCCCCTTCTGGAGGCCCGGCGCCTTAGGAATTGACTTCATCGCGTCAATGAAACTTGTGTGTCGTTGGGCTCTATCCTGTTGCTGTGGTAAGAACGAATAATACTGGGCCGGGAAGCACTCCTCTAGGTAGTAATCTTTACATCTTGAAGGATCAGATTGGATGAGTGCTTTCACCCCCGATCATGACGGTCGACGTCTATGAAGCAAGAGGGCCCATCATGTGGCCGGGGACTCAATTTATAATGAGAAAGATGGCGTAGAAATGGGTGAAAGGATGCCAGTTTCAAAAAGCGAGTGTTGGGCTGGTCCGTATAATAGAAATAATCACACAAGCCATCCGCTCGTTGTCGGTTTTATTTGGGGTCGCCAGTGGTGAGAGCCAAAGGAACTTAAAGTCACCGGGAGCGAGTGCCAGGTGAGGCAGTCCAAGTCGAATCATGGACTGCATCGGCGCTTTTCGTTGGATAAACCGCTAGGTTCGGGGTATCCATGGCCCGGCTACGGAGAGTTTCTTGGTAATCCCCCCCTTCTTCGCTTGAGGGAATCCGGTATAATGCGGGGCACTATCACGTTGGCTAGTGGAACATCCTTAGACATCTCGGAGCTCAGTAAAAGATGGCCCCTTGTTGTTCCTCCGTCTCAGGTAACCCGACTCCGCAATGCCGTGATGGCGAGTCCGAGCCTGCCCGGAATAGCGCCATCGATGACGCCACAGCTTGGATATATATGTCAGCGAGAACAAATGACATCTACTTAATAACAGCATAATTACCTACCCTCCCGACCTTCCATCGGCCGTCAGAATCACCAACCAGCTGCAACCAACCCAAAAACACCATGGCCTCGCAAGACAAACTCATTCTCTACACCAACCACGGATGCCCTTGTGAGTAGGATTTTGACGGAACCAGTTCTGGCGCCAAAGAAAAAAGAATGAAACTAACCTCGTTCAAGGGGCACACCGCGCCCACATCGCGCTGGCAGAGCTCAAGATCCCATTTGAAGAAGTCATTATCGACTTGAGCACGCCACGGACAGAGGAGTACCTCAAGATCAACCCACGTGGGCTGGTCCCAGCGTTGTCGTACAACGGAGAGATCATAATCGAGTCCGGCATCGTTGCGCAGTTCCTTGTCGACACTTACCCGTCCCACTTGATCCCCGCCTCCAATGCTCCCGGCGGTGCGCTGCGCCGGGCCCAGGTTGCCTTGTTCGTCGACGCCTTCATCTCCAAGTTCCAGAGCGTATTGTTCGGGCTTTTCAGGGCCAAGACCCAAGAGGAGAGGGAGGAAATCGCAGAGAAGGCAATTGCAGGCCTTGTAAAGGAGGTTGAGCCGCTTCTTGATGATGCGAGTCCCTTCTTTGGCGGGAGCGACAAGATCACTTTGGCCGAGGTAAGAAACACACAGCTACCTAATATACATGTATGGTTGGCAAGGGAATCCACTACTAACAAACAAATTCCAGGTTCTGACGGGCTCATTCGTGATCCGCCTCAAGGTCCTGTCGGCGGCTGGTGTTTACCCCAAGAGCATCTGGGCACAGATTGAGGCGAAGACGCCCAACTTTCTCAAGTGGGTTAATGTTGTTGCCGCGCATCCAAGCGTGAAGTCCATTCTTGACGAGAAGAGTCTTGTTGAAGGGACCAAGGCCAAAATTCTGGAGCTGGGGGGTGTTATCGTTTAAACGTATTTTTGCATGTAATATTCTCTCCTGTGTAGCGTTGAGATTGACGAGCGAGAAGCAAAATGGAAAAGATAAAAAACTGAGAGTTCCAAGCTTCCATGCTGCATCTGCATCTGCATGGTAAATTTGACCCCTACTTCGATTCGCGGTTCCGCCTGTGCTTCTTGGGCTTCGCAGGCTTCACTCCCCGCGCGCTCCCTGTTTTGGACCCACTTCCAGCTCGGGCAGCAGTTCCCGCAACCGAGGCATGGCGCCTGAGCGATGGATCGCCTGTGACCTGGACCTGGAAAGGAAGGGGTCGAGGTCGAACTCGGTCATTCCAACACCATCCACACCACACACAGATACTTGTTGGTACAATTGATTTCCCCAACCACAACACTCGCGTTTTCAGCTATTCAACTCGGGCCATCTGACTGCTTACCCTCGAGGCAGAAACATCGAGGGCTCCCCACTCATTGACGGCGGATGTAGCGCATCCCGCGCTGGTTGCGCTACCTATCCAATGGTCCCCTCGAAAGGATCCGGCATTAAAAACACTTTGACAATGCCGTCACAATGGTTTCAGATGTACGATGACTTCATCACCAAGAACGCACACCAAGTGTCACAAATCGAGTCGACGTTACGATCATTAACCTACATCATCCCTGGTACGCTTCCTATCCTCCTTCCAAGCATCAATCAAGCCATTGGGGACCCAAACCTAGACCGTCACTAACCCGGCATTCTTTCGTAGGCCGTTTCCGCGACGCCGAGATTGCCTCCGAGTCCATCCACAGCGGTGTGCAGCTGCTATCCCTCTACCACGACACGCTACTCCGACGGGCGCACAAGCTCACGACGAAGGTACCGCTGCCGCCCTCGCTCTCACAGCCCGCGCCCACCCCACACGGCCGATACACGCGCTTCTGGACCCTGAAGAGCACCCTCTACCGCCGCGTCGCCTACGCCCTGCAGATCGTCCATTATGTCGAGCTGCTGTGCGAGATGGCCGCCAAGCGCCGCGGCGAGCGCATTCGCTGGCGCGTCATCGTCCTACTCGAGGCCGCCAAGGCCCTGTGCCGCCTGCTGCTGATGCGCATCACACGGTCCCGCCCACTCGTCACCCCCATTCTTCCCGAGCGGGAGCCGATACCAGAGCAGCCCACAGAGGAGGATGAGGTGGAGGCTGAGTTCAGGGCGCTGGAGGAAGATGATGAGGACAGGAGGAATAGCACTGGGGAACTGGGCCAACGAAAGGGTCAGTTGGGTCCCAATGGCGAGTGGACCATGTCCCGCACCGGCATGAGCCTCCCATCTCTGCCCGCCCCAGGCGATACGAGCGGGTACCTGCTTTCGCGGGTGTTGACCTCGGACGATATCAAGCCGGCAGCGACGTTGCTCAACAAACTGCAGGGCCGAGCCCAGGCCGCCGAGGTTTTGCATATCCTCGCGCCGCTCATCTTTGCCGTGGCGCTGGCCCGGAGCAAGGACAAACGCAAGGCTTGGACACCGTGGCTGTTGGGCGTCGGCGCGGAGCTCGCCGCACGGCAGCTGAGGGATCGCGGGCTGAGGACGACGCCGCTCGAGCGCGAGGAGTGGAACAGGCGCGGCTGGGCCATGGGCTGGTGGGCGATGCGCGGTGCCTTCTACGAGAACGTTACCAAGGGCATGGTGGGGGGTGTTCGAAGCCGGATGCCAGGGCTGCTTGCCGGTATTTTGGAGGATTACGAGTATCTGTGGGAGAACTACCACTTCAGCACAAGTTCGTGAATGGTTTTTGAAGGACAGGCGTTGGGGGAGGGGGACAACAGGTGCGAGGAGGAAGAGGGCGGCCACTCCGAATGGGCGTATGGACATGGCACAGGGGGTTTTCTACTGCATTGTAATATATGGATGGCATGTACGAATTAAGACAACATACTGGGGTCAGCGATCCCTTCTTTCCTTACCTATCGCGCTAACAGGCGTAGTCAGTGTCATCTCAAACTCAAGGGCCTTCCCGAATTATGAACCACATCTACCAGACAATCAAAAAACAATTGGTCCTACTATCTGCTACTACTTGATCACTAGCCACAGCGCGCAACGGTACAAGCCAATTGGGGGGGTGAAAAAAAGAGTGTCTTCTGGTCGACTCCAGACTTGGCCGGCCTGAGATGTTATCACTTCATCATATCCAACCGCCCGCCGCTCCACGACGCCAAATACTCCTTACAACCTCGAAGCAAGCCGATTCTCACCCGGGGCATGGTAATCCGGCACTTTCATGTCGAGCGCCTCGCCCGAGTAGCCAAGGTCTTCGGCAACCAATACAGCGGCCTTCTCACCGATAAGGAGAGCAGTCGAGTATCTGGCACACTCCGTTAGCTGTAATTCCAGTTTCCCCCCTAATTCCAGTCTTGAATCACTTACGTGTTGCAGCCCACATTGTCAGGGCAGATACTCAAGTCGGCCACTTTCAGGCCCTTGACGCCGTGCACGTTCAGGCGCTCATCCAGGACACCGTGCTTGACGATGCTGTTGCCTTCTCTGGGGGCCATGGAGCATGTCTAAGGACGAAGATTGTCAGCTGGCTGTATTGGATTCTCTAAAACCAAAACACACTTACACCAAGACAATGCCAGGTCGTCTCGACATGGCGCTTCACCCACTCCTCGACGGCCTCAATATCCTTCTTGGAATACTTGAGCTCCTTCCTCTTCTCTTTGCGGTTGCTCGTCACAATCCCCTTGGCGGGCTTGTCCTCGGCCTCGGGCACGGGCACGCTCCAGCTGCCGTGCTGGATGCCGGCCGTGATGTTGCCGGGGAGGGCGTAACGGTTAGTATCTTCCAGGTTGAGGTCGTGGGCGCGCGCTTCCGAGTCGAAGGCGAAGAAGGGGTGCATGTTCTGAACCTCGCCAGCGTAGGCGTCCATGCGGCGCGCTGTCTCGCGCGACTTGATGTAGCCCCATACCATGGGCACCATGTCGCGCTCGTCGCTCATGAAGCCCGCGTCGAAGTCAGGCACCGCGTACGGGTCCGCCGAGGTGATGTGTGTCTGGCCCCGCGAGAAGGGGTACTCGAGGAAGTGGAACATGGTGAAAAAGTTGCCGGGGGGCCTATTGAGAGATCGGTTAGGTAACGATAGGGGGACTTGTAAGTTGTAACCGCAATTGTTGGCCCTGGCTTACATCAACATGTGGTCACCAAACCATCCACTACGAAGCAACGTTAGTTATTTCTCTCTTGGTCGGAGCATCGACACCTAGAGCGTAGGGCGGAAGATACAACAAGCAACATAAAGTGCAACATACCTAATGACCGAATAGTGCATCACTGGCTTGTCCGGCTTGTTTTTGAAGTAGGATTCCCATCCTTCCTTGAAGTCAGGGGTTGGCCAGGACTCAAACTCCTTGAGCTCGGTGGCAGTTGGGCGAATCTTGACTCCCGCCTCGATGCCGTTGGTGGCAAGGGGGCCGGTCCCCTTGAGATTCCACTCTTCAAAGACCCCTAGGCAAAGGTTAGCCTGGCTCTCTCTTCAACCCTTCGCAAAAGGAGATCGTACGCTTTTGCACCTCGGGGTCTCCTCGTGCAAAATCATCAAACGTTTCCGTGCCCGGCTTGGCCCGGTAGACGGAAAAGGTAAGGTAGTGGTCCTGGAAGTTGAGGCCGACACCAGGGAGATCGACGATGGGCTTGACTCCGACACGGCGCAGCTTGTTGGCATCACCTGAGCACCCAATATTAGTCCTGCATATTGACCGTGTCTGTAGTCGGCCTACCGATTCCGGACCTCTGGAGAATCAAAGGGGATGACATGGTGCCGCTAGACACAACGATCTGTTTGCGAGCACGAAATACGCGGGCCCCGGCACCCTACAGATATGTTAATTTGTTTGGAGGAAAAGAGAAGGTTTAAAAGTACAGGTACTCACATCGCCACTCGGCTTGGTCGGGCTGTGGGTTTGTTAGCAAAGGAATCGAAGGGGAAGCGAGGGCGCTAAGAAGAGAACATGAAGCTTACACGGTCCGGACAGCAACAGCTCGGCCGTTTTCAATGATCACCTTGTCAACCTTGGTGTTGCAGGCAATATACAGGTTCGAATGGACAGCACGGGTGGCATGAATATACGCATGAGCGCTGTCGCTGCGGCGGCCAGTCTAGATGTATGTTTCTATCAGTGTCCCATCTGGCTTGATATACCACACTAGGGGATCACTCACATCGCGATTGATCCACTTCAGCCTGGATGCCGAGTTAGTATCCTTTGCCCTTTGTGGAGAGCAGAGGTCTCTCAGAATGTGACATACCACTGCTCAGCGCCATGGCCGGTTTTGAGATCCTGCAGGTCGTCGACGATGGGGATTCCTTGGGTTTCGACAGCTCGGAGGAAATCATCCTTGATTGGGTACGCACTTCACACTGGTCAGTATCCATCCACATGAGCGAAAGAACAGGCTCCCAGCTCTCATACTAGTTACCAAAGGAGACCTTGATGGGGCCCTCGAATCCATGGGTATCCCGATTGTGTGAGGCACGCTGGTAGGTCTCGTGCTTCTTCATGAGCGGTAGGAGCTCCTCAGTCTTCCAGCCTTTGGCCTGGAAATCATCATAATCAGAGGCAGAAGCTCGGGTGTACATCTGTCACGCGTCAGCCCCTGGGCCCGAACCTCCAACCACTATCCCCCTCTCTTACCATGAAGTTGATGGAGGATCCACCACCAAGAACATGGGCGGCCGGCACAATGGCACTCCGGCCTCCGAGCCATTTTGAAGGGCTAGACTCATAGAAGGTGGCCGTCTTGGAGTCCAATTTCATATTCCGTGGGAAGATTGCCGGTCGGAACACCCATGGGTTGTTGAGGTTGTTCTCTCCGGCCTCGATAAGTAGGACCTTGAGGTTATGGTCCAGGTTGGCCAACCTAACGTGTGTATCATGTAAGTCTTCGCTGGGGATGATAAAAGCTTGACGCTACGATCCATACCTTCCAGCCACCACGCATCCACAACTCCCACCACCACACACAATAATGTCGAACTCCTCGGGTAGCGGTGACATCTCGGCCGGTATTGCTCGCGAGGACTTGGAGCGGGTTACGACGAGCCGCCTAAGAGGAGCCCTGGAATGATCATGCTGCGAAGGGGTTGGCCTCTTATGTTACATGTGCTGCCTCTTACCAACAATCACACTTGCCGAGCCATACCTATGGCCGATGACCCCTCAACAAAACATACATGGCCTCGACCACCCTTTCCGTGTTTCCATCAACTTGGCTGCTGCAACTCTGGTTGGCCAATTCCTGTCCTTTAGAGACCAAACAGCTGCATTCCCCTCACGTGTTGACGAACCCCTTGCGATATGCGAGCCGCGTATGCAGCTCTGGGAACCCCTCATCTTCTTGGTATTGTCTGTGTTACGGCGGCTTAAACGGTCTCGCGGGGATAAAGGGGCCCGATGTTGACGGCAATGCGAAAGAAAGACGATGTGGTGGTTGTGATTGGGGCCCGCACTGACTTGACAACACCATGCCTTGATCACCAACGAAGAAGTTGCACCAGTCACACCAAGTTCTCATGACCTGCTCGCACTGCCCAGTTTCCGAGCTACAGCCAGTGGTGGCTTACTTACCTGGCTTGGATCGGTTCAATATGGTAAAAGCACCCGAACTTCGCCAACTCCTTACCCTCCTCGACGCTGCATGGCATCCTGCCCTGTTGTGCCACCACATGCCGGCGAATACAACTAGGGGCCGGTAGGTTATCTTTCCAGAGACCTTGGACTAGAGAGTCAAGGAGGCCTTCTCACAGCACACTCACTCCAATTCACCGATCAGGCTATGAATGGATATGGTCATTGGCTTTTATCCGGCAGCTTATTTAGACTTCAACGACAGCTCTGAACTCTAATAACATGATTAGGTAACCTTGATTTGAATGGCTCAGCAGGACTATGAGTCTTGGTAATTCTCCGTAGCTAAAATCACCAGAGCCGCGATGTACACTAATGCAATCCGGCGCACTAGCGTAAAGCCACCGAGTGTAGATAGCTCCAGGAGAAGAGGGACGAGAGGGAGCGGACGCCATTCCATTCGGTCCATTCCCCCCTCTATGTTGAAGCACATGAAGGTGTGAGATACAGAGCGTGCTTGCAGGGGCCTTGAGCGAGCAAGGGGCGGGTTGAATATTGATCAGGATGATGCACGCCCATTTCCCCGATGTTACATTGCATGAGCTGCACAGCATATTGGAGGGTAATAACGCGGGGTTGGCTCAACGGTTCCATCTATCATATTGGGGTTGATACTCCAACGATGGACCGGACATGAGATATGGCAGCAACTCAACCTACCATAGTTGAGCCATGCACAGACTGCACAGAAGTCACAAGATGACGGGTATGTGTCTGTCCGTCCATACAGAACGCCCATTGCCACACGGGCTTTCACTCGGAGGAGCTGGCCCCTATCGACTACATAGGAGTACTCTTGGTGAAAACAAATGCTTGTCACCCACCTCCAAGTTTAACCTAGAAAGACCCTGTTCGAAAATGTGGTGGAGTTGTTAGCTTCGAGAGCGGCTAGAGTCCATGGAGGGAGGGCATGCCTTCCGAACTAATGCCAGGAAAATGCGAGCCGTATGTTGGACAGCTCTCTAGAAAGTGGCAGTTTGAGGTTGAATTAATCCACCAAGGCACCGTACCGCTCCTCCCTCGCTCCCCTCTTCTTATCCCACCAATCTCGTATCGCCGATCCATCCACGGCGAGTCGGCATTTCGTACCCAACCCGCCACCAGTTACTGTATCATCTTTACGATGGCAAGCACCAATGACTTGAGACCCCGAGGACCGTTAGCAGGATGCAACCCTGATTTCCCACCTGGCTTGCCGTGCTCCATATCCTATGACACATCCCCATGTTGAGGATTGTTGAAGGGAGTGGCATGTGTGCGCTCAGGAGCTCCCATATCCTGTGCTGAGTGGATGTATTCGTCCCAGGCACTAGATAAGACATCGTACCCCTATCACTGGCCTTGTGGCACGAAATAACACTTTGTCGAAATACTAGTGATAATTACCTACTGGGACGGGGGAAGTGTGCTTGTAAGGGCCGCTGGGTTTTTGAAGCTTACGGTGCCAGCAGGAGGCCGTAGTCAACCATTAAGCATCAGTCGAATTGGTGCGAATTCAATGTTTGTGAGACATGTTAGACACTCCTCTTGTCCCTGCCCAAGGCCGACAAAACGGTCAGCCAGATGTCGCCTTTTCCGTCTGGTTCCACCTAAGCGCGGCACTGCACACGACATGAGCAAGGTAAGTGAAAATGCAAGTCATAAGTCAAGACAAGATCAATTGTCTAATGGTGGTTACATAGTACAAGAGCTAGAAGCGGTCCAACGCTGCTCAAGAAATCAACGCTAACCAGGCCCAAGGTTCCGTTTCGCCATGCTATGTATTCGCCGTGTTAAGCCAGCCCAAATTGATTCATACAGATCGTTTACTAAAAGCGTTGCCTTTTGAGGGAAGCAACCCGACTTTCTTCTTCACTACTTCGCTTGCGCGATGATACGTTCAAGACATATCTTGCCTTGATGATTGCTGGCGGGGTTGTCTTGGGGATATCGGACTCCCCGGGTTTCGACGAAGCCCTTGCTTGTTCGCGGATCTGAAGCCTCCGCTCTTCGACTCTGAGGACCCACAAGAGTGTGAGTAGGACCTCCTTCGACGGGAGCTTGGCTCCGTTCGGCCAACCGGTTGGCCCGTGACGGGGCAACTGCTGCTGCGACTCTCCGTTAGCTGCGGCCGCCGCCGACTCGTCGGCTCCCGGAACCCGGTCGACCGAGTATCCCTCAGTTGACACCAACCGCAAGACCGCCATCGTCGCATCCATCAAGGGACGCGCCAGAGTGGGGCTGCAGGTAAGGATCTTCCGAAGGGTTCGGAGTCTCAGGGTTGAGGAGCGACGAGTCTGCGACGGAGCTGCCGTAGAGGTGCGGCGGCTGTTGCTCGTTGCTGGGCGCGCCGTTGAGCTCGCTGTCGGTGATGAACTCGTTGATGTCGAAGTCGTTCGTGAATGGGAACGATGAGGTGTCGTCACTAGCCAGATGATCGTATTCATAATCGGTTGAGTTGGGTGAAGAGAGAAGCCCGCTTTCAATGAGATAGCGATCTGCGTCAAGGGCCTCTGGCATACAGAAACCATCGCCGAGGTGGAGGCCAGAAGGAACTGGAGCTGGAGGAGCAGCGCTTGCGCTGGATGTAGTTGCTGTTGGGACGCCCGTTGCCACGCCGAGGCTGGTGCTTCCGCCGACCGACACTGCAGGTCCAGGCACAACATCTCAGCAGGATGTTGTGTCGCGTCGGGGGAAGCATTAGCCTCGGGCATGATGGGGGCATCCGCAACAGGAGTAGCGGCAACTGTCTTTGGCTCGCACTCCTCGTCCGCCTCCTCAGCGACGGGGCTGAGGGAGGGTGACAGAGACGCAGGGTTCACTGTCTTGTTAGTGGATGGAATGGACTGGAACATTTGCTCCAGCGAACCCGCGCCACTCATCGTGGGCCCATCTTGTGAGTTGAAGAGTTGCTGCGAGAACGTGACGGGCGGTTGACGAAGACCTTCGAATGATGGGGTCGTCCTGGCGCCATTTGTGCTTTGGAATGTCTGGAGCTCCTCGATGAGCCTCAGGTTCATTTGTTGTGCGTGGAGGAGCGCTGCCTCAAGCTCCTTGTTCCTTTGCTCAAGGCCCTCGACCTCTAGGCGCTTCCGTTCGCGCGACGATTGGGCGGCGCGACGGTTGCGAAGGACGCGCTCGACTCGCCGCTGCTCTTTTTCGTCTTCGGTCTTGGCGCGTTTCCTGTTATGGTTAGCATCATGTTACGGGGTCGGCTCCTCAAAGCGGTATCACATACCTTGGAGGGAGGTTGGTCTTTGGCTCTGGAAGTACTTGGCCCCATGACTTCCTCTTCTTAACCTGCTTCTTCTCGGGCTCGGGGGTGCCGTCGACCGAGGCCGCAGGCTGGTTGAGGGTGGGTTGGGGTTGGGTGAAGGCGGTGAGCCCGGCGAGCATGGTCAGGTCGTGTTGTCCGTCGTCGGAGATAGACTCTGGTGACATCATCTCGAGTGGGTTGACTGTGTTCGTCGGTGCCGGGCCATCGCCGAATAGAGAGGGATACATCTCGTCAGGGGTCGAAAGCAAGGACTCGGCGGGCGAGCCCTCGAACTTAATGTTTGGCGACGCTGCACGGGTCCAGGAATGCATTTCAGACATTGTGAACCTCGCACCTCGTAGGAGGACTTTGTGTGGTTTCTGCGAATGGATGACGAAGCAGAGTTCGTTTCCTTGTCGGGCTTTGTCGGCGGATAGGTGGCTAAGGGCGTAGTGGAGTTATTGTTGCAGAGCTGGTGTGGTTCTGTTAACAGTACCGAGGCGCCTTCCCAGTTCCTCAATACTAATATGTCAAGAAATCAAGATGCTAAAGGGCATTGCATTGCGCATGACGAGTCCATCTGTGACTCAGCAGCCTTGTTGACCAGAGTGAACAGCTGGTTGGCTGCGCTGTCGAAGAGGACAGTCTGGCTTCTTGAACAACGGCAAGGAAGGCGCTCTGGGCTGACGGGGCTCCAGGCTTCTTTTATGTTCTGGACACGTATGCGAAAGGGGCTTGTTGCCTGAGGCAGAACATCAGCACGAATGAATCCGCTATTGATTGATTGGCCCAATCTGTCTTACGACGGCTGCAACGTCCGAGTCCAAACAAGGAAAGCAGGAAGGGCGGACGGGAACCTCGTTCCACGGACCCACAAGCTCCATCAGCCTCGAACTCAGGGGAATCCAAATGATTGCACCAATGTTAGGAGGCGGGGGCGGAGACAAAGGGAAACATGCCATCCCGCCCAGCCGGAAATCATGATTGAGATTGAGAAGCATTCATTCAGTGGCATTGCACTTTCTGGCGGTGGTTCGTTCCCAGCGCCGCTCAGCTGTTTCTTTTTCTGGGCCATGGCTTACGCAGGCTTGCCCGCAAGGCGGGCCAACATTTGCTGCACCTGCATGCGTGTGCTGACTGCGACGACCACCGCCTCCTTCGTGCCTCCACCATCCATCGGTTACTCATCAACAATTCCCTCCACCGCTGATGCCATTGACAGTCGAACTGGAGCAAGACTCTCCACAGCGCTCCGCTTTCGGTCGTGGTGGTCAGAGACGGTGTCAGCTCCGCGGACTGTGCTGTCGGTCTAACTCGTGTATTCGTGCACAATATGATCTCGGAAGAGCAGCCGGGTTGGCTGAAGCAGCGGGTGCAATGGTGACACGCTACCGAGACATGTGGGTTCCAATTATGCCAGTTACGGTAATTTGGGGCGGTGACTTGTCCACCCACTCATTCTCTCCTTCTGACCACCATCCACCGCCAATCTGTCGGCGTTATTGACCGACTCCTCAGAGTCTGTAAGGTATGTGACCTCGACGTTTGATCGAGCATGTCGTTTGGTTCATACCGGTGGCAACCACCCTCCCTGTCCAGAAAGCCCGCAATTTACAGCGGAAGGGTGTGGAATGCTGGGCGAACTTTTCAGTAGCAGCAATCAGGCTGAATATCCCCAGACCCATGGAACCCCAGATTTGCGTCGCATGCACCCGAAGTTTGAACTGACGCTGGAGCGGCACTCACTTTACCGGGCACGAGTCTTCGAGAAACCCCAGATTTAATCTAATTTAAATCGTACCCCATCCGGCATTGCGGGCTTTGTGGCGGGCCGCATCGCCCGGACAAGACGGAGGGCGGGGGAGGGTCCGCAGCTTTGAGCGTGCCTGAGTTACACTGCTTCGTAATGTCATTATATACACTAGGTATGTGTGTGTGCTGTACCGAGTAACTCCTGCGGAGGCGAGGTGTTGGTAGATGCGTTCCCTGTCCGGACAATGCATCCGGTGTTCGAGGCGTCCCCGAGTCTCACAAATGCTCAGCACATGGAGGCGCCACCAGTCCATGGCCATCAAACACTCTCCCCGCCTCCTTCCTTGATCAATTGCGAGGGAGGGGAGTAGGATGGATCAATTGCTGCGGAGGTTTGAGGAAGAGGGAAGTGCGGAAGTGAAAGGGGATGCCAAGTGCGCATCGACCCCATCTCAGGGGCTGCTCCTCCGGGCGGGCAGCCGGGCAGATCGGTGACTGATCCGCCGACCCCAAGCGGGTGTTGGCAGCTGCGGGTCTCGCCTTGGCGGCACGTGCGCGGCGCGGCGCAGCATTCACAGTGCCTTTCAACAACCCCCGGTTTTTGCTTTCCCCCAAAAACGAAAAGGCATCAAAACCTCTTTTCTGCAGCACACAAACACCTCAGGCATTACGAACACGCAGTAGGTAAATCCGGCGACAACAGCGGCTCCGGACTCGCCCAGTACCAAACCGAATTCGTGGTTGGTTTTAAATCCAACAGAAGGCCCTGTGGGCCAAGCAAAGCTGCCGCTTGCTTTCTGCGACGGCCTCCCCACACGCAAGCGCGTTAGTTCCATCCCAGATCGCTTCCAACGGTCGGCCCGCCATCCCTGAACCCCCTTTTCCTCTCTGATGCGCGGATGGACAATCACTCCCCACATTCGTTTCCTTCCGAGAGCTTCCATTCTGTATCCCTTTGTGGAGTCTGGTTTATGGAATCCTGGGAGAGCGCTGGATAGGTGGAAGGCTGCAGGGTTGTTATCCTCCGCATTCCCGTCGTCGGGAGTGTGGATGCCGCCAGTAGTCTGGGGTACACGGGAGTGTCAAGCGGCACGGAATCCACGTTTAGGCGGAGTGGCTTACATACATATACACACATGCCTCAAGGCGGCTCCATCCGGCACCAGCGATATATTACAAGCCGTACTGCCGTGCAGTTTCCTGCCGTAGACCGCGATTTTTCTTTCCCACTTGGGTTATTGCCGAGTAACGGGCCGGAAAAACCTTGTCGACAACCTCACGTCAAAGGAAAATCTTAAGCTGGTTAAAAAGCACTTTTTTTCCTACTCCAATACCCCTTCTATCACTCCCCTCGACCCAGCCCAATGCCCCCGGATGTGTGATGGTCCGTTCCCCAACGCCGCAGACACCGTATATGCTGACCGCTCCTTCGCTACCATGGGAGATAGCGGTGGCGGACTTGTGCGAAAATTTTCACATTGCCCTTCCCATCCTTTCTCTAGAAGACCCCGTCCCAGCCCGTTCCCCACTGGTGAGACTGATGGTGAGGAGGCTTCACGAGCCCCTCAATGTCGCTCGTGACCCAGCCGCCATAATAATCACCCGGCGGCGGGTGGGCCCTTTCGTTGTCGACATAACACTCCCAAGGTCCGACAAAGAACGCGATATAGCCCTTGATGGCCTCGTATTCTTTGGGCGGCTCGTTATACGACCAGATACGATTGGTGAGGATGTCGGCGGCGGAGATGGGACTCATAATGGCATAGTTCGTGGCGGCGCCGTGGAATTCAGAGAAGGTTGCTCGAGGAGTGGTCGATAAGGGCAGTCGGACTCTGCTAGGAGGGATGTAGTACACTGCACAAGGAGACGAGGAAGTCAGTAACTGTCGACACACAAGGAGCAATTTCCCGCGACTATCACCAGGGGCCATCCGAGCCGGCGGCGAGAGATGACGATGGTGATGGAGAACGAGATGGAGATCATGGTGATGGAGATGGAGATGGAGATGGAGAAGCCAAGGAGGGGAAACGGACCCGGAGCGTGATGGGCCTCGAGCACCCAGTAAGCCTCGCCAGGCGGGCAGTCGGCCACTAGCTGACCGTGCCACTTGATTTGGATGTGACGGTTCGTCCTCTCCACAATTGGCGGACGAGGAAAGGTCGTGACATTGTGCTTCCGCATGGTGGACATGTTGCTGCCGCTGCCGGTGTTTTTTTTGATGCGCTATGGGGGAGACTGGGCTTGCACTGGGTCGAGAGGAAACACCTTGCGGTCAATCCGAAAATATAAAGATGGCAAGGTGAAAAAAATGCTCTTCAATGCTCGAAAAGTCAACCGGGCCCATCCATGTGCAAGCTGCGGGTCATCGTGTGGCTTGCACGTCGGCCCACTTGATCCCTGCCCACAAACCCGGGCGCACGCGCATTCTGCGACGGGAAGAAGAAACGTTGACGCTTATGATTCCAGGGCAAGCACAATCCCTGCAGCACCAGCCACAGACGGTGCGTCATGGGGCCATTGCCGCCCCGCCGTTATCTGCGCCCCGCCTCGGTTGACCAAACAGGAGGCGACCTCGGAGCCTGGAAACGGTCTGCCTGGCCCCCTTGTTCGCCACTTGCTCAACAATCCAGCCGCGATTCTCATCCTCGTTGTCGTAGTTAACGCAACGGAACGCAACGCAACGCAGCAATTATTTTGCTTTCTTCAAGATAATCAATCGCGACTATTGTCTACAAGACAAAAGCTGGAACCATGTCGAACCGCCAACTCTCCCGGGACATGCAAACCGAGTTCCAGGCACGGGTACGAAGCATCCTCAACCCCGCGCTCCGCTGAGAAACACCTTTGCGGCCCAGGCATCGATCGGGGCAGCAATACGGCTCGAAATGGCCTGATATTGACGTCGTCTAGTTCAACGCAAAACAAGCCCGTCGGGAGGCGCAAAAAGCCGCAAAACAGGACAACGAACTCAAGAAACAGATCCAGAATGTAGGCCTCCGTATTCCCACCGGTCAGGAAGAGCAGAGCATGTAGATAGTATCACTAACACCCATTTCTCCCTCGATAGCTTCTTAAGAAGGGCGAAACCGCGCAAGCCGCCCAAAAAGCCCGCATGCTCCTTGCCAAACAAGCGATCGCTGCGCAAATGGACCAAGCCGCCGACATCGCCGAGCTCTCCCTAGCGCAGATCCAGGCCAACAACGCGATGAACCGCATGACGACCATGATGTCACAGTCATCCAAGACCATGCAGCGGGCCCAGCGTAGCGCCAACCCGGAGAAGACTCTCCTGACTCTGGAACAGTTCCGCTCGCAGAACGAGGAATACGCAATGAACAACGGCATCTACCAGGATGCCATGACCCAGAATACGTCAGTCCAGGTCAGCGATGACTCTGTGCAAGAACTGTTGGGCAAGCTGGCCGATGACGCTGGGCTTGAACTGGGCCAGGAGCTGAACGAGGCGTCGACTAGCAAGGTTGACCCCGTCAAGGAGCCCGCGGAACCCACGCCAGAGGTTGAGGATGCGCTACAACAACGGCTGCGGGCACTCCGGGCTTGATCAGTTGACGTGCTAGGGCGGGTTGCGTTGGATAACATGGAACTTTTGGGAGGTCATGGGGATGTTGATCGTCGGGGGCACCAACCACATACATACGGTTACAAAGGGCGGACATGGGTGTTCGGGCTAGATCCTCCCTTGTTGCTCTTCAGCCTCAAGGAGTATTTTTACATGGCGTTTTGGTTACTTGGGTTCACGATGATTTGCTAGGTACGACGGGGCGGAAGGTTTACGCTGCCATTGATTCTTTTGGGTTAGATATTTATGATTACCACGCAGCTGCCGTTCCTCCCATCTTGCATGTGGAACATCGTCCCGGCCACTTGACAGGTTTGCCCTCAGGAAATTCGTCATTAAGCAATCCGCAAATCCATGCTATGCTCATCCCATTTTGTCTTCCCGATACATAACCCCGCACAAAATGTAGGCGTCATAACCCCCCGCCACCGCCACCGCAAGACTCACAGCAAACAGGCAGCAAATGCCTACATATACAAACTCGCCACAGCCGTGATATCCCTCCGAATCATCTCCTGCGCAGCCGCCATCTTCTGGTACAGATCTGGGTCGCCAATGATGCGCGCAGCATTCTTCACCTCGCGGCACGTCTCGTCTAGCCGCGTGATGGTCCTGACAATGGTGCCCTCCAGCACGTCGGTCAAATCCGTGATATTCTTGAAGCTCATGCCCCGCGCCCACTCGTAGACGACCTCCATCAGGCCGAAGCGGGGCTTGGACACAAAGTCGTTGCTCTCATCGCTCGTCTGGATGACCTGGTGCAGCGTCTGGACGTTGTTGACCTTCTCTGAGAGGTCGACGATGGTCTTCATGCCGCGCTCGAGGTTGGCCGTCAGCCGCGGGACTGATTCGGTCTTCTCCTGGAAGACAAAGGCCGACAGCAGGGCGGCGATCTCGGCGGGCTCGTAGTCGGCGAGCACGTTCTCCAGGATGAGCTCCGTCAGGACGAGCTCGTCACCCGAGTGCACCTCGCACGCGACCTTGCCCTTCAGCTGGATGCGGCTGGCATCGTCGATGAAGGAAAGGTCTTTGAGGACCTGGATGCGCTGCTCGTAGTCGGGGAGGAGTTGCAGGTTTTGTTCCGAGAGGGTCTCGCGGAGCTGCTTGATGTGGGTTTGGATAAGCCACTGGTCGTGGCACATGGCGTAGTGTTTCAGGAACGTTTGGCAGCCCGAGGCTGGCGACTTGGTTACTTTGACCTCGGCCTCTCGCCGCTTGCTCGCGATGTCGTGGACCGCGAGGTTACGGATCCGGCTCAGGTCCATTTCGTCCCAGATATCCGTGTTCCAGGTCCGGCAAACCTGGTGCAGCTTCTCCTTGGCCCTCATGTAGCCCTCGCCGCCAAAGATATCCGGTACGATACCCTTGACAACGTGCTTTGTGAGACAGACGAGGTCTGTAATCGAGAGTTGCAGCGTCTTTGTCAAGATTTGCTTCTTGGCCTGCGGCAGCGGAGTGAAATGTTTCCGGAATGCTGGTACAAATGGAAGGAGATCTGTGTCATTACGGATCTCCCGGTTGGTCCTGATCTCGAGGATTTGAAACATGGGATTTGCCGCGCTGCTCTTGACGATCGCTCCTTCGGACAGCAGAATACCCGGTGTGCGGACGCCTTCCTTCATCCACACAATCAGCCTCCCAGGTGTGAACATCTTCCGACCGAGAGGGTTGACCAGCAACATGCGATACAGGTCTACCGTCAGCTGCTTGAAGTCCTCACCGGCCTGATGACACTCGTCCATGTGGTCATCGCAGACCGGGCATGAGTCTCTCTTGACCCTGGCCAAGTCTGCCTCGGACACTTTGACTGCCTTCTCGTGCTCGGGCAAAAGTTGCTGAGTGGCGTGCTCCGAGAAACTTCGCTTAATCATTTCCTCGATTTTGAGTGCCTCGACGCGCAGGAGGTTGAGAATCATGTTGTACGTGAGCCGGAACTGTGATCGGAGCTTGCTAGGCTCGCCGAGTATCATCTGTCGGAGGTCCGTGACCGGAGGCGCCTCACCACCTCCTGGAGGGACAATGATGACGGAACCGACGGTATCGAGACCGCGTCTCCCTGCCCTGCCGGCCATCTGAGTGTACTCACCAGGGAGAAGGTTACGGAACGAATGTCCATCGTGCTTCCGGTACCCGGAGAAGACAACGGTTCTAGTCGGAAGATTTAGGCCCATAGCGAAAGTCTCCGTAGCAAACAAAACCTTGACCAGCGTCTGGGCGAACAGCATCTCGACGAGCTCCTTGACGATGGGTAACAACCCACCATGGTGGACGGCAATGCCGCGCGAGAGCAACTCTCTCAGTCTGATGATCTGGGGAAGCACGCGGTCCTCAGGCTTCAACCGCGCAATCGACTTCTCAATGAGCATGTGCACAGCGCTCTTTTCTTGGGCGGTGCAGAAATCCTGGTTGCTCAGCGCATCGGCATTCTCCTCGCAACGCTTCTTGGAGAAGACAAAGATGCAGGCCGGAAGTAGGGTCCCCTTCTTCAAGAACTGTACCAAATGAACCCAAAGGTTCTTGTCTTGGGCGGCGGATGTATATCCGCCGGGCCTCCCTGCCCGCCCCATATGACCGGGGGCGTGGCTTGCGCGAGGAGGACCGCCCCGACCTCGCTGTTGGCCAGCACCTCTACCACCACCACGTTGCTGATTTCCACCTCTTTGCTGCCCGCTGCGACCCCCTCTACCGTTGGCCCCGCCACGTGTTGGCTGTGCTGTGGCTGGAGGAAGCGACTTCACCTTATCCTTGCCTTGGATCGCCATGTTGGCGTCCTTCCAGCCCTTTTCGACAAAGTTCTTCTCCGAGTCGACGATCTTGTAAATATTCTTGTTGCCCCAGAGGTAGTGCTCTAGCGGAACCGGCCGCTTCGGTGTCGAGATGACGTAGATGTCCTTTTGTTTCGTCCTGCCAACCCAGGATGCGAACTCGTGCGTGTTCGGCACGGTGGCGGAGAGTAGAATCAACGTGACATGCTCAGGCAACATGATGATGACCTCTTCCCACACCACGCCACGCTCAAAGTCGTTGACGTAATGAACCTCATCGAAGATGACGAATTCGACGTCACGGATGAGATCTGCTCCACGGTAAAGCATACTCCTGAGAATCTCGGTCGTCATGATCAGGCAACTAGCCTCGGGGTTGATCTGCACATCACCGGTCAAGATGCCGACTTCGTCAAAGGTCTGCCTGAAGTCGCGAAACTTCTGGTTACTCAACGCCTTAATAGGGGATGTGTAGATGGCCTTAGTCATGTGTCTTGCCGCGAGGGCGATGGCGTACTCGGCAACCACTGTCTTGCCTGCCGAGGTATGTGCCGCAACGAATACCGAATCGCCGTTCTCCAGATGGTATATTGCCTCCTTTTGAAACGTGTCCAGCTCGAATGGCCATTCTCTCGCCATATCCGGCACAAGCTCGCGGAAGTTGGGCATCGGGCGGTTGATGTCGACCATGTGGGCCCACTCACGACCAGCCTTTCTAGCGCTGGACGCCGCGAGTGTGCCGCGAGGTTCTAGAGCGGGAAATTCGACGGGCAGAATGGAGTCAATATCTTCCACATCCTCGTCTTCGTCGTCATCCCCCTCTTCGTCGCCATCCGCGCGCGGTTTCCCGTCCGCTTCATCTTCAGCACCAGGCGCAGCCTCCGGTTCCTGATCCAACACCTCTTCGACCTCCTTCGCCTGCCTCTCGCTGTCGGCATCGGCAAGCTTCCTCCTCTTGCTAAAGTCAATGCCCCGGTCAAGGCCGGGTGCAATCTCAAGCAGGCCGCCCTCGCCAAGCGTGATGACCTTCTCGAGCTTCTTCCTGCTCTCGCCCTCCTCCGTAGCAGCCGACGAGGCTCGAAGCTGGTCCTCCAAGGCGGCGGCCGACTCGATGCCTTCCAAACCGCCCGGAGCGAAGGGAAAGAACCCGGCAGCGCCGCGCACAAAGTCGGCTCGGCCGGCGGGCTTCCGCAGCATGGACGTGCTTGACTTGGCGGTGGCATGGGAGGCCGGAACGGTAACGTTGCGGTAACCTGTGACGCGGCCCTCGAGACCGTGGCGGATAAAGCGCGTGACGGTGCGAGATTGAGTCGGGGCAACACGGAAGAGGAGGGAATAGTCGGTTGGGATGTCCCAGCGCTGCTGTAGTTTGTCGAGCCATTGGTCTGAGAAGGTCGTCGAGGGAGAGAGGTATTTCGCCTCAAGCTCGGCGCGAAGCTGGTCGGGATCTTGGGGCTTGGGTTCGGGCGTGACAGTCTTGTCGAGAATGTTGTCGATGGCATCGAACGAAGTGTCGCCTTCAAGGTGTAGCGCTTGCATGGCGTCGCTGAGTTCTGATGCCATGTTGGCGTGGGGTAGGCCAAGCTGGCCTGCGGGTAGAAGCTGTCGCTGGCTGGATTGGACAAACTTCTTGTGATGTTGGTGGAAAATTGTCGGAGTGTTGGTGTTGGAAATGCCCAATCCCACGCAAACGTAGGAGATGGAGGTATCCCGTTCGTTGACAATACAGCTACGAATACCTAGAAGGGGCCGAGTTACCAGTGGGGCTTTTGTGCTGGGTTAGGTGCCCTGGCTGGCGGGGTCGAGAGCGGGATGGGACAACTGCGGGGCATTCCATCCCCCCGAGCACTCAGCTCAACCACTCAGGGGATCTACTTGGTACTCACTCTTTTCTTCAAAAACAACCAGAAGCCGAAGAACAACCTCCCTATGTAGATGGTCTAACATTGGGGTGGAAATCATGAACTTGAAAGGCCGCCACAGATTTTGTAAGGGATGGTTCGGTCAACGACTTAATTATCCCTTTTCCCTTTCTCATGCACTCTCCAGCCAAACCCTATCTCAAACTTAGGTACATTTACGCATACGAATAACTACACAAATGTGAATGCATCAATGAATTCATCTCCTCTTGCCGTTAACCCCCGTTCCGTCAAGGCCAGTGGTATTTCCCGACAACTGATAAATACCATTGTACCCCTCGACCGCCTCCTGCATCGGATAGACGACCATCTGCGCCAGTCTGGCTCCTCTAACGAGATGAAGCCCAGCAGTATTCTTGACTTCCATCAAGGCCCCCAGCGCACCTTCATATCCCGCGTCCACCACCCCAGCCTGAATTGTCACACCAGACCGCCAGAGCGTCGACCTGCCAAAAATACTCCCCATGCAATCTCGCGGCATGTGAACCGTTTCGTTGAAGTCGATGAGATAGGCACCCGGTTTCAGCTTGACTGAATCGTACTTAAAGCGCACTTCATCGGTGTTTGCGGCTCGGCGTCGCGTGTTGTTGAAGTCGACAGTGCCCGGCGAGGTCCACCGGTAGGCCCTGAGGAAGGTGAGGTCGACGCCGCATGGCTGTTGCTGTTGAGTGGCGGATCGGAGGTTCCGCACTATCTGGCGTGTGACAATCGAGGCTCCGCTCAGCATCTTGAAGGTTTGTTGTATGTACAAGATTGTTCAAGTCGTTGGATGGATGCGGCCTGGGAGTTTCTCAGTCATGAACTTGACTCCCTTTTTAGGTACAGTGGGTCCAAAGTGATGCGGACTCAGAATAGAGGTAGCGCTATGGACCTATTTTGCGATGCCTTTTGGGCCTATCACTGTTGCTCCGCACACGCCCTCGGTGTTGTGGTTTGAGCAAGCTGAGACGGGGGAGGAAAAGGAGGACACGGGGACAACGGAAATAAATACAAAAAGCTCACCACCAAACCCCATTCGCCGGTCGAATGAGGGTTGGTAGTTACGAAAACCCTGAAAAGAGAGTTTCGCGCCGCGAGGGGAGTCGAACGGGTCCTCTTTCGATTGGTGTCCAACCGGTCCTCCTCCCAATACCGCTGAGCTAAACCGGTGTTCAACTTCAATTGGGAGGAGGCGGTGACGGTGTGACTGCGGAACTTGTATATATAGCACTGGCGGGAAGGTGTGGCGGCGGGTGGTGCGGATATCGTTGGGATGAAAGAGGTGATGGGGTGGCACGGGGAGAGGGCAGGAAGGCACGCAGTCCACTCTGGGTGACCGAACACTGTATGACAAACCGCTCCCGTACCTAGGTAACTCTGAGCGAAACATTGGAAAAAGCCCATTGATGAACCCGTAAGATCTGGGGTCTCCTAAAGCTATGTGCCGGAAGGCACCTTAACAGTATCCTAGGTACCATAGAAAAGCAGGCACAGACGTGGGAGAGTTTCTTCCAGGACTGCCCGCTATACCGAGCTCACATGATTGACACTTGAGGGGGCGCTGGTAAACGTTGCCCTACACAGGGTTGGATGTATTTCGAGACCGAGAATATCAGGGGTAATTCATCTATGGTCTATCTCCGTTATGATCTTTTTCATGGTTAGCACCCAACCCCTTTTCTCCTCTAATAATGGCAACCCCATCCCTTCCCATACTCCATCACTCGAGGCTATCCTTGAGCGCATTGTTGACCGGCGCCGCCGCTGCCGGGCCTTCAGGCGTGACATATGCCTTGCTCATACCGCCGTCGACGACGAAGTCAGACCCGTTGACGAAGCTGCTCTCGTCGCTTGCCAAAAATACCACGGCCTGCGCCTGCTCGATGGCCTCGCCGAACCGCCCCGTCGGGAAGTGCACCTCGCGGCGGTGGCGCTTGGCGGCGTCGTCGCCCAACCAGTCCTGCAGCAGCGGCGTGTTGAGCGGGGCCGGACACAGGCTGTTGAAGCGGAACCCTTCACGGGCGTGGACGATGGCGAGCTCGCGCGTAAGGGCCAGAACGGCGCCCTTGCTGGCCGTGTAGGCGAGCTGCGGGGTGGCAGACCCTACGAGGGCGACGACCGAGGCCGTGTTGATGATGCTGCCGCGCGCCTTCTTGTTGCGGCGCAGGGCCAGCACGGCGTGCTTGCAGCCGAACCAAACGCCCTTGACATTAATGTTGTGGGTCAGGTCCCAGATCTCCTCGGGCGTGTTGAGAGCGTCGTCGTCGCGCGCGTGCATGATGCCCGCGTTGTTGAAGATGACGTCCAGCCCGCCCCAGGAGTCGAGGTGCTCGACGCTGGCCTGGACGTCGGCTTCTTTGGAGACGTCGCAGCGCTGTTCACAGCAAGGTTATCAATATTGATTCCTGGATATATGACCAACAAGCAGATATCCTACCTTGGTCTCGAGGCGGCCGGCGTTGGGCACGAGCTGCTTGACCTTGGCCAGGGCCTTGTCCAGGGCCTCCTGCGAGATGTCCGTCATGAGCACATTGGCGCCTTCTTTCGCAAATAGGATACTGGTCTCAAGACCGATGCCGCTAAACAGTGTTAGTTGCCTCTCACGTTCTCATGCTTGCTTGCGGTACGTAGAGTCGTTACACGACTTGCATTCGGCACATCAAGCAATGCGACTCTGCATCTAACTTACCCGGCAGCGCCAGTGATGACAGCATTTTTGCCAGCTAGACGGCCACGACCCGAGGAAGCCATTGCAACAACAAATCCGTTTTACAAAGTGTAAATCAGTTTATAGAGTTGTTTGATGTTTCCTAGACGGCGGGGATGCTGTTGAAGCGCAATCGGCGGGGTAGAGAAAGATAAGCCAGCCAGACCACGCAGTAAACAGAACGATAAGAGGTCATGGGACCGCCCAGCGCGCCCTCTCAGGGGTTCGAAGGCCAGAACAACTCCCACCTTTCCTCCTCCACACTGTCGGACTTAACACGGATTGGGAAAACTGCTGCTGTTGCATTGACTCTGATACTCTACCCAACGAACCTCTTTCTAACATATTGTGTATGTACATACGTACGTACAGGTACATAATTCCAGCACAGCACCAAATTACAGTCCAGTGGCCTACACAAACTGCCCCTCTGTATTCCCCTCACCCATGCTCTTGCTCCCTGAGCTCCCGCTTTGGATGTGCCCCAGCACCGCATCCACATAATTGGCCCCACTCCACTTCTGGTGGGTGAGCACGTCTACGCCGAGCTCCTTCTCAGGCTTCTGCACGAGCTCCACATACGCCGCCATGCCCTCCCCCTTAAACCGCCTCGCCAGCTCGCTGCTGATGGTTGCTGTGCTGTGCAGGCCCGCCAGGCTGACCAGCTGCAGTACGAACCCTTCCCGCGCAATGTCCCAGATGAAGCTCTGTAGGGACTCGGGCGTGAACCCGTGCGCCATCCAGTTGAACGATGGCGACAAGTTGTAGACGAGCGGCTTGCCGGCGAAGCGGGACCGCACGGCGCGCCCGAGGTCCGCGCACACCTTCACGTTGGGGTCGCCCGTCTCCACCCAGAGCATGTCAGCGTAGGGCGCGAAGGCGAGCGCGCGTTTGGTGGCGGGCGCCATGCCTGCGCGGAAGTGGTAGAAGCCTTCGCGTGTGCGCGGCACGTCCCAGTTCCAGTAGACCGGGTTGTTAGGTGTGATGGACTCGGCGAGCTTGCGCCGGGAGGTGATGCCCATGTCGCGGTCGGCAGCGACAGCGGAGGTGTAAGTGGCAATCTTGTCCGCACTGACACCGTTGGCTTCGAAGTGGGCTACCGCCGCCTCGTCAAATGTGACAAGCTTGGTGCTCTTCACCCATTGCGCCTCGAACGCGTCGATCTCGGCTCCCGAAGCGCCCTTGGCTTCCATAGCCGCGAGCGTCTCAGCAAGCGACTCGGCAGCCGGGTCCGCCACGCCGAGAATAAACTCGTGGTCGCGCACGTCAACTGACGATGACAGCAACTTGCCGCTCTCCGAGTCGGTGCGCGCGATGACCAGGTTCTCCGTGCCCATAACGTCCCACTGGAACCGCGCCGCCTTCAGCCGGTTGATGTGCTCGCTCGTTGGGACGAGTACCTTGCCCGCCAAATGGCCGCACTTCTTCCCGCCGTGCATCTGATCTTCAAAGTGCACCGCCGCAGCGCCGTTCTCGGCGAACAACTTGGCTAGTTTCATGACGGCCGTCAGTCCACCGTGGCCCGTGTCACCGTCGGCGATGATAGGGCGGAAGTAGTCGACGTAGGGTGTCTTGGCACGCTCCTCGGCCGTCATCTGAGATCGCAAGAACCAGTGTTTGCGGTCGTGCATGCTCTGGGCCTTAAACATGCGCTGCACCTGGTTGGGCACCGTGTTGTATGGGTAGTCGCCAAAGTCCGGCGACACTTCGTTCGTCGTCGTCAAAAGCGATGAGCACGCCCACCCGGAAATGTAGAGCACCTCCTGGTGTGGCGCCTGCTGCGTCATCTGGATGGGGTCGATTGCGCCCATGGTGTGGATCGGCTGGCCGGCCGCCTCGCGCTCGCGGATGAGGTTCCAAAGCTTGCGCGCCATCACCGAGCTCGGATATGACTGTTGTAGCGAACCGCGCTTGCTCACTACGTCGGCAGCCGTCCAGTCTCGTTTGATCCCGGCGAACCGGGGTGACGCCCACCACGCCTCGACATCCTTCACTTGCTGTTGGTGCAGCGCATCCTCTGCCGCGCCTGCCTTTTGTGCCTCCGGGAGAAGTTGGTATGATTTCGCGGATGCGGTGGACGGGATCGAGGGATCGAGGGTTGGTAACGATGAGGCCATTCGGCTAGAGGCCGATATGAGCCGGCGGGAGCATGTGACAGCGGGACCGGAGACGAGGGCGGACAGCGGCCTTAACAATGCGGTCCGCCGGGGGACGTGGGGGATGATTGTACGCAGCATTGAGCTGTTGTGGTTGTTGTCAATAGGCGAATTGCGTCCAGATCGTGTAGTCGAAGCAGCCAATTGACAGAAGTGTGTACAGAGGGAACGGAGGAGAGTCGGGTGGTGATCAAGATCGAGGGAAGCTTGGCCCCGCCAAGGCCGGGGTGTGGGAACCGAAGCTACCCGGGAACAGCGCTTCGGTTTCGGGTATACGGAGCGACTCCGGGGTTGAAGGTTGAAAGGACGGTGGCGCCGCCGGATCCGAACGGATATAGGCGCTATTCCGTATACTAATCACGGTTTGCGTGCCGGCCACTTGGCCGCACATATTTGAACTCTCCCGCAAAGCTACATGTAGTTGGTATTGAAATGCTGTGTCTTGTGATTGGCAAAGCTGAGTCAGAGGCCATTGCGTTGCTTGGTAATGGAAGATTTGAACAGAATTCATACAGGGACCGCCGCATTGGATTCCAACATGAGTTTCACCATAGACCATCCATCTCGTCCATTGCCTTCTCGTCGTCATCAAAGTTGTCTGTTCGGTGACCGGTTTCGGTTTGAGCCGAAGTCTTCTTATCCCCGGATGATCCTCCCGCCGCGCCAACCCCTGCCTCGGCTTCTGCCTCCGCCATGAGTGCATCAAGGTCGTCGTCATCGTTGTCAAGATTCGAAGTCTTCTCTGCGGCCCGCGCATTGCCACTGCCGACCTCCTTGGGGTCGACGGGTTGAGCTGTTTTCTGTACCCCTGCTTCCGCCTCCGCCTCCGCCTCCGCCATTAGCGCATCCAGGTCGTCGTCTTCGTCGCCAGTTACTTGTGTCGTTTGTTTCTTGGCCCCATTGCCAAAAATGCTCCCGTTCACGACTGGTTGAGCCGCCCGGGTTGGGAGCGACTGCGCCTCGGCCTCGGCCATTAACGCGTCCAAATCATCGTCGTCAGGCCCCGCGGTTGTCGTCGGGGCCACAGCTCTCGCTCCGTTGCCGAATATGCTCCCAGAGGACGGGGCGGGTCCGGGCCGTTGCGTTTGAGCCCTTGCCTCCGCCTCCGCTTCCGCCATCAACGCATCCAAGTCGTCGTCGTCTGGAACATCGCCTCCCGCCTGCTGGGGCGGTGCAGTGCTCCCAGTGTTCCGCACTGGAGTAGCATTGTAAAGATCGTCTCCAAAAAGATCATCCGTGGTAGGTGTTTTCGCCCGTTCACCAGCAGCCTTTGCCGTCGTCTCGAATATTGACGCAACTTTAGGCGGCTGCTGCGGGCCAACCGCTCCCCGGTGAATTCGGTTGTCTTCTTCGTCCTCCTCAATAGCTGCCCTGGGCTTAAGCTCGTCGATCCATTTCTGTCGGGCACTGCGCATGGTTGTCTTGTGGCCTGTCTTCTCCACCATTGCGAGGGCATCAAGGAAGGTGGCCTTGGGAAAGAGGTCGTCCAGCCATTCTTGGTAAAAAGAGAGCAATCGGGCGGCGTCGGAAAACTGAGGGTGGTTAGATGAGAATCCTAGCACCATGAGCGGCAGCAATTACCTCATGTCCCTTCCCCTTCAACTTGAGCCTCGGCGCCATCTTTCTCAGTTTTGGGATCCCCTTGTCTGAAAGTAGTCTGCATCAGGGTCAGCCGGCAATAGGAGTGAAAAATACCAGGTTTGCTGACCTAGTCTCATCCAGCTTTACTCTTGGAGCCCTAGGTTTCTTTTTGAGGTCGAGCTCCTTGTCAATGCCTAGAATATCCTTCTTTTTCTCCCCGTCCTTGTCATTCTTAGCCGGCTCAGGACTGACAGACCTGAACGGGTCGTCATCCCAATCGGCAAGGTAATCATCGACGAAATTTCCGGTATTTCCTCGGCTTGCAGTATCCGCTGCCTTGGAGGCCGTCTTTGAAGGCATTTCGCAATTAACTAGTATTTTTTTTTTTTTTTCGTGTTGTAGGTCGGTTGAGTTGTGGTTTGTTTGAGAGACGCGTTAATTGACAACTGGGATGCTAAAGCGCGTCGCGTCAAACGGATGCTGCCAAGCTTCCAGCCGCTTCTCCAATTAAACCCTGGCGCACGGACCTGATTTGTCACTGGCCCCGCTTGCCTGATCTGCGCGCGCCCTGGTTCTGCTGCTTCGGAGAGTCTGCTGTGTTATCACCAACCGGCATACCTGAATGAACTTGAGAAGCGTATCAGGGCCGGGTCTAATAACTACCAGCAATGCTCTTTTTTGTCACTCTGACCTAGCGGATAATTGCGAGACTTGAGGTGATTATTCCGTGCAGCAATAACAACTCTGATTAGGTAATGAACTTAACTAGTTAATGAATGAATTAAATAACTAACTACCAGTTCCCTGGGAGGAAACACCTGAAGATCAACATTGGCACTTTGTCTTCAGCGGCCGGGCGGAGGGAAAAGGGAGACTTGGAACGCCTTACCGGCATTGCGCATATATTAGCCACACGTTAGGGAGAGTTGAAGGCCAGTGCCCAGAGATGGCTTGTTGATTGCCCTTACTATCTAGTCTAGGTACTGTCTACGTAGTCTATGTAAGTCCACCCCCCCATACCTGGGTAGTTCACTTATTGATTCACGCCAAGTTCCTGCAACCTTCTCTCAGCCCAAGCCCCCAACTTGCCAAAATACTTCCCAGGTTTATCGCCACTCCAGGCTTGAAGGGTGAACCAGATATGGCGCGCGTCCCCACCCGCCCGAATAACGCGCTCGTACTCCGGTGCCTCGAAGAAAAGGGCCTACAAATATTGGCTTAATTAGGTGTTGCGAAGAAATATCGAGCATGGGGGTTATCTAAACAGAAACGTACCTTGAAATATTGCCTTGACCATGTCGAGGTCTCCTCCAACAAGTCCGCAGTTGCGGTGTCAGGCAAACGGGTCAAGGAAGGCGCCGCATCTTCACCAGCCACTAAATCGACTGTCACCGCCATCAACGGGTCGGACAGGATAGCTGGCACAATGTGCCCAGTCTCCCAGTCGAACAACGACGTCACGAGAGGCTGGTTGTTCTTATCCATTGCAATCAACATATTGTGAATGCCAAAGTCGCCGTGATCAAGGACGAAACGGTATAAGTCCATGTTGTCATCGCCTTTGGGCATTATGTGTGGGATGAGACGAAGGAGCGACTTCTTAGCCGCTGCAACAATTGGACCGACGCTGTTGTCGTCATCCTCGCATCCAGTCATGTCTCCAATATCCTTTAAGGTTGCTTCGGTCTTGGAGGCGAGGAGGGCAACGCAGAACTCGCGCGTGGGACCAACGGGAATGGGGAGTAAGTCCGGTTTTTGCTCGAAAAGACGTTGTCGGAGCCAGGCAGAGGCGAAGTTGGGCGGGACTTTAAATCTGTAAAGCGATGCCCGAATGTGAGCTGCCCGGGAAAGAAGACAAGACTAAAAGCAATGAGTTAGCATAGGTACCTCCAGGTATGTACCTAGGTACGAAGTGATGACGGGATGGTATATGGATGTACCTTCTGACCCGGATTGAGGCCCTCCCACACCTTAGTCTCCCCCACGGCTCTTTGGAACACAAGCAATTGCCGGCCTGCGATATCTTTGGGACGATCAAGCTTGGGGCCCTCGTGCTGCACTGGAACGCGATAATAAAGCAGGCGAGACGCCAAGATATCTGGCTCTGACTGTAGGAGGTTATACACTGCTGCCTCGAATATAACCTCCGGTACTTGAAGATGGATCGGGGCGCCGTCATAACCAGGCATGTTGACATCGCCGCGGGCGAGACGCGCTACAACGTCCATACCATTGGATAACTTGAGGTAAAATCCCTTTTCCCGGACGTCTTCGTGTAAGCATCGGGCTTGGGGTGATAAGTTGCGCTCGATACAACTTACATAATGGTTATATCCCTTGGACACCTGTGGAATGTCAACCACCAAAGCGAGAAACTTGTCTTCCATTTCCTGAATGAGAAGATTCACGTCCCACTCGTTATCGAACGGACTGCTACCATAACGGACCAAGGTGAGCAAGTGCCGGCCATCAAAGTCGTAGCCATCGGGCATCTTGGGCCAGTCGTCACGGGATGGCATGGTGAGCTAAGAGATTTGGCGAAATCGGGTTAACAAGAAGAGAGGTAAGGGGGGTTGTTGGGAGGGTGGTTGGCGCTGCCGGTTTATATACCACCTGGCGGCACGCTTCCACGTTTCCCCCACCTCGATCATTCGATCTTCTCCTGAAGAGTCCCACCGAAGAGTCCCAGGTCATGATGTCATCTGTGTCATGCTGCGTCATCTAATTCAATAACTCCGTCGGGGCAGTCAATCGCTACTTCGGGGACTGTTCGCACCGGGTACATGTAGTGTTGTCAGTGCGTGGTTTTGTTGACCAATTCATTAATTAGGGTCTAGTCCCTTGAGCCCACTGCCTACAAAGGACCACAATTCGATTATCACCGCTCACATATAAATTTTCAATCAAAAATTGAGACGAACAATACGCAGTTGGCGCGCTTTCGTAGATGCCGGGAAGAACTGCGGCATGGCGGGTGAAGGGATAAAAAATACCTATCTCGGTTTCGGCTGCCAACCTGAGACCTCTTCCAGATGCAGATAATCTGATCAATCATCAATTTGTGAAGTTGGGAAGGTGAGAAGAGAGGCACAGTCTCTTTGAGTTCAAGGTAAGGTAGCTTTGCACTGTAAATCTGCGCGATTGTAGTAATGTAGTCGTTCAAGTGGACAAACTAAAGGTTGAGGACACCCTTGGTGATTGAGCTCCCGGGCCTGTGTGCTCAAGGGAAGCCCGTATTTCTAGGTTGCGGCTTCTCACGGCATTTTGTGCTCAGGGTGCTAGACACCGAAGTGCGAAGTCATGGTGAAGAGCAAGGAAAGGCCTCTCCTTTTTCTTGCACAACTTCCTTGAACTAGGTTGTCTTCTGGCAAGCAAGCACCTTTCTCAGGCCCTTCAAGCAAACGCTCTCTGCACTCGTTCCTCTGTATGGCCGCCGTTGTGAAACACGTTGGCTATAGCGACCTCCCTTCCTTGGAGGAGGCAGAATGTGCCACCAGCTATTTGGAACGGTGACTACAACCGCATCACTCATTAAACTGACTCTTGCACAACATATACTCTGTCAGTTGATGTTATCAATAGTCCGGTTTACGATGCTTCTATCAAACATTCCGCCCAGTTGAACTTCTGTTTTTATCCCCAGCATCGCTATCATACCGTTGAGCCCCGTTGGCCAATGAGCAGGGCCTACCAATGAGGCAGTTGTCAAGATGGGAAACATCGCATACCGTATGGACGGCCAAGCCATGGACGACATTGTGTCCTTTAAAACCAGCGTTGTTCAGACGACCTGAATGACGTCTGGTGGAGAAGTTATTCCTTTGAAGTTCAGCGTCGTTCATGCTCTGCGAGAAAGTAAGTCGAAACTCAAACATCGCAATCTTGCTTCGTAATATTTTTGTGTTGTCCAGCTGACACCCTATAAGAGCCGACTCCAACTTCCTCAGCACTAAAAGCAACTGGTATGTACCAGCGATTGACGACGACAGCGTGGTTATCCTAAGCACTGATTCATGCGATGTAAGTCAAAAAACACTGCCGGGTGTTGTGAGTGGGTGTTATTGCGGCTAGGTCTTGGCCCCGATGCCTCATTTGTGGCGTTTGTTGTGGCCGTGCTTCCGAGCAGACGGGAACACCCCAAGTCCCCACATCCCACTACACCCCGGCCTGAGGCAGCAACAACTCGGAGCTCGAGAGCCCAGGAAGCTTCAATCCGGCAACTGGACCGACTCAATCGCTCAGCACATTGCGACTCTCAACGACGCCTTGTCGGCCGCCAAGATGTCGAACCCAACAACTCAGACGTATCAGTGGCCGAGCAAGACAGTCAAGACTGACTATCCGGTAAGTTGATGCCCAATCATTCGCTTCTTGTGGCGCGCACTGACGCCGAAATCAGCTCATCGATAATGACCCGTACGTTCTTCACCTTCTTCCCCGCCAACCCTACGCCGGATGCGATCTCACCCGAGCGAATCTGACTCAATTCATACTACAGACACTTTATGCGCGTAGTCCGGTACGCCCGTACGTCTGACTATGTACACGGCGTCGCTGCTGGCGTGGCTGGCCCCGGTCTGCTCTACGCCATGGAGAGGTTCGCCCCATCGCAGGTCGGCAAGGGCGGCTTTGCCCAGGCCATGCGCCTAGCTGGCTTTATCGGCCTTACTGGCGGCTTTCTCTACTACTACCAGCGCTCCATCCGTACGTGACCCGAGTTGTGCTTTGGACGACCAACCCCGCGATCCTACACAGGAATACCGATTGCTATGGGAAGCCGTGTGGATTGTGGGGAAGAAACAGGGACCTGTTTCTTCTCGGCTGGCGAAGTTGCTAACCGTTATGCAGTCCGGTTCTACGGCATGAGCGAGAACGCCCGGGAGGTTCAGATGGACATGCGCGAGATGGTCGACAAAGTCAAGGCCGGCGAGCCTCTCTACGGCGAGAGCAAGCTGACCCCCGCCATGCAGGGTGTTGCTGCCCGCCAGTCGAGGTACTCGGCTCTATTTTTCGGCGTCCTTCCCTGGTTCAACTTTGTGAACCACAGCCAGCACGGCGTCGACACGGCCAAATACTACCAGCAGGCAGAGCGGGAACTAGAGGCTGAGCGCCTGGCCAAGGGCTCATCATGAGCAGAGAGCCAGGGAAAGGGGTGGGCTGCAAACGTAGGCGGTGCGGCTATGCCTGGGAGAGGCACCAGGTGTACGTACATATGACATTTAGACGACGGCCCCGCAGGCCTCGAGTCAACACACATTTCTTTTTTTGCGTCAACACAAATAAATTCGGTTAAAGTACCATCATTCCCTTTTCTGCATAACAGTGGCCAAGAAGAAGCTGGAAGCTGAGCGCCGCCCTTCCACCGTGTTCACGCAGCATCATTCGACATCATCACTCAGCGTTGCGTCACGAGGATTCAGGTTTTAGAGTACAGAACGCAACGTATTTACTAACGAAGGCTACGCAGAAAAGTTTCTGTTTACAGCTGTCACATCATCAACAGCCCGACCCCCCATCTCACTCGCCCGCCGCTGGCACTTGATGTGCGGTCATTACCAGCTACCCCTTAAGAACTAGGAGCGCATTGCGAATAGTACGGCGGAGAAACCGCCTTGCAAGTGTAGCCGGACTATCACCGTTGTCAGCAAACCTAACTTCCCCTGAACCCAACCCCGAGAGGGCAAAACTTACCGCACACTCAGTGCAACCCGAGTACCCATCGCCACCGCACTGCCCATACGCCTGCACGGAGCATGCGTTCCCGCCCCCGGGCGCCGCACCACCGCTGTTCCCGCCAGTGGAGCCGCCGCTGGATGGCGCCACCGCCGTGGGCGACGAGCCGACCTTGCACGTCTTCTCGCACCCGGAGCACCCGGAACCGGCCTGCTTGGTCGTGCCGCCCGCATACACGGCGGGACCGGGCGCCTGGTACCCGCTCAGCGCCGAGTGGATGTTGATCTTGATGCCCGGATCGTTTGCGCTGTACGCTCCGGGGAACTTGACCGTCGCCGGGCTCGCTGTGCCGCTACCGCCCTCGATGCTGATCTGGTAGCAGCTCATGTAGAACTGGGCGCCGTTGGCCTGGCCCGCCGTGTGCAGGGCCAGGGCTTCGGCGCGAAGCAGGTAGTCGCCCGAGGCGAGGTCCTTGGGAATGGGGACGTCCATGCGCCCGCAGCAGTTGCTGAGATCGCGGGTGCCCCAGTTGTCGTCGTCGCCCGAGTTGCCGCCGGACTTCTTGGACCACGAGTTGGAGAAGATCTTGAACCAGCCTGTCGAGCCGTCCGCCGTGGTTGCGTCCGACACCTTGGTCAGGTACACCTGCACGGGGCCGTAGTGCGCCCCGCCGATGGCCTCGTTGTTGCAGCTGCGGTCGCCGGGCTGCTGGTGCATCTCCACCGTCACGGTCCCGCCCGCCTTGACGGGGCACTTGCCGCTCACGGCGCGGGCGCCTGTGTTGCAGATGAAGTCGCGGCTCCCAACGTTGGTGACGGGCGAGTTGCTGCTCGGCAGGCGGACGCAAGAGCCACCGTGCTAAGCTTGTTAGTCCGGATCTGAGTAGGGAACCACTACAAGGAAGACTTATATAATCGGTGCCGTCAACCCAAAGCTGCTGGAAGGTAGCATGCCCGGCAACTTCCTGGGCAGCCAGAGCGGCCAACGCGGCGGCGAATGTCGACCTCATGATAGCTCTAACGGTAGACTAAAATCGGGGGGTTTCAATGATGCACCTATTACGACTGGAGGAAAGGGGGAGCCAAAATCAAACAGCGTGGAAGGGCCTGATCGATTCACGCGTTGATATATAGGTAAGGTAGGTAGTTTATGTCTCCCCCCTCTCCTTGACCCGATCACACCCTCGGACTTGCTGTCGCACCTCTCAGACCGTCCTCTCGTTCAATTACCGGCGCTGCCGGTATCTGTGACCAGGGAAATATTGGCATGGGCTCCTTCTCGGTCTTTCTTTCGACCACTGCTACCTCCCGAAATAAGCATCTGGGGCCCCGGACTGGACTGGCGGCCTAACTTGTATTAAGCACTATACCCCAGATTTTGGATGGCTCTCCCGGGACGGGAGTACTATGCGGCCGTCAGCCACGCGCCCGTCAACGGCGACAAAACTCCCGCACGCATTGGTGGTTGGCTGTGTGCGCAATATCAAACTCCAATTTACCCGGCATCGCGGTCTCCCAATCCGCCCGGGACTTCCTCAACGGGTCTTGGTGGACTGGCTGAAGCATTCCGTCCCGGTTATATTTTATGGGCGGTTCAACGCCACTTAACAGCTGCCGAGCCGTGTTGTCGTCGTTGTCGATTGGGTAAACCTGTGTGAGCAATTAGTTGGTTCTTGGGTTTGGGAACCATTTTCGAGAACAGGAGGCAACCTTCTTGGTTCACCGGCAGCAGACGATGACATCGTATCGAAGCATTGAATGGTGAGGAATCAAAAATGATGGTCTGGTCCAAGGCCGCACCCCAGATTCCCCAATCCCCCGATCCAAAGATCTCACTTGCAAAGTTCCTGGGTCCAGCCAACAATAAATAGGTCACATCGTTCGTGCAACTTCGGTCACCGAGCGACGGTTTTTGGCAGAGGGATTTTCCAATCTAAAATGTGTTCGTTGCAGCCGTGTCGCTTGACGACATCTTAACTACGAAATGTTATGTCACTTCGTCGAAACAGTGACGGTCAAAGACGGGGATCCATTTTCTCCTATGATGGATCCCTCAAGAAAGTGGTATGGCTTCAGGTTAACATTAACGTAGGTGGTCTAGTCTCATAAAGTACAGGTAATCGTCGGCACCTCTGAAGGTTGATTGTTCCAATAGATTGAGGCAGAACCTCAACCATAGATAATCCAACTTCCAAGTTGGAGGCCATTGGAATCCAGGCTGCTGGTTCCTATGGTAAATGTTAGTACAGGTGGAGGTGCCAAACCTGGCCCATTCAGGTTAAGGTATGTAAGTAAATACGCGCCTATGATTCGTCTTCGAAGATTGCCCCTGCCGGTCAAGCTCCCCAATCCCGTCTTCTGGGTAAGGTAACGCAGGGGGAAGGCGGTCGATGAACGGTCAGCAAGAGCCCACGTAACCACGTTACCCAGCTAGTTGGAGAGCGGGAAAGATCGACGGCACCAGACAACAAGCTCAATCTCAACTTCATCAGTGCTTCCAGAGTTCAGATCACTCACTACCTGGGTCAGTCAGTCAAGGCATACATTAATGTTGGTGTATCGGTGTTTGAATTTGTGATAGACACCAACTGACTCAACTACAGTATTTCGCTATCACCAGATAAACGACATGCGGTGATCGTTTCGGCACCAAAAAGTCAGACTCTTGCTCGACAACCACGGCCCACGGAAGCTATCTCGGAGTTGGTCGGGCGACTCGGGCCATTTTGCTGCGGCCAGCTAGCCGGTCCAATCGTTGCCGCTGCTGTAAAACTTACTCCAGGCCCGGGAGTATAACCTGTACACAAATCACGGTGTAAGTAGCCTGTAGGGTTCCCCGCAATGACAAGTCGTGAATAGGATAATTAAAACTGACGTGTATGGTGCTGCCAGAGCTGGAGACCTAGAACTTTTCAACTTAGCTGTCTTCAGCTCGAATGCGCGACATGCCTTTCTTTCGTTTTACCCTTGCTAGCGCGGCGGTGGGCCAATTGCTCTCCGTCAGCAGCACTGGAGGATTGCTCCCCGGAGTATGGGGTACGGCTCTCCCATACGAAGATAGTGTTGGGCCTCAAGCTCAAGTCATTGACCAACGGGACTTCAACGCGCTCCACAATGTGCCTCCCCCGTCCCTGGCGGGCGGGTTTACGGTGTGTCCTTAATCTGCCATCAATGCTACTCCAAAGAAGCTGACCGGGGCTTTCTGTTAGCAATTCTACCCCCCAGGAACAAACAAGGAATCCCTCACCGCCCAGCCCTTTCATATCTACGACGAAGAGTTCCTGGCCATCATTGGCCCCAACCCGACGTTGACGCTGCTCAATCACACCGAATCAGACCCCATATTCCACGAAGCACCTGTCTGGTACGGCTTGACAATGACCCAGATCGAGGTTTTACTGGAGAGTTGCTGACACAACTAAGGTATCCGGCCAAGGACGAAATGTTCTTCGTTCAGAATGCTGGCGCGAAGGCTGCCGGAACCGGCCTCGCCAAGTCGGCCATCATTCAAAAGATTTCCCTGTCAGCCATCTCCCCTGAGATAGTGAGCCAAAGGAACGCAAGCGGCTCGGTAAAAGTGGAAGTCGTGGATTCCAATCCCCAGGTCATCAACCCGAATGGTGAGTTCCCAATCCCGGCCAATCTTGTGCAGGGCTGATATGGGGAAATAGGGGCGACCAACTACGGAGACCAATTTCTGTTCCTCGGCGAGGGTCAGGGGGAAAATGTTGCCCCAGCTATGTATCTCATGAACCCGGAACCTCCGTATAACACTACGGGTGAGAAACCCAGCCTTGGCTGAGGTCGGATGTGCATTAACCGAGCGGTACCTGCAGTGATCCTGGACAACTTCTTCGGCCGCCAGTTCAACTCACTCAATGACGCCTCGATCAGCCCCCAAAACGGCGAGATATACTTTACGGACCCGACCTACGGATACGTGCAAGACTTTAGACCCGCCCCAGGACTGCCGAAGCAGGTCTGGCGGTTCAATACAGCTACGGGTGTAGTGAGAGTTGCTGCCGACGGGTTCAATATGCCCAATGGTAAGTACTGCTGGCTAGAGGCAACAATGAATGCTCTTAGGAGGAATGTCCCCAGAGAGGTGACCTGGCTCATTCATTGTGTTCCCTCCTAGGCATCGCCTTTTCACCAAGCGGATCCCACCTGTACGTTGCCGACACGGGAATGACGCAGGCCTTCTTCGGAAACGATTTCAGCTTTGTTTCAAGCATGTAAGGCAGCCTCCGTTCTTGCACTACTAACCCATCGTAGCTCCAACCCCTACTCGTGCTAACCTGCTGCCAGTTACCGTTTCGACGTCCTTGAAGATGGTACCCTGGAAAACCGCAAGACCTTCGCATTTGTGACACCTGGTGTGCCGGATGGTATTCACGTTGACACCAAGGGCAATGTCTATGCTGGATGTGGTGATGGCGTGCAGGTGTTCAATCCGTCTGGGAAGCTGATTGGCAAGATTTACTCTGGGGAGTATATCGGCTAACTTTCAGTTCGCTGGGAAGGGGCGCATGGTGATTCTGGCCGAGACGGAGTTGTACTATGCTACTCTGGCGGCTGAGGGCGCGTTTCTGGGAAGCGGTATTGAAGATGTCGGGATGGTGTTTAAAACAAAAGTTTGCGTTAGCAGCGTGTAGTGGGAGCTTTGAAGTGTCTAAAGAGTAAAAAATAAAATAAAAAATAAATAAAGAGATTCAAGGAGGAATGAGAAGATGGCAAATGGCAAGAGCACTCGCATCGAAGGAAGTGGATCGGAACATCGGCTCCATTGT